CTTCAAAAGCTCGCACAGGCAATGGATTTCGAGTAAAGAGAGAAGCACATAGAATTTAATGAGAAAATGCAAAACACCATAGTAGGAAAAGTATTTGCAGAATTTCTCATGTTTACAGAATAATTTTTATTCCATCCGTATTTGTGACGGGGGGGAAAACATTGATGAGACAATAATTGCCGAGAGACACGGAAAGGCGGAGGGAAATTCTTACGTGAAGATGTTGAGATTATTTTAGAAATAAGCCACCAGAAGAATCCATTCAAACGCCAAGGTTGCCTGAAAATGAAAAAAAGGAGTATGGCCGCAGAGGAAATGGATCAATCGAGCAATGTAATTAAATTTATCTACACCCAGTCAAGCCACAAATTGATACAATTGAATTTCGCCCTTAAGGAATCAGACGCCAATTGAATTTTAGAAGGGCTCGTGCTGTTTCCAGACAGAAGAACCTTTGTCTTTGATTACATTGATTACAGATTACACACATAATATAAAGGAAGGTGTTTTAGAGAAAATGAGATAATCACAGAGTTCAATCCCTACAGTTCTGCTCTTTTTGAGCAAATTCCAGAATTACTTGAATCGACGGAATTTGTGGACAAGATTTCGAAAGCTCACTATTATCAAATTACCTCTTGGTCCACTCACGTTGATAAATAATCTGTATGCAAAATGCCATTGAAAAATGGCTCAAATGCTTCTCTTAGTAAAAAGAGACAACACATTTTTTTGTGCATCAGTCGATCAATCTCTGAGGACACCCTCGCGCACGAAAATGAAAGTTTTCCCGAGGAAATCCATTTTCAGACATCTCCCACACGCCACCCTCTCAATCACTCGGCGCCGTTGAGCGACTGATCGCGAGAGTGTACCACAGGAAAGTTACCAATGTTGTACCATGTAATGCATGATTAATTGTCGGATTGCTGGTATCTGCGAGAGACGAATTGAATTGAGGTATGTGGAAGGCTCCGCGTGTGAGGAAGCCAAAGTAATTTTTGTTGCTTCCACGGGGCGCTAGAGGGGTGACGTGGGAGGAAAAGTTTAATCAACTTTTTATCCTACTCCGTCTGTCCCCCCCTTTTTTCGTACTGCCCGTGTGTTTTTGCCTCCCATCGACATTTAAGTACTAATCACATTAAGGTGATTCTGGGAGCATGAGGCGAAAGAGAAATCATCTTTGAGAGTTGCCCAGATAATCAATAAAGTTCGATATGGCGACGCGTGGGGTGGAAAAAGTGAAGTGAGCAGCGCTGAAGGGTGGGATGTGATGGAGAGTTTGTAAATGTAAACAGGTGGAAATCAATGGATTACACACCGAAGGGGTGGCTCAAACGCGTTCTGATTTAATCACATCGCCAGACATCCGTGTGACGGGATGAAATTATGGGTTGATGCCAAAAATATCTCGTGTAAAATCAATAAAATTTATCCAAAAGAGGTGAGGACTGAGAAAGAGAGAGATTTGAGGTCGATAGGGTGTGAGTGAGTTTCCTATTGGAAGGATTATTATCATTGTCCGGAGAGGAAGGCTCTTATCAGAAGACTTTCGATGACTTTTATTGCTTCACAGCACGTTATTCTTCCATTTATTACATACAATATTATACTAGCATTGAAATAGACAGTGAGGGGAAGGCGATGAATGCCGAAGGCGGAGGATGGCAACAAGAAGCAAGAATTCAGACAGATTTATTGGTAGGTTTTCGTTAATCATTTCTTGATTAACCATTTCTACCATCACACACACTTTGTTGTTGGCTTTCCACCTCCCAGCTCTCATCCCAACCATATTCGGCGATTGAAGACGTATCGAATCATACCATAAAAGTCTATGTAGAGAAACAACAAGGTCGGTGAGGGAAGTTTTCTTCTTCTTCATTTGCTTTTGCTCACTTCAGCAAGTTGACTTCGTGAAGAGGATGGAAGCAATAAATGTTTTTGGGAAGAAGTAATTGCTTTTCATCCTTCCTAACCATCACTGCAACTGTGACTCACTCTCTCTCTCCCTCTCTCTGGAGACGATTTCATGGGACAGGACAACTCACACGGGAGGGAATATGAGGATGTCTCACAAGACAGAGAAATGTAGTTAAGTTTTGAAGGCGAAGTTGTGCAACCGTGGAGAACTTTCACGACACTCTTTCCCACTCGCACATCCTCTCCGCCTCTGCCGTGTCTTGCCTCTTAAATCTAAATAACTACACATTACTAACTTTATATGATCATTCAGCATTACAAATACCTTGATACGCCGGAGGTAAGCAGACGATATGGATAAAGTACACCCTCAACAGTGGTGAAAACAATTATAGAATCATTTGCTCTAACAGTCAGTGTGGAAATAAACATTAAGTATAATTTGTTTCACCAGTGGAAAGCTGCAACTCCTCTCGGGTTGTTTACAACAAGTTTAATCGCATCGTTTCTGGTAAAGAGTGATCATGAAGCTTGTGTATCACGAATTGTGCCTCTCACTGTATACACTTGTGATGAGGCACACGAAATGGATGTGGAACTTTGTCCATTATCATCGTCTTTTACTAGCAAATGCAGGAGAAAAAAAAGTTACACTATACTCTTTCTGTTACAGCCAGTCAGCATCTTGAGAGGCCCATAAAAACAACTCAATGCTTCGGTGGCAATATACAGACATACCTTTGCATTATTGCCCCTCATCTCAACTCTGTGAGTCATGATGCAAAATTACATTAAACATACCCTTCAACCCTCAAGGTACGCACACAGGATAGTGTGTCGTTATGTGGTAGATACTCTAACAGGTGCCACAAGACTTCCTGCCTTACACTTGATTCCATCAACCGTACATAGACGACAGCTATGTTATATACATGTATTGCCAAGGAGACACAGAAATATGAAAGTGCAACAGAAAGTTTTCCACAACTATTTTTGCCTCTGCTCAAAGCTTGCCGGGAGGGCAAAAAGTTGCACTTGTGTGAAATTGTTTAATAAAGTTCCCATCATAACTTTCACTATAAATTTCCTTCATAGTGCACTGATATACACATACATTACTTTCGCGTAACCATATACGATTTTTTTTGCTTTCCAAATTGATGTTAAAATTCCGTACCACGCTAATTGCTCAATTGAATGTTTCACTCCAAACAACCCGCAACACAACAGAATCCCTTCAGTAGCACGCTTCTTGATTCACCCAATCTTGAGTATAAATGAGTTTATGGCAAGACTATGACTTTACTTCACACCATCGCTGTTATAAGGGGAAAATTTTGAAATAAAATAAAACTTATTAACTCTTGATTGCCTTCGCGAGGTGCGAAATAGCCTGAAGATGAAGAAGAAGGGCCAGATAATAAAATTTCTTATTCACTTAACTTATATCTCTCTTTTCCTCCTTGTCGGTAAAAAATTGCTAGAATACTTCACATTAAAAATGGCTACAGATAAAAAGATAAACTTTCCATTATAAATTTACTCAATTAAAAAGTTTATCATGGAGAAGAAAATTCACATTATGCGTGGCAGGAGAAGATATCGTGATGACGTGTAAACAAAGTGATGAGAATCTATTTCAAGTTCATCCACTTTATTCTTACCTTATAATAAGATTTTTTTTTTCTGTGGGCCTTTTTGAAAGAATTTGTAAAAACCATAAAATAAAATTCAATCTTCCACGACGACTAGGCCAACACACAAAGGATCAACTTTTATCATTTTTCCCCATTTAACCCGGAAATGTTTGAAGCAGTGACTAAAGTGTCTGCAGCGAAGAAAATCAATTTGGAGGGTTGATAGATCGATCTAATGCGGAGAAAAAGTGATTGGCAATTTATATATCAAGATGCTCGTTTGTATTTTGCCGCTAAAAAATAACAATAAACTTTTAAATTTATCGACACCGGCTGCTGATTTCCGGATGCAATATTTTTTCTATCTCCTGCACGCCTAGAAATTCCTTCTGGCCACCATCGGCACCCCTTCCTGATCGCCAATTTCACCCTTGGCGTAACAAATTTCATTTGTGTGGATAATCGGAAGGTCGACATTCTGTCTGAAGCGACATAGAGAGATTTCTCATCCGTTCCGTATACTTTTTACTCCTCACACTACTGCCTTAAAAAAGCTCATCCACTCAATTTAACAATGGAATGGTTGTATCAATGCCAGAAAAATGACATGGTATCGATTTTTATGGTGTACGACATCTCAACTCGCCTGCGGGAAGAGGGATTTTCTCGACATATACAGCTCGCAAGCCCACCCACACCTAAGCATGGAACATACACTTTTTCCCACATTATCCCGCCACCCAATTCCACTCACACCCGCCACGTTTATGTCACATTTCGCGTGAGGATTTGCAGACACACTCTCTCTTTCTCTCCTTCCGGTGACAGTGGAAATTAGACAAGATATTGAGAAATGATTTAGAGATTATGGGACATATTGACAAGGAATCATATAATATACTGCACAGATTCTCAGAAGTACGATCTAAACAAAAAAAATTACTGTTACAGAAGTGCCCAGGATATTACGAACCATCAATCAGACTTTGGCCGTGAAAGGTACGACAAAGCAGTGCTGTTTCAGACATCCATTTGGACTTAAAGATGACTTTGCTACCTAATTATCCCTTAAGTCATTTTATTACGAGAATTCAAAATTATACCATCGTTCTTGCAAATCGATCGACAATATTCCCGGAGTTCGTGCTAATCACTCTACAATAAATTTTATTAACACAAAGGTAATATTGTGCGCCTTGAATGCGAGACAAGCCATACGCATTATGTGCCTAATTTACCGCATTCTGCATCTGCAAGCCCATTTAGACGAGACACATGTTCAACCCTTCAATATGCTTAAAAGCTATGTGCAGTTTTCATGTGCGATTATCACATAGCTTGTAAATTGATTATGTATCCTGCTGGAGCGTACAGGTTACCGCAGCGTGATGTGATTGAGAGTTTGAACGCTGGTTTGATGGCAAAGAATTAACTACTCACCATTGTGAAATAAAGTCGGGATTTATGGAGTAAATGGGTGCTGTTCGATTGACGTAGTCTGTGGCATTGACACCGGCGGCAACAGCCTCCAGAACGAGGTTTCCCGTGTCCATCTCTATCGCTTTATGTCGCCAACGGATTTTAATCTCGCGCAGCGTCGCTGATACTTCCCTCCGGCCAACTCTCGATGTCTTCTCTCACCCCAACTAGTGCCACATCTTCAATCCCACATGTCATCTGCTGCACCATGAGGCAGTCATAGTGGTTTTCCTGAAAAAAAGCAAAGGGAGTAAAGTGAAATAGCTCAAATATCACAATGCAAAACATTTCAATTCATGGGAATGCTTGTGCATGAAAAACTAACGATTACCAATGACAGATTCTAAATGTAGTTTTACTGTAGCATTAATTAAATTCTCTATGGAATTGCACGGGAATTTGTGTACACCAACTTTCCGTTTGACCTTTTTTTTCCTTAATACAAATCTGTGTACTGTGGCATCGCAAAGTAATCTCCACCCTAGATGAGAGATAGGACTTTCCTTTCTGACTTATTACAAAAGTTTATTAATCTGTTGAGAAAATTTCCGATTCGCCTAATGGACACTTTCTGCTAAATATTGCGGCCAATATCGGAAATTAATTCCTACTGATAGGGATTAACTTGAAAAACCTGTTGATTAACATTTTATCCAACTCTGACGATGTGGTTTGGTCAACTTCAATTTTCACCCTTTTCCCAGCCTGCTCATAAATTTGCTCGCAGTTGCAATGAAGCCACAGTTGAATTATAAATTCTAATATTATTACCCACCATGTTGCAAGTTATTCAAATTGAAGTGAATTTCGCCAGGAAAATGTTGAACTTTCTCACTTTCGTCGTGCGCTTCTGCTTATCTCATCTGCTCCGACTGCAGAAAGAGTGAGAAAGGGTGACCGCAAAAAAATACACTCTCATGATGAAAATGTTGCCATTAATTTGCCTACTCCAGAGCCTGTCTGGAGGTCAGGAAAAAATTGTCACACTGAGACAGGGATAAAGAGATGTCCATATCAGCGAGGTAGTCTGGCGTTGACATTTACCATCACGTAATTTAGATACGATGACCAGCGTGCGGTTGGGTGGATTTCATGGATGACATTGCCACCCAGCGTGTGACCTCTCAATAGAGGTATCACCCTTTAAGCCATGGCCAATTTGTATTTATATGCCAGAGCCCCGGGACATTGGGCTGGAGAAAACGCTTGGCTGCATCAAATTTAATTTATTCCCAAGTTTGCAGGGACACCAGCAAGGGTCCCTCCACACAATCTAACGTAAATTAGTCGATCCTTATTCAATTTTCGCACTCTCCCCTCCTAGGATATCCTTCAAGTAACCTCACCCAATTTCCCGCACAGATGAAAGGTGACTTCTGAGAAAATCTCAATTATCTCCCGACACACAATATAGCAAATATTGTAATTCCACATTCAGCGTGTCTCCGCGGAAGGAAATGCAAATTTCCCCATGAATTTTTCAATCATGGCAACACAGTTCTAAAAATCCGATATTTGATTTGAAATTACATTTAATATTTTATGAAATCTATCACATTACACCCCACGTAGCGCTTTGCATATGAGGAATTTTATATCTCGCTGTCGCACAAATGTTATTTGCACATGAGAAGATATAACTTTTGGGCTTTCGTCGAGTGAGCAATTTTGTGCACAGAATTCAATCGCACAGTATTTTTGGTGGCAAGATTTTGGCATCAGTTGTATTTTTCTATCAGTCTCGCCTAGTCACAATCATAATTTTCTATTCAATTCACGTGGCGAATGAAAGAATTTTCCTCTCACTCCTCAACATTCCGACACGCCAAATGGAAGAAGAATCACAAATAAATTATGCAGTAGAGGACACAGTTTTCCTACTGCTGATAAGCTTTGGCAACGTGAAGGAAGAGTAACTCTACTTTCGGGCATAATTGACGACTTCCGATTAAATAAGATGAAATGAAAGTCATGCCTGTGCTTCAGGGATATAAATTCAGACTAAGTTCAATCATAGGTATATTTAAAGTGTGCTCTTCAGGTGAATTTCCATGGAAATTTGTGGAATTCTACAGAACTTTTGCTTATTCCTCAAAGACGGCAATACTCCAGAGTTTAAGAGTTTGAAAAAGAAGCCAATAGAGAGGATTGTCGTAAATTCTCTTGAGAAATCAGGGATTCGAGAAAACGCTCTCAGTATGGCAGGAAAGCTGAAATGAGTGAAAGGTATGTAAAACTAAAGTCATGTGCATGGTGAGAAGGGTTAAGATTGAACGGCACGCACACTCCTTGTGAACCGCAAAAAAAATTTAGATTGGCAGCGTGTCTAAATTTAATTTCTTCAGCGGAAGAAATTATGATAATTTCCACCGTCTAGAGGGTGAGAAGGCCCCCAAGTGGAGCAGTATCGAAGGGAAATTTCGACCAGACGCCAGGGTGAATCGAGGGCTTGAGGACAGATGTTTTGTGAAATGGTTCCTCTCAAGTATGAATATTTTATCACGTCATTTTCACTTCGCGAATACCCACTGTAATTACTATGAAAAGAGATTATGATTAAAATTGGTTTCGCCGTAAGCGTAAAAGAATGTGGCAGGCGCGCACCAGTGGAAACTCATTCAACTTGTGAGCTTTGTAATTAAAATTCGTCACCCTTGTAACAAAAAGCACAAGATTTCGGCCGCGAGATGCTTCTCATTTTCTCCTCCGCGACTTTCACCGCCCATAGATTCCCTCCCAACGCGAGACGCCACCCTCAAGTTCCCCGTCCACAGTTCATCGAGGGTGAGCAAAAATTAAAGATTAATGGGAAATCTTATCAAGTATCTGAGACTGGGAGTGTGTGTGTGATGAAATTAGACTTTTTGCCCCGCATCTCTCGCATGGAAGCTGGGTGAAAAACATTTTTAATATTTCACACGCATACTCACGAAGAAAACCACATAATGCTTAAGATTCTGGTGGGGATTATTAAATAATTGAGAGCGAAAGGAGATTTCATTAAAGTTTATTATTTCCGAGGTGCGAAAGTTGCAAGAGAAAAAACCTCCACCCAATTTGCCATCATGATTATGGAGAATATTCATGTGAGATACGCCATGTATTTTCCCAAACACGTATTAGCGATATTCTTGAGCTTTTCCACTTGACGGTCATGTCAGTGACTTTTTCTCCCTCTTCTCGCCATAAATACTTCCCCTTATTATTCCGAGCACGATGCTCGATGTGGCGAATTTTTGTAGAATCTTCTGCAATATTTCCCATGGTTCTCAAGTCAACACACTTAATCTTTGATGATTTGAGAAACAGTTTACAATTTAGTTTGCACCGCCGTTAAAAGGTTCACCACCAGCGGAACCAACTCATTGCACGGAGTTTGTAAATAATGTAATTTCATTTTAAGTACACGATGTGTTGTTGCAAATAAAATTCTGAAAAGGGAAATTAAATTCACCGCTTCCATCGAAATCAATTTAGAGACTTCAGAGAGCACGTCAGAGTAGACATTTAACGACGAGCGAAAATTGGTGACATCCTCTGGAAAATGTAACGAATAATTCAATATGCGGTCATAGTTTTTCATCCAATTTGCTGCTGCCTGCAGAAATACAATATGAGGTGCACAAAATGCCATGAATTCACATGGAAAACCGCACAAGTAAGAAAATGTCCCACCGCGTGGCATGAGGCTCGGCGTTGCCAGCAAATTCAATTTTCCATCTGCACAGGGCGAGAGATTCATACTCTTGAGCTTGCAGGCTGCAAAAACGAGGAAAGTGGAAGCGATAAAAGAAATTGCTGCCCAACAGAGTACTTAATAATTCCCTGCAGGAAGTTCCATGTCAAAGAGTTGTTAGAAGCCACTTACAACTCAATGGTTAAATTTACTCTCACTGACAACAGCAACAAGTTATCGAAGTTGCACTCGAGGTTTTTAGTACGCTTTGTCACATAAGATGGCAGAAGACCCTCTTCTAGATTCTCAACAAATAGATGTGTAAACTTTAGAATACACTCACTTCAAAAGCTTCTCCACAATTCAATACATTACGTGAGTACTTCTTACATTATTCTATGCTTTGTGCATTAATCAAACATAGGGAGAAAGTGCAGTCTTCGCCTAAATCTTCTTAACATGTCTGTTTATGTAAATATTACCAACTGAGAGTGTAATTCTTTTGGTTTGTCTCTTTGGAAGTATTTATGTGATGTGAAAATGAATTATATTACATACGCTTAAACACATCTCAAAAACTGTCTTCTCTAGATGTTGTAAGAACGTGAATAACTATTATACAATGTAATCCTTTTCAAAGAAAGATAAAAACTCCAAGTTACTTTATTGCATGCGTAATTAAATTTCACATAATTGACTCTTGAAATTCCCAATGAGCATCCTCTGTGAATTTCCAATCTGTAAACTTTTTAATAGTTCTTCTGTCATTGAGCTGTAGCGATAAGCGTAAAATGGGTGTCAAATGTAATATGGAAGAGCATGTAAATGACCCCAATTGATTTTTTATCTAACAACCCATTTAAAAGCGATAGGTACATGTGATTTTTTTTATCTCTCTCGCTAGCAAATAGAAAAATATTTGTATTGCTCACTCAGGTGGGGAAATTGCAGTTGAATGTCGAAATTTAGGGCACAATTGATGTGCTCTCTCGACACTTGTGCCAGATGACATTAAAGTTGAACTACTAATGCAAATTTATTCTCTCGATCGGCAACATGTGGGTTGTCGTGAAATGATGTTATTGGATATCCCAGAGTGGTGATTCAGCAGGTAAAGGCTTAGAGCTGAGCACGGCAATCAATCATTGATGTGCCAGGCATTTTTTTTTGCTCTCTTGATCGCCTTTCCAATTTTTTATACCACTCTTGGTGACCAATTTGTGCATTATATTTGCAAATTCTCAATCGTGCGTCGGCGAAAACTTCTAGCCATTGACAACATATTAACAATAAAATTCACTGGAGTTGGGATGATGAAAAGTGTCAACAAAACAATGTACACAAGAGAGCATGACACTCTTTTCTCATCCACATCTCTACTCTTTTGTCGACATGGCCCCCATCTTCGCATCAACGGTCCGTGCATAATAATACCCAAATTGTCACTGAGCCTGAAGCTGTGAGTCACGAGGAATTTCATTGGACGCAAGTTCATGATACGAAATACATAAATGTACAGTTTTTATATTTTGCTTTGCCAAAATGAGAAAAAAAATCACATAAAATCTCATGCAAATTTCCCACTATTTGTGATTACTTTTTATTGACACTCGTGCTGCTCAGTCAGGTGCTGTTTGTAATTACTGAGCATGCACTAAGAATTTTAGCATTTAATTAAAAAGCTTGCATAACGTCTAGTGGACAATGTACTTGTCGCTTAATTGTCTTGTGGAAATGAGAAGAGCACAGTCGCTCAGGTTTTCAAGATTCTGCTTGCAATCTCTCTTCTTTTCGCTCCCATTCAATTCTCCCAGCGATGATTCACGTGCAAATGTGTGCGTTGTTCTTTGCAAACACTCAAAACAATTAGCAGTTTTCCAGGTAACACGCTGAGGCAAAACTACACGTGAAACTGAGCAATTAAGTCCATTAGATAGTCGCATGTGAGTGTGAGTGGCACGAGAATTACTCACGCTCGGAGTTACGCTAATGGAAATTTCAGAAACGACGTCAAGATTTGCCGGAGTGTAGAGCGAAATTATCAATGCCCGACTGGAGGTGTGGAAGAGACTCCACACAGACATTTCCTCATGTAAACTTTTAACATAAAAGACGCTGAGCAGTGGAAGTGGAGGCCAGTCTGAAGCCACATTCCCTGATTACTGGTGGAGCATTGAGCTATTGACTGTGCCACATTTATTAACAGTGAACATGGGGGGCCCTCAAATTGTGCTCTGCTGCTTTCTAATTGCCGCAACAAGTGCATCATCTGTTGCTCGTCAATCCGCCTCCAGTGACCTGCACGAGGTACTTTGTGACTCTTGTGAGTTTGATCGACAGTTTAGTGAATTGTGTTTTACTTTCTAGATTCATCCACTTCTGCGCATTAGGCGACAATCGGGCGGTCTCTGTGTTCCCGAAGGAGGATATGTGAGTACTTTCCTTCGCTCTTGACTCTCCTCAACCTTTTTATAGCAAACATTGTCAATTTCAGTGCACTAAACAATATCATTGCTGCTCTGGAGTCTGTCTGACCTTCTCCTACAAGTGCGGGTCGCAACCCACAGGAGGCACTCAGATTGACCTTGTGTCCTCAATCATTGACTCCACGTCGTCCTTCGGTGGTTCTGATCTTGAGAATCGCTTCGGAGATAACGATACCAGTGCCGCTCCAGTGTGTGCCCAAAACGGCGAATATGTGAGGCTCTCATTTACATTATTTTCTACGATAGCCATCTATAAAAGTGTTTTTTTTTTCTCCATATGATCAGTGCCAAACAAGTCACCAGTGTTGCTCTCAGAGATGTCTCAGCTTCTCATACAAATGTGTCCCAAATTACGATGTCGTCGCGCCGAGTATACCTGGACAGCCATCTCTCAATCCCGGCTCTAACATCCCTCAGAACACCATGACCATCGAGGAGCTCATCAGCAATCGCTTCGGTGATCCAGACAAAACGACCAAAGCACCAACTTGCTTGACAAATGGAGCAGAATGCAGAGAGTCCAGCACGTGTTGCTCGCAATACTGCGCTCAGGCTACATTACACTCCCGCCGTTGTCTACAGAAACCCAACAATATTCGCCCCCAGCAACCTTCCGGACTGCCTCCACGAGGCCCTGGCAGTGACACCGACGATGGCGATGATTCCGGAGAGGGAACTTGCATAGCTGTCGGAGACAAAGTAAGTTACTATTGCTGGACAATCGCTAAGGCATAGATGTGTTTTCAATGATCTACTTCTTTCCATAGTGCTATATGAATGATGAGTGCTGCAGCCGGCGCTGTCATGGGTTTTTACATCAGTGCGTCACATAAAGAGCGTCTCCAACTGGCTTCTCGCGCGAGACGCACACAGACACATCTTAATCCGCGCTTTTATAAACAAGTTTCTCTCGGCTTGTTTGCGAGAAACAAAGTATAATGATAATAATACAAAATTTATATAGACATTGCGACTAAAACATATGTATTTACGATCTGTATTGAAAGCAGACCAAAATTGATTAAGTCGCAAGATCTCTGCTGTTTTGCCTTCGTCAATTATAAGGCACAACACAAAAATAAATCGCAAAAGCAAAGCGGTAAAAACATTCAGGTTGATATTTTATTATGGTGATCAATTCATCTGCGAATTCAGCTGAGGAAGTGACTCCAATCTATCAAGTCCAGCAGTGAAATCCCGCGCTTTTTTTTGCATCTGAGCCAAACAATTAATATTCTCAACCAGTAACACACTTGTTGTGGATTGGAAAAAGAAGCAAATCAAATAAAATGGACTTGCTAATGGATATTCCATATATTGCGATATTTTGTTCTATAGAATTACCGCTGTGTCGGTTTGTTTCAAAATAAAACACACAAACCTTTGCATGACAAGAACCACATTCTTCAACTAGACATTTATATTGAGGAGAACCTGCTTGGGTACTAAAACGATTTCATGGGATTTCCCACGTATTAAAGCAAAAGTAGAACTTCTCTCAACCCCGAGAATCAGGTACATCACTTGTCGTGCGCGACAGTGATGTAGTGAGAACTGGGTGAAAGTGCTTCGAAATTGTCCTGGAAATATCTGATTTAAAATCCACCAAAGGCTCATTAAAAATACACTCTTATCCTCCTTATCACAAATTGGAGAATTTGTCAGACAGAAGTTCGCGAGGGAATATGAAAGAAATCTCTTCGGATAAGCCATTTTAGAAAGCTGTTAAATCTCTTTAGAAGACATCTCGCGAGCTTTTCTGAATACAAAAATTCTTCACAATCGCTCTTGGAATAAAAATTACCATTCACTACGCTACTGATCGCCGAGTTAATTAATCCAGAAAGAAGACACTACATTGCTATTGTGAATTTCTTACTCATGTTTTGCAAACGGATACAGTTAGAATATTAATGAGCTTTCATAATAAATACATATCTAGGTTTATTAACTCCCTTTTTTCATGTTCAACTGCGAATATGTATGTATTTAGAGGAAACTTGGCAAACAATAATCAGAGATTAGAAATTCCCTTCACACCTCACGCAAAACGGGCCATTTGCAAACAAATACATTGCGAGGTGGAGAACTAACAAGACATTAAATTCCTGTGTGCTAATAAACAAGAAAGCTCATAATAAATTTAAATGGAGAGTAATTTGAGGCACTAGAGAAGTACAGCGGCGTACTGCAGAGGAAATTAATTTATTTCCATGTCGCCTTTTTCGGGAGGACACTGTGCAGAGTGATGGAGGAGCCGTGGATGAGGATCTGAGGAGAAATTTAGCCATGTGTAACTATAAAAGTCACTTAGTATTTCCCGCGCGCATCGAGAGACTCCCAGTGGAGATACAACATTGTCATCAAAAGCTCATGGTATGAAGTATCATGTTAACGCATTAAAATGCTGATGAGGATCCTCTCACTTTTTCCATTTCTCCCACAAACATGCTATGCTGCTACTCCTCGTCTTGAGCTGACGGGGAGAATGAGGAGTGTGAGATGGGAAACTTCACAAGAGATTCACAACTGCAAAAGCGCCCGGCAAGAGGAAGCACGTGAGGCATTTTTTGCTGAGCTACAAATTACCAAAAGGATACACTTGAGCACAAGAGAGTGTGAGAAGATAATTTAATGATGGCAAAGATGGTGAAGTTGACGGCAAAAATCTAAATTGGAGATGGCAATGGGTCCACGTGGCGGAGCGAAAGTTGCTCCTCGTTATCTGGCAGTGCGTGTAAACTTGTGCATCTCCACCGCAAACTTTCTACACCAAACTCGGTCTGCGTCAACTTGTTCCGATAAACAAATTCGACTTTTTCACACTCCACACGAATAAATTTGCCATTCTTGTCGTGATCGGATAAAAAGAAAATCACCCCAGATTGTCCTCCGTCGCAAGTCTCTCTCGTGGAGACTTTTTCTCTTGGACGACAAACATTGCCTTCGCGCACAATTTCGTGCCAAACTGTGATGATGGGAAGTGGCATAAGAATCGCGTGACTGGATTACTGAATAGTCATTAATAATGCTACCGATTTATTGTTCATGAAAGCCATCCTCAAATCTCGTCCAACACAGCCAAATTGGAGAATGTTGGTGGAAAAAAGCGCCCATCCCAGATGGAAATAGGAAAATGCGCATTAAATTCGCATTTTCACATATTACATTGGCTACATAAACATATTTTACGATATAATGATTTCTCATACAAATATTTGAATGATATTTCGCTTCAATTATTCAGCAATTTCTTTACACCGATTTGCATTTGTTGCCACTTGCGTCAAAACACAAATATGTTTTGTGTTCAATTTGGCAACCACTAATTATGCAATATAATTCAATAATCAGTTGAAACCGACTGTGTCTGTGGGAAAAACATTTTCATGCTATTTCACACAAAACTTGTGCTCTCGGTACAATTGCCAATCTAAAAGTTGTTTTCCCTTAACGTTTCCTTGAAAGTTTAGGTCCTCATGTGTTTCCTTTTTATATTCCTTCATAACAACAGATCCTAATAGTTCTTTATCACTGGATTTTGCACAGAGACTTTCGTTATATTAAAGTGTTGTAAAAGAGATTGAAAGTTTTTGCCTGAGAATCTCCATGTTAGATGGGAAAGAAGTGTAGCTCAAGAACAAGATATGGTTATTTTGGGGTTTTCTTTTACTGGCGTTTATTTTATACCTCACCCTCAGCCAACCATCTCGATTTCCGAAGGGGTAAAACAGAACATTTATTTCCCGAACAGGCGGAAAAGAACTATTCCCGAATCCTCCGCCCCCCACAAGAGTGCCCCAATATCTTCCACCTGAAATCATGGGGTAATCTGTTGGAGGGAATTTATCCAAAATATCATCATTTTCCCGCTCGTGTTGGCAAATTATTTATATCACTTTATGGCTAATCAATAAATTTGCACAATTTATTCATAGTTCCACCGTGTGGAAAATTTATAAAAATATATTTTGCCTTTCGGTGAAGTATTTTCAGGTAGGCCGAAGAAGAAGGCACTTTGCGGGTGAAAATGCCATGTGAATTAGCTCAGTGTAATTGAATAGGATCACGTGGGTTCACGTAAAGTGTGATAAATGATACATCATGTGCAATTTGTAGAGCTCTACTGTAATTTTTATCTCCTTGTACGACACCCCTCAATGATCTTTTCATGTGTCAGATGAGAGAATGCCTCGGTTGAGTGTATCAATCCCCCTTTGTTGCTCATTGTGTCTCGCAAAATATGACAAAGAGTATCATTTTATTTATGATCTCTCACTTATGCTCCATAAGAGATATTATTGCGCCACTCCCCGCCCCCACCACACGTTGATACGATCGTGCCAAGCTTGATGGATTCTGTCATACCGCAGAATTGGACTCACACTCCCGGCGCCCAAAGAAGGGGTGAACCCTTCAATGTCACACACTTTGCCAGTGAAGATGTTAAATTATTGTGCGAGAAAATGTTGGTGAAAATAAATTTACTCACTTTTGTGTCTCCTTTCCCATTCATATCCACTTCGCATGAAAACCAAGAGTTTGTATTCCGCAAAGTGCGAAAAAAAATTCCTCCTTGCGGCCTTTTCTTTCACTCTCCATTTTTTCCCCGACCATGTGTGTGTGTGTGAAAAGCGAGACTGAAGTGATTCGAAAAATCTTCTTTGGTATTTTTTGTTCGTTCAAATCTCCCTGTAATTTTTGGCGAAATCTCTTAATCTGCCCAACTCCATCTGAGGCAACAAACGGGACAGATTAAAAAGATTGAGGGGATGAAATGCAATAAAATGCAGAGTGATGGTCATTTTGTTGTGTGGATCGCCCTCCATCGATAGCAGTGAGGGAGTGAGAGGGGTGGGATATTGCCGACGAATATCCTCAATGGACAAACAATCGAAAGATGCTGAAGAAGACGCGCAGCGAGAGGAGAAAATGTGAATGTAGCACTTTTTTCTCTCCTCACATTGATGATGATGATGATCTCCCTCGCACATCAATGCTCAGAGTCGTTTTTATTGGCATCCTGTGAGGAGATTTCACTTAAGATCAAATTCCAGATTTTCCTTTGCACGATTTTCCGATAAAATGAAAATACTTCTCTCGAAAAATCAATCAGATTCACATAAGAGCAGCATATGGGTTGATAAATATTTTTCAAAAACTAAATACTCTGTGATGTATGGAATCCCATTATTATCTTTAATTGAGTGGCTCCGAAACATTTTGTGTTGATTCAACAGAAAACGCCATTCTGGTCAAGAGTGGCTGTGAATAGAAGCAGAGAATGATAAAGGGTTCCATTCCAATTTCCCCATAAGATAAAGTCAAAGGGAATAGCCCCATTTGGGGGGCCGAAGGAGTTACAGCACTTGCTCTCGGAGACGACAGAAAGCTCTGGCTCTTCAGATGAAATTGTCCAAAAGAGAGAGAGAGGAAAAAATCCGACGAGATGAAGAAATTCTGATACTTAAATGGTATCAATAACTGTGCGCTCCTCTGCAAAAGTTCACCCTTTGACGAACGTCTCCATAAGAGTATTACATCAAATCGGTGAGCGAAGGAAGGAAAGTTGAGGGAGGCTGGGAATCTCACTCTGCACCTAACAATGTCGCTATTTATAGTTTTCCAACCCACCCACAAGTCCATCTCCCTGCCTTCATATGGTAGTTTGAGTCTCTTCTGGATGTCTTTCTTGTATGGCCTGGAATTGACTTTTGTGTGCGCTAGCATACACGCTATCCTCCACACCCGAGGAAACCACTCTCACCGTTTATCGTAAACTATTGTTGAACATCACTCCCATCTGAGAATTCACCCACAGCGCAAAGTTTCCCATATAACACACATTTGACGTTGGCAATTGATAGAGATACGAAAATGAGAGTGAAAATACAAGAGCGAGCTTTTCGCCTCGCCAACATTGTGAGCTTTGATCAGTTGAATGAGATTAAAAAGAAAACAGTTGCGCGAATCATTTCAAGCTTTCATGAACACAATTGCTTTTCTCCATCTCGCATTAAAGGAAAATTATTACGACTTATGTGGTGGGAAATTCGAAATAAACTCAATTTTTTCACACCCTCTCTTTGGCTTCGCTTCATGGATGCCTTGTCTTAAGAGAATAAATTGCAATTGAAGCTACTTCCTTGATGTTTCCCATCGCGTCTTTCATTCTTGTTTTGCCTCTGCAGCACGGAAAAGAGCTTAAGTAGCAGAAGAAAGGACTTTTTGTTGTTTTTCTCTTTCCCCACTCTCATGGTGGAAAGTGTGAAAAAGTCATGAAGAAAAATATTACCTATGTCGTGATAAATGAGAAAATTACTCCATAACATGGTAGAAGAAAAACTCACGGAAAATTTCTCATTTCCACCTCGAATATGGGGTGCTTTGTGTGAGACAACAAGGTAAATGGTGATACCAAAGGGTGCAAAAGCAGAGAAGGTAAGAGAAACAGACGGATATGAAGTCGTTGTGTAAATTAAATTAAGAAAAACTCAGGCTCTGCCCGTAAGTTTTTACTTGATCTCTCTCCCTCTTACTCCCTGCCCCACACGAGTATTGGGAAATTTATCCGGATCGTTTTTTTTTGCACAGACGCTTCTGGGCATGATCTCACTCTAAATAAATTATATGGCATTTTTCGAGGGACTTGCAGAGGCATGTGAATCCATCAAAAACAGAGCAGAAATAATGCCTCTGGGTTGAGAAGTTGAAAGGGAAACCTCGCGGCTGGAGGGAGAAAGCATCAATCTTATTAGTTAAATAAATCGTAAAAATTTGACATGGGCACCATAATTCCTTTTACAGGATAAAGAAGACTCTTTTCCCCGTACCCGTCATCGTGGCCCGCAAGGAATTTAAGCCAAATGAATAATGTACAAATACTCTCGATCACAGCCCTGAAGACTTCATTAAGCACATTTTATAGCCAGATTTCTGGATGAGTATTAATATTGCAAGCTGAAAAAGTGGGGCAGTTTATGTGAATTTTACCTAAAGTAGAATCTCAAAAGAGTGCCCAAAAACTATCTTTCGCTTCTCTATATAATATATGTACACACACACGTAAGAAAAGCCCAATTCGACATCTAGATATTTCTTTCTATTTCACCTTATTCTCCTCGCCGAGACGAGTCTCTTTGGCGAGAGGAAAAACTTTTAGTATGTGATTTTCACACAAGGGACAAGACTTTGGGTATTGTGGTCGAAAAAAAATGGTATTCACCCAATTTGTCTGTGACATTTTAGGTCAATTTGCCAATTCAACCACAGAGTATTATTAATCCTCTCGCTCGGCGATTCCACCTGGACACAAAGGAAGAAAGAGAGCGAGCGAATGAGCTGACAGTGTCCTTTCTTTGACGCAGAAGCTCCAATATTGAGTGTGGAGCTATTTAAAAATCAATTTATATTTATACATTGGGATTTGGGCACCATGCACAGCTCTTCTAAGCTCGCCACATTCGAGAGATATGTAGAACGGATGATGTGATGGATAGTGAAGTGTGGAGATATCAAAGTCGTCTATTTCCTATACAATATGTTGTATTCTCATGGATAAATATTTCAGACTACGGCCGTGGAAATTTATTTAGAGGCAGATGTAAATTTTTAAAACGAGATTACTTCTTTACGACATCATTTCGCACGATCTCTGCACCAATTGAAGATCGTATTCTTCAGCTTTCCAGCAATTAATTTGAAATAATACACATAAATTCAGAACAGTGAATCTGCCTTATGCCTTCCCACAATCACTTCCACCCGCTCTGGGAAATTCTATTTTCACCAACTTCTCCCTCCTGACATTTCAATGCAGAAGATAAGGAGGAACATGAATAAATTCGTGAGGGAAAATTTGTTATTTTCTCCGAGATATCATCGTGGGAACACTTCCCAAAAGATAGAGAATTGATTCCCAAAATTTATGGTAATGTTTTACCCGAAACACAAGGGTCTCTCTTGGCAGAGATTCTGTGATCATTTTTGCCATTCTCACGTGTTAATCATCCACTGGGAATGCTTATAGCGACATGTACTTAATTTCCATCACCATGAGGTTAGTTTTCTTCGCCCCAGTTACCACTCATGCGGTTCGGAGAGATTTGGCTTCAGGGCGAGAGACACGATGAATAAGTCAGTGGCAATGTAATTTATACAAACCACGGGACGAGACTTGCAACTTGCAAACAATTTCCACGCTCAGCGAGTGAATTGCACACGAAATGACTGAAAAATAGCATTTTTCACTACATATTTTTTTTAATACTCCGCACATTCAACTGCAGCATTTCACTTGCACCCAAACGTGAAAGTGCAGAGATTTTAAATTTTATTACAACATTCCCAACATAAATATTATGTGTAAAAATTTACCCCAGAGAATATTTACTTGAATTCGCAATTTTGCACGCTCTCTAATCAGAGACTAATTGCGATTCTTTTTTTCTTAAATACACTTTCCAACAGTGCCGCCAGACACAATTTTCATGGGAGAATTTTCGCAGTGCCCAAATTAAGAAATCATTCCTCATAAAATATATAAAACTCCACCCTCGCTGAGAAACATGAGCTGGGGTGTTAATTTGCCCCTAATTTGTACGCAATTCACACAAATTTACCCACTCGTGGTGTCGTGAGTAAGCAGAAAAAATCGCAAGAGCGGCAAATTTTGCCTTTTCTACCGAAAATTGATATTATTTCTTTCACAGCGCGCTACAAAAATCCCGAGATAAACTTCTGTGATAGCAGAAGAACTATATATTCAAGGGACGAGCAGAAATTGCAGATGAAGAGACAAATTTTTCCTGTTACATTTTACAGAGAGGAAATCAGTAGGGTGTCCTCGACGAATGTCATTTCACGCACTCACCGGAAGTTTCTCAAGTGAAAAGGGACGTGTGAAGAATGGTGGAAAAATTCCAATTTTCCCATAAAGTCTCAAGCAACTCCAGCAGGAATCGATTTTTGATTAGACTCCTGGAGAGTGTACGAGGTATAGGTAATATATTTTGAAATTAAATACCACCCAACGGAAGTAATCATCTGCTTTCAATCATTACCCCATGGGAAGAGGCGCAAAAGAGAATTTCCATCGCAACATTCCTCCTTTCTGTGCCCAATTTTTCGCCCTTCTTCGCGCACAAAAACGCACACACACTCCAGGAATCCAATCCCAACGTCATGTCATCTTTTCCACCACGCCAATTTCAATGTAATTAAAAACTTTACCGCAACTCATCTTAAATTAAATATTAATAATAAAAAAAATTATGCAATGAAACACATTCAAAAATCCACCCACCACACAGATTACCATTAATGTTCGCACTCTGTCATTTCGTCACGCTACAGTGACTGCAAAAGAAGTTTTTAAGTCGCATTATAAGTATTCACTATGCACATTTCCAATTCAATTATCCTGGCTACCGAGAGGGGGCACAACTGAGGTGGGTGAAAAAAATCACACAGACGGAATGTAGAAGACAGACTGTAATGTGATGGGAAATATTTAAATTCATTTGGAAATCCACTGATGAATAATTAATTTATTTTAAAAACTTCCCATTGAAAGTTTCCCTCTTTTACCTTTTTTTCCCAAACATTTCTTCTGCCGTGGAAATTTTTCTTTCCAACAGCCTCAAAGCGGATCGAATTCGGAAAGTGCTTCTCTGTCGTCTGATTTCTGATTAAGCCCCCAAAGCCTCTGTTGTGTTTTAGGGGAGAGAAGTAGGCATGTATGTACATATTTAAGGTGAGATTGTGTGTAGTTTCAGAATATATTTAGGGACTTTAGAGAGGGTGACTCAAGAATACTTTCCTCAATATCTTCCCAAAGACAGACCTTCCATGTATATAGTATATTGCAAACAAGAGTGAGATTTTCCCTTCAAATGAAACTATGACCATTTCCAAGACCATTTCAGGGTTGGCCTCTTGTTTCGAGTCAACGATGAACTTGTAGATAAATAAATTAGAATATTCAGCCGCACCTTAATCTTCACGTCAAGAGGTGAGATATTTATGAATAAAAAATATGCTAACACTATAGACAAGCTGGTGAGATGTGAAAATCAGAAAATTCACACAACCACTTCAGTCTCATAATATCGCATCAGATGACCGAAGGCCCTTTGAGAGACATTTCTGAGATATTTGGGATTTTGCCCTATTCCTTCTCATAATTCACGTATCGCAATGTCTGAGGTTGAATATTTCCCTTTCATCCTCTATTACAGAGGCCTGTGGATGCAGGAGACACGTTGACATTGCAAAGTATCTTTCAAAGCTTTTCCGCCATTCAGAATCATCCTATTGATAATTTCACCCTCTCCCATCGCACACATCCACATGGATGGCCTGACAGGCGAGATGATTGAAAAGTTGAATTTCCCATGTAAAGAGGAAGAAATGACGATGTAATGATAATTTCCATTGGATTTGCTCCGCGCCACGGAGGAGAAAATTGCGGAAACCCGCCAGACATGCCGTGAATTTTCATCGACGTCGCGCGTACAGGCGGAAATGAAACAAAACGACAATCTGACACCCATTTCCAACTTAAGCCCATATTTTTCTCACCCCACAAAATTGAATAAACCGGCATAAATATATGGGGATAATTGAAAGCTCTGCCAGTCAGAAAATGGCATGAAAATCATAAAATTCTATGCTTTAAAAAGGGTGACAACTTTACTACTCCCGTGTATTCTCAAGGAGAGATTTGGATATACTCAAGAGTTTATTAGCGGATAAAAATCACCAAACAAGGTGAACGCATAAATTATCCTCTCCACCGTCAGCCGACGCGAAAAATCAGACGATGAGCTGTACATCAGCATTTTAAGTCAATTACTCTCCATCTCACCTTCGAAGCACCTCACTGAACTGTCGTCTGATAAGCGGATATGAATTGCAAGTTGAATTGAAAGCAGTTAATGAGGTGAGAGAGAAGAGAAATCGTCTGGTAAAATCTACGATGAGCGACGGATTAACTACGTGTCGCAGAAAAATTTAAATCACTGCTATCGATTCTATTCAATCCGTTAATGCTCTGCATAACTTCGATAATTATAATATTTTGAGAATTTCATTACCTTTTCCTCCCGCGATGGTGATGTTGTGTAACTTTGACGGATCTCTTTCCACTTGCAAGTGTATATCACGGGGAAAAATGTGACTATACCAAGTTGGGAATTTTTTAATTTCGTCCCGATTCTTTACTCGCTACTCTATTTAATATTCTCTTAGTAACTCGTAATGTATTGTCAGTCACACTTTCCTCTTTGTCATTAAAACGAGAGAGGGAGAGAGATAGAATGTGAAAACTAAAGTATAACTTTATGTATTGATGAAAGCACCGAAACACAATAGATTGCCCTGAATTCTCGAAATTGATTTTAAATGATCATCGGGAGAGTGAGGTAAAATTGGGATGAAAAGCGAAAATCACGTGGATTTCACGGTGATGTTTCGCGTTTACCTTTGCCTACTTTTCAAACTAAAAGCCTGGTGGGATATTTCATATTATTATAATCTCGGTGAGTGAGTCTTTGATCAAATTGAGAAAACTAAAATCACAATCACAGATTCACGCCTTGTCCTGGACACTAGAGAACCTATTCAACATGCTCCTTGCTGCCACGGCGATAAACTGATAAATTTGTTGCTCGCGGCCGTGCAAGGAGTCCAAAAGCCAGATGAGGAGCTTCTGCGTGCGCATGAGCAGGTCTCCTGTTGGAAATTTTCAATTCTTCCACAGTTACTGAAAATTTCCCAGATTCCCCCTGATTTACCAAATCTTCCGTAATACTCATGAGTGTTCTTTTTTTCACTTCAAAAGTAGATTATAGCCAAATGAGTGGAATAATTCTATTCTCCTTCTCAACTGTAGATTCACCTTTAAGGAATGCAGCATTATTCTGTGGGCCATGCTTCTCTAGCGTCGAGCCTCGGCACCAAGAATAATAGTGGTGAGCAGGTAAAGGTAGAAAACTTTTGCAATTTTCCCAATTTCCTGTCGTCTCAGCCGAGATGAGCAACTAGGCATGTATGGCTGAGGATTTGTATATCTGTGAGTTGCCTTCGTTCGGCATATGTGACAAAAGGCATAGCAAGGGATGAGATTTTATGAATTGTCTAGTATTATGTATGCATGGCGGTGGAAAAAAGACCAAAGCGCCGTAGATATTGTGTATAAATTCACTAAACTTTTCACTCCGCCCCTGCCCAGGAGTTGAAAACGTCGTTTCATTAGACACAGCGAAATTCCTTCAGAGATTTCGGATTGTAATAAAACTACATCAGTGAGTGTGTCGGCTCATTGTCTCCACGGTGGCTTTTATTGTAGCTGGGAAGTATGACGAGATTGAGATGAGAAGGCAATGGAAAATGGAATGCATGTGTAGCTATTTCAATTTTCCTACCACAAGGAACATGCTTCACTGCCAAGGATTTAAAACATTCAATTATACACAGAAGCTCCACTACGGCATGATTCACTCAATTCTACCCCACCTTCAGTCATTGCGCTAAATTAATTTTGCGATATATGTGAGACAGACGTATCATTATGCTCAATGTTACACCTTCTACTGCTTCTTCGTGAGAATTTTTAATTAGCATCAAGTGAGAGAAATGGCTGGCACATGTGTAAAAAAGACACTCCGTCCTCCACATCACAATGGTAAATCAGGAAAATTCTCGTAAAATTCAAATGCGACAACTTCTCATCAAAGTTGCCTAATTGCAATCATTGCACAGAACCCATTAATTAATGCATCTCAGCAAAAGAAAAAAAAATACGCACCAGAGAAAGATCGCATCGATGGAAATTCAACGACCAACTCTCAGCCATGGGATGGAGATTGAAGTGTGAAAGCAATTAGGAGTCCAACAACGGATACCAAATGAGATCATTCAAGAGAAATGAAAGAAGGGCAAACAACTATTCATTTATAGAAAAAAAACCTAAAGTCCATAAAAGGCTTATTGGTGGCTGAAAATCCCTATCTAATATGTAAAAACAAAAATCAAGTCCAATATTTTAATCTTTATGTTGTGCATATTTCTACACGAAATTTTAGCGAAAGAAAAATAATCGTAGGTCAACGAAAGCTCCAACTACTTTTCTGGTCCAAACATAAACACATTTGTGCAAAATCTAATATCATGTACTCACAAACCCCTGTGGAATCCACGATGGATGTTAACACTCGTATGATTATTCGCCTCAATTCGCGATTGATTGCACGGCTCGGAGAATGACGAGTGGTTGTAATAATTAGAATTTTGTGTGCATCTCGAAAATCCGTGATGGTTCAACAAATCCTTCAAAAAGAGAAATCAATTTTCGCAACGCTGCTCTCTGTCCATCAATGCGCCACCAAAAGTCAATTTTAATCACCACGAAAAACTGCGAAGCGAAAAAGAGAAGTCAATTAATAAAAGTCCACCTAATCCAATTCGCTCAATGGTACGACTTTAATTCAATGATGATCTCCCCCTTAGGCGCAAATGCTGACAAAATTGCGACAAGGATGTGAACTTGATGTGATTGGCTGTGACTTACATTTTTTTTCTCCTGCTGAGGGGACAAATATTACAAAATTTACGGAACAATTAAGTTCACTCATACCTTTAAAACTTCACACTCTGTGAATGAGGTATTTTAAGTTGAAACGAAGGGATGAAACACCGAAATGCTTTTAATATTGTACCCTGTGGAGGAGAGCATTACTGTGAGACAACCTTAAAAAGCCCACCTCGTCAGATTTTTTCTCTGTCCCCCGAAATTCCCCATTACCATCGTAGGAAATTTTATTATTATTAAGAGTTGCGACGACAGGGACATGAATTTATTTAAAGCCACAGACCACAAATAAAATCAAGCTGTGGAAAGAACACAGAAAAGCTATACGATGAATTTTCTCGCTTCTCTTTCTCTCGCGTGACAACTTAAGGAATTTTCATTCCTTGTAAAGTGAATTTGTAACAAGTTGCTGATGTACACAAGACGGGGAGGAATGGGAGAGAAAAAAAGAGATTGTGAATTATGGAATGCTGAAAAGGGAGTTCTTTCTTCAGATACTGATTTCTCTTTGCCATTTTAAAGAGTATATATGAAGCTTCAAATCAGCTCCACCGCAAGGCATCTCTGTATAAATGCTAAGAGTATTTGGAGAGTCTTTCCGCTATAAATTGAGTCTCAATGAAGCTGCGTCCTTTCGCTTCTGCTCATTCCAAGCATATACTTTCATGGTAAATACTATATAGCCATTTGATACCACTAAATTGCTTCCGAAATATGCAAAAAATGTCACAAAACTGAAAATCTCATTTAGCATGAACAGTGCATTTGTATCGAATTTCCACGAACATTCTCAAGTCTGCAGTGTCTTTCATCTCTCTAAGAAAATCCACATGAAGCAATAAGGATGGCAGAGTGAAGAACAAATATCCGCTGTTTAAAAATTAAAGTTCACGAAGTCATGAGAAAGTTTTTGACGAAAGCTCATTTAGTTTCAGTGAACATCAGAATTTTCAGTCTCACAAAATACCTATAAATTTCTCATAGGACTTCAGCGACTGTCGAATTACTACATACATATAATATTCAACTGTGTGGCGTAGATGATATACAAGACATATTGTGAAAATAGGCAGGCACGAGGATTGGGGGGAATATATAGAAAAGAGGAGAGAATTTATTTATTATGAATTATTCAGTAGATTTTGTCGGATGTTCATCTTTCTTTCGCATTTTCCACCTCATGACTGACGCACACCTCCTCGTCACCGCTCTTTTTCGCAACAATCGACTTATGGTGGTAAAATCGAGGTTTCACCCCAATAAAATTTCAAGTGGCTCTCTCATTCAAACACACATAGCAATATGTGAGGAACCTTTCCTGTTGAAAGTCGATCACGTGCACTGTTTGTATTTAATCGCGAAGCGCGTGCTATATAGACCAAAAGATGCTCTTGAGATTACCTGTAATACCGAAGAATATAACATCACTGCCATATTGCGAAATGTTGCCCAATTCATACCTGCTTTTGATAGAGTTAGATAACCTATCAATTCCTTTACCGAGTGATTAGCAAATCGTCTCTAATTTCTATATCTCGCCAACGTCATTTCGCATATTTGCTCTTGCAGAAATTCCATACAAATATACATTGAGAGCGCACACAGAATATTGCTGCGTGAATTCTCTGTTCAACTACCGAAATGCTTTCCCTATATAGTTTAATTTTGTGTCTGTTGACACGATAAAGGTGGATTTGGAGTCAGACCCATACTGTGCTTCCCATTTGCTGAGTGCAAAAACTCACCCACAATCCCTAAGCGGGTGGAAATGTGAAGCTGGAGGGGTTTGTAAAATTGTTGTTCCAAATGAGATGCGTTTAATTACAGGTTTACAGGATCAATGTGGTATTGACTGACATAATTACTTTGCATACATAATGTGTACATTAATAAAATGTGATATTAAAACTCACTCTCTCAGAGCTTTTGTCTTAATTACACCTAACACTATCTGCCGACTCAAAACACCACCCATAATCCTTCAATGGATCTCCCTCCCTTCCCAATATTGCCAACATCTCCAAATTAGCAACAATTTCCTCTCTAAAATTGATTGCGTAAGTCACTGGTATGATGGGTGAGTTATTGGCACACGACGAGGCAATTCGCTATAGTTCGAAGGGGAGGAAAATCTCTTTGGCATACTGGATTAAAACCAACAAGTGGTTATTTAGTGGAATTCATTTGAGAGGCCCCCATTGAAGTTTAACCTCATATGACAGACACTATGGGAAAATGGAAAGGAGGCACTCGAGGGAGAGACAATGCCTGGGGAATGTTGTACATAACTCAGTTTAAGCTGCAATAAAACACCATCCAAGCAACTCTAATGGTATTGAGGCAATATTTTCCGACTTTAACGATTGTACACGTTACCATATTATTCTTCCCTTGTCGTTAAACACGCGCAATTCGCTTCGGATTTATAAATACCTCAGAATCAAATAACATGCAAATGAGTGGCCAAAAACTAAAGCAACGTCAATTGAAATTTTAATACCAAGCGTCCAAATAACCCTTTCTCCCTCTCTCACATCCATACACAAACATTGAAGGGTAGCTTTGGCAGCAATAAATGAAAACTATGAGCGAATTGGAGTATAGTAAGAGTGTATCGAAACAAAGAGAATGCTGAAATACCTTCAATTTTTACTTTATATCATTCAAAAATGCTAATAAAATATTGCACATTAATTAAGTTTAATTATGCGAAGTTATTTCAGACACAATTCCATGAGCCATTAACTCTCTTATTCGGGCATTAAAATTCTTTTTAGTACAAAGTTGCTTAAAGATAAATTAATTAGGCTTCGCACTACGCCCCTGAACAAGTACAGATGATATGAGTCAATTATCGCAACTTTAAAAGAACAAATGATGTGCAAGTGATTGTGAGGGAATGTTTTGCAAAAACAATTGACATAAGTCGTTCTAAGAAAAGTCATAAAAAATCGAGTATTGAATTACACCAGTTGAGCATAAGATAATCATATCCGAGAGATAGTGGTGAGTTCAATAAGATTCCAGCAGATGGTTTCGCCCATGTACACTGATAAGGGAGAGGGTATAAAAGCACCGTCGAGGGGGCATGCGATCTCCAGTTGAGTACCAGAGTGTGCCTTAAAGTGGTGGAGTGAGGAGTGTATATGTAAAATGCTCAAGACCGGATTAATATGGTGCCTTTTGGTGGGTCTCTATTTTGGGCCCTCCAGCGCCCATCCAGTCAACGACGTCACCTCGAGTGTCATGATCCCTGAGGCCGATGATGTGTCTTACCGTTTGCCCAACGACACCAAGCCTATTCGGTATGATATCAGTTTCACAACCAACATTCATGCTGCCGACTTCATCTACACGGGATCCGAAACGATTCTCATCGACGTGCTCGAGTCAACCAGCGTTATTACCATGCATCATCGTGACATTACCATCAGGAGCGTTGTTGTACGCGCTCAAGGAAGCATCGTGGATCTGTTCCTGAGCCACAGCTACGACGCAGACACAGAATTTTTCCAAATTACAACGAGCTCTAGTCTCAATGTGGGAACTTACGAAGTTATTATTGACTTCGATGGTCTTCACTCACGCCAAGTGACATACGGATGGTATGCTGCTGCTTATACAAATGACCAGGGACAAACTATGTGGCTCGCAACTACGGACTTTGAGGCTCCAGACGCTCGTCAAGCTTTCCCATGCTACGATAGTCCCGAATTTAAGGCTGTCTTCAAGTTCACCATTACTTATCACCAATCTTATGAAGCCATCTCGAACATGCCTGAGACATCAACGACAATTACAAATCAAATGAAAACCACCACTTTCCCAGACACGCCAATTATGTCCACATATTTGTTGGCTTTCGTGGTGTCTGACTTCGGTAAGCAATGCGGACAGGATCGAGAATCTCGCAGCCACTGTGCCTACGCCCGGCCGAACGCCTTGCACCTCTTGCCGTGGTCCCTGCAGACAGCCATCAAGGGAGTGGAGGCTTTGGATGAGGTGTACGGAGTGAAATACCCTCTGCCCAAGCTCGACCAGATCGCCATTCCGGATGTCTACTTCGGATCAGGCGCCATGGAGAACTGGGGATTAGTGACATACCGCGAAAGTCGCCTCCTCATCGATGAATCTAACTACAACTATCGCGAGAAGGACTCCATCGGCACAGTGATTCTGCACGAATTCGCCCATCAGTGGTTCGGCGATCTCGTCAGTCCAATGTGGTGGACTTACTTGTGGCTCAATGAAGGTTTCGCCACACTCTACGAGTACTACGGCACGAACATGGTGAGTCATGCAGTTATCAGTCCCCACACGACAAATTAATTATTTGGTAATGGGATATCTCCAAGACCCACTGAAGCACCTACCGTAAATCAATTGACCAAATTCTATATCAAACGTCCAATTAAAGCGGGAATATGACCTCTTGAAGTTGTCATTGAAAAATTCTCTTATCATTTCCTCATCACAGGTTTATCCAGATATGAGACTAATGGACTTGATGGTGTATGAAACAGTTCAAGGTAGGTAGAGATGGTGAATGCCTTTGATCATGTGCACTTGATTTTGCTGAAAATTTACATAATCAATTTCCGCTATTGATATTTTATACACATGATTCACATGCACTCACACTAAAATAGCGCCCAAATTACGAGAACCCCACAAAAACCTCCGCTCTTTGGCGTATATTTAATGAAATTTCAGTAACAAAATTATTTATTAATTTTTATTCAATATCAATACTGTGCTTTGATATCAATCAACAAATACTGGGTGGGGAAATTCCCGTGATATAGAATGTTGAGAGATTATCGTGAAATAAACCATCAAGCCAGAAATCAAATTTGTTATCTTTTATATACATCTATTGCATACAACGCCAAAAACCGTGAAATTATTGAATATAGTGTGTCACACAGAGCTATATGTGAGATTCATTCGAATTTAAAGCCATTTGAAATAAAATAAGAGCAACCCATTGGGAAATGCTCCAATTTCCTACAATCCATAATCACAAATCACTTTTGCGACAGCACGGCTGATGATTTTGATGCAAAATATCAATCACTCACGCGGAATTATACAATTCAATGTGGCGTGTTTGACAGAAATGCTGACTAATTAATAATATATATTCGATCAATTCAGGAATTATGCTGAGGGATGGCGTTGTTGGAACTCGTCCCATGACGCACTATGTTGAAACACGCGCCAACATTCGCGGTCTTTTCGACTATGTGAGCTATCAGAAGGCAGGAACCGTGCTGAGGATGATGATGTACGCACTCACAGAGCCAACATGGCACAAGGGATTGAAATACTACCTAGAAAAGATGTAAGTGGAGTGTGCCTATCTGGGAACAAATCAAATGTTGAATTTCACACCCCTTTTTATCACTCCCCAGGCAATACAGCAATGCTGTTGCTGAGGATCTCTTTGAAGGCATTCAACGGTCTGTCTCTGAGGACAGTGCTCTTCCAACAGGACTCAATGTGCTCACAATCATGAACTCATGGACCCTCGTTGGAGGCTTCCCGGTTATCACTGTGACGACTCCTTCTGCAAATGGCTTCACCCTCACGCAAAAGGCCTGCATTAATAATAATTTTGATCAGCCACCATCCAACTGGTACATCCCCATCACATACAGCACTAGAAGTAACCCCAATTTCGAGCGCACAACGGCCCAGGAATGGTTCCGTGGTGACGCCAGCAGTCTCCAAGTTACTGTGAGCGGCTTTAACAGCGAGGAAGATTGGTTGATCCTCAATAACCAGCAAACGAGCTACTATCGCGTCAACTACCCCATGTCCAATTGGCTTAAGATCGCCGATGAGCTCAACAATGGCACGTACACAGACATTCATCTCCTCAATCGCGCCCAGTTGCTCGACGATTCTCTGGATTTGGCCTCATTTGGTGTGCTAGACCTCGATGTACCCCTCAGAATCAGCTACTACCTTCGCAACGAGACCGATTACATTCCCTTCGCCAGTTGGAGTGCCGGTTTCACCTCCTTCTACGACAAGCTCGTGCTCTCCGATCACTCCGATAGAATTACGGTGAGTTTATCAGATATTTTGTGGTAATAAACAGCACATGCCTCTCAAGATATGACGCCATAAATCACGAAGTAATCTTGATCATCTCAATCTTTCAGAACTACGTTCAGCAAATTGTGGAGCTTTTCTATGAGACTTACGGTGCGACGGCTGGTACAAATGATGTTTACTTCACGATCCTTGCCAGAACTCTCGCTATTCAGTGGGCCTGCCGCGTTAGCAATAGTGATTGCCTCGAGCACACAGCCAAGGAGATGAGCGAACACATCAATAATGGCAAAGTTCTGGCTCTTGACTACAGCACAGTGATGCCATGCGCTGGTTTGAGGAATGCCACGGACACTGACTTCCTGGCGTACTTCGATCGCCTGAAGACTACCTCATCCGGTCGCAGTACCATCATTAATAACCTCCTGTGCACTTTCAAGCATAGTCAAATTGAATTGCTTCTGCAAATGGCTCTCAGTTCGCCCGCTCTGACGCAAATCACCAACACTGAGGCATCAAATATCATCATTGGAGTCGCCACGAAGAATCTTCATTACTACGAAGTCGTGCTGGACTTCATTCGCGACAATGCGTTCTATTTGAGATATCGTTTCACTTACTTGCAACTGCAGAACATCTTCCGTGCGCTCAGCCAACAGACGTACAGTGAGAGCAATGCGGAGTCTCTGAAGGAGCTCTTCAAGAGCTTCGAGACGGAACTTGGCGAGTCGTTCGAGACAGAGTTCGGCAACCTCATAAACGCGAACATTCAGTGGATGAAGGATGTGGCCAATCCAGCGATCGACCAGATGCGCTACTACGTTGCCAGTGGATCGTACATCTTCATCTCCATGACTGCCATCTTCGTTTCCGTGATTTCCTTCGTACTTCTGCAGTAAAAATGTCTTGACAATTGTCTTATGTAAGAACAATATATCGATCACAGTTTATTAAATCATTGATAACATTGTTAGATTATTTTTTGGCATATTCCTTCATTGTTGTTACCGTTCGGATCTCACATTTTCGAGTGCATGACCACTTGATAAAAGGCAAACCTTCTCAAAAGCACTCGCCTGATCTTGAGTGTCTCTAATAGCTCAAAATGAGACATAACACAACAGTCTCAATTGCTACTTCAATAAAATATCGCATGCAATTCCCTAAGCAATATTGACCAATTTTAGCTAATCTATTGCAGACTATCAAACCGATTAGACTAACCAAGAGTAGATTAGAAAAATTAAAAATCATTGGAGTATACCCGCTTTACAATATAGATACAGAGATGATAACTCTTGAGATTCCTTGATAAGGAATGAAAAAAGGCCCCTCTTTCACAATAAGCCACTTGACTCGCAAAGAGATCACCCAACGACGTTGATAGTGGTCGCGGGTATAAATTCCACGAAAAAAATTGGCGATAAAAGTTGAATGCTACGGAAATATGAAAAGGGGCTCAGGTGAGAAAACAGTCAGTCGGTGTGTGAATTTGAGCCGGAGAAGATGCTCAAGTGGGTAGTTCTAGTCAGTGCTCTAGCTGTGGTGGCTTCAGCAAAGCCACTCTTTGAATCCAGGATAGCAAACATCACTGCGCACGATGAGGATGACACGTATCGTCTGCCGAATAACACAATCCCTCAGCATTACAGCGTGTGGCTGAGAACCTGGATTGACGAAGGAACACCTGATTTCGAAGGAAGAATCGCGATTACTTTAATCCCTGTCGAAACCAACACGAGATACATCACCATTCATCACAGGCAACTGACCATCGCCCCAAATGTCACCCTTCTTAGGGTCACAAATCTTCCGGCAGTGGAAATTCCTCTCGAACCCTTCACCTATGACAGCACCTATGAATTCCTCACGTTCACTCTCTCGGGCACTGAAGGATTAGCTCTGGGACAAACATATGAGCTCACGATTTACTTCACTGGAACCTTGAGAGACGATCAAGCAGGATTCTACAGAGCTTATTACGACGAGATATCGGCGGGTAGAACGTGAGTAGACTTATACATCTAAAACGGCATTGCTTCAATCAAACTACATCGTAAAGTACTTCACTAGTGCTACGCAATTTAAGAAAAAAGTATTATTCAATTACATATCTTATAACATTCAAGTACTATTTCAATTGCAAATTCATATTTCAACGGGATCTATATCATTTTTGGTCATTCTTTCAGATGGTATGCCACCACTCAGTTCGAATCAACCGATGCTCGTCACGCTTTTCCGTGCTATGATGAACCCGCTCTCAAAGCCACCTTCGACATTAGTATCACCCACAATCCCGTTTACAATGCGATCTCTAACATGCCAGTGAAGGAGATAATTCCGTAAGTATTGTCCAATTATGTGTAGCAGTGTTCGTTAGATAAGAGTCGCCAATTGATTGTGTATCTCTCCCTCAAGTCTCGCGAATTCCAATCACGTAACAACTGTATTCGATACTACCGTGAAGATGTCCACATACTTGTTGGCTTTCGTCGTGTCCGATTATGTTTACCGTGAGGATGCACGGCCAAAGGTCTCTCAGCGCATATACGCTCGCCAGAGTCTCATCGAAGACACTGCCTTTGGTCTGGAGGCTGGCGTGAAGATCCTCGATGGCCTGGAGCGATACATCGACGTTCCATATTCTCTCCCGAAAATTGACCAAATCGGCATCACACAATTCGCGGCTGGAGCCATGGAGAACTGGGGATTGGTCACCTATCGCGAGAATTTGCTTTATATGAACCCTGTGACATCACAGACACGACAGAAGGATGTCATATCGACGATTGTGGCTCACGAATATGGTCATCAGTGGTTCGGAAATCTCATCAGTCCTAAATGGTGGACTTACATTTGGCTCAATGAGGGTTTCGCTACTCTTTATGAATACGAAGCTGTTGATATGGCTTTTCCAGAACTCAGGGTCGGCGATCTTTTCACAGTTGAAGCCCTCCAGGGTGTCTTCAATACTGATGCAACAACAAGCACGAGGGCAATGTCCACGTATGGAGAGTCTCCAAGAGAGATCAGCTCTCTCTTTGACAATATCGCCTATCCGAAGTCCGGATCCGTACTTCGTATGACCAAACATTATCTCACGGAAACCATCTGGAAAGATGGTCTGAAGAGATATTTCGCAGCCCGTCAATATGATGCCGCCGATGCTGACGATCTCTCTGCTGCTCTGGACGCTGCCGCCACAGCCAGTGGACTTGCTCCTCTTCCCAGCGGAACCACAGTGAAGACCATCATGGACAGTTGGCATCTGCAGGCGGGATATCCGCTAGTCCAAGTCAACCGCGTCTATGGCGGAAACAATGTGATGACAATAAGCCAGCGACGATTCATCGCCACCAATGCTAATCATGACATTGACACCACTTGGTGGATTCCCATTAGTTTGTCCTCCAGCGACAGGCCCGACGTCTACAATACAGCTCCCAACTTCTGGCTCCCTCAGGTGAGAAACAACACAAAGGCTGTTTAATTATTCCTTTTTTAAATGTCTATTTCTCTAATATATCTTATCAGGGATCCGCCCAAGCAAACTTCAACCGGCCGACTGGATTCACTTACACTGATACAGACTGGATTCTCATCAACAAGCAGCAGACCGGCTACTACCGAGTGAACTATGACGACAGGAACTGGCAGATGTTGGCTGAGGAACTTGTCAATGGAACCATGTCACGGATTCACTTGGCCTCTCGCGCTCAACTGCTCGACGATGCGCTGGACTTGAGCCGATACGAGCGTCTTGGCCACGACATCACCCTCTCGATTGTCAAATACCTTCGGCGTGAGACTGACTATCTTCCCTGGGCAGCAGCAGACTCCGGCATCACGTGGCTCCGTCGTCTCGTGATCAATTCCGATTCCACTGGACGCTTCAAGAACTTCATGCGCGAGATTTCCGATGCTATTTACAACAAGTATCGCGCCACTAGTGTTCCTTGCGAGACATATTTCGACAAGCTGGCCAGGAATGTGGCTATCAAGTGGGCTTGTTTGTCTGGAAACACCGCCTGTTTGACCGACACTACGGCGGAACTCAGGAAGGCTTTGGCCACCGGACAAGACATCGAGCCTGATCTCAGAACCGTGATTTATTGCCATGGCATGAGAGGAGCGAATAAGGACGACTTCAGAACCGTTTGGACCAAATTCGAGGATACTTCAAATGGAATTGCGAACAGAAATTTCTACCTGGATTCTCTGGTGTGCAATGAGAACGCCGAGGTTTTGGGAGAATTCCTTACAGAACTTTTCTCCGCCAACACTCAATCATCTGCTTCCACATCTGAAAAACAGAGGGTTTTCAATGGCATTTATGGAGCTTCATCGACTGGTCTGGCGGTCGTTCTTGACTTTTTCCGCGCGAATACGGCCCGCGTGTCTGCTGTGTACGGTAGCGCGGTTGGATCTCGGCTCATCTCTTTGGCTGATTCTCTCACCACCGCTGCTGAGAGTCAGATTGCGGAACAGATTATCACGAATCTGGGAGCCAGTATCACAGCGCAACAAGCTACAAATGTGAGAAATGCCATAACGAGCAACATCAATTGGGTGTCTCAGAATGAAAATGAGGTCAACAAATTCTTAACGGACAACTATGGCAATGTGAATTTAAATCCTCCAGCTCCGATTCCCACTCCAGCTCCGCAAGAGCCGACCACCACTCAGCCTGGACAGCCCACAACTGTTCCTCCAGGTGGTGGTAAAGCTTCCTCAATCGCTGCCTCCATCATCCTTCTAGCAGTGTCTGGCTTGCTTAGTCGCTTGATGAACTAAGCCAAAAGTGCAAACTTCAGAGCATGTTTTCAATAAATTTACATATAAATCACTACAAGATGTGTTTCATTTCCACGAAAAAGAAAGATGTGGGTATATCGGAAGTAATTACGTTATCAAGAGAAGGAAAATATTGATTCGCGTTTCTCGTAATGTGAAAATAATTGAAATCTTGAATACTCAACGAATATTCATGTAACTTTTTCCTTCTCAACTAAACTCGCAAATCTTATTTTATTCCATGAAAAAAATTAAAAATAACTAGAATGCTTTGCAAAAATGAAAATAGGCCCAAGTGACAAAAACTTAGAGAGTGTGAAAATTTGAGCTCAGAAAGATGTTTCGAATTCAGTGGATATTTCTACTCAGCGTCATCATAGTGATGACCATGGCAAAGCCTCTCTTCGAGTCGAATATATCCGACAAAGATAGGGATAATATTATTCCTAAAACGTATCGTCTGCCGAACAACACATTCCCCCAGCATTACAGCGTGAGCCTGAGAACTTGGATTGACGAAAAGAAATTCGATTTTACAGGAACAGTCAAAATTAGATTGCTTGCCAGAGAACACGAAACCAAATACATCACATTGCACCACAGGCAACTAAATATAGCTCAAGATGCCATTCTTCAGAAGATTACGAAAAAAGAAAAAGTTAATGTTCCTCTTGATCCGTTCACCTACGACAGCACCTATGAATTCCTCACGTTCCCTCTCTCGGGCACCGAAGCATTATATGTAGAACAAATATATGAACTCACGGTTAACTTCAATGGAACCTTGAGAGGTGATGAAGCAGGATTCTACATAGCTTATTACGACGATCCATCGCCGAATAAAACGTGAGTACACTTATATCTAATTTCTTCTTACTTCAATGCTACACTCATTTTACGTCGTTTATTTTTAGCGTAAAGTACTTCAGCGATACTTTGGGGTTTAAGAAAAGTTATATGATTTCATTTCCTACGACACTTGTGTGTTACTTCAGTGAGAAATTCTTCATAATAAAGAAACAGAAATTTGATTCATTTTTTAAAATTCTTTCGTAAATGCAATCATTTTATTCCCACAGAAACATAAGCAGTAAAAAATATGAATATTTCAAATAATTGATGTTATAAATCTCAAATAAAACTTCTGTCATTTTAGGTTTCCTTACAGATATTATGCCACCACTCAGTTCGAACCAACCGATGCTCGTCACGCTTTTCCGTGCTACGATGAACCTGCTCTCAAAGCCACCTTCGACATTAGTATCACCCACAATCCCGTTTACAATGCGATCTCCAACATGCCAGTGAAGGAGATAATTCCGTAAGTATTGTCCAATTGTGTGTAGCAGTGTTCGTTAGATAAGAGTCGCCAATTGATTGTGTATCTCTCCCTCAAGTCTCGCGAATTCCAATCACGTAACAACTGTATTCGATACTACCGTGAAGATGTCCACATACTTGTTGGCTTTCGTCGTGTCCGATTATGTTTACCGTGAGGATGCACGGCCAAAGGTCTCTCAGCGCATTTACGCTCGCCAGAGTCTCATCGAAGACACTGCCTTTGGTCTGGAGGCTGGCGTGAAGATCCTCGATGGCCTGGAGCGATACATCGACGTTCCATATTCTCTCCCGAAAATGGATCAAATCGGCATCACACATTTCGCGGCTGGAGCCATGGAGAACTGGGGATTGGTCACCTATCGCGAGAAATTGCTTTATATGAATCCTGTGACATCACAGACACGACAGAAGGAAGTCATATCAAAGATTGTAGCTCACGAATATGGTCATCAGTGGTTCGGAAATCTCATCAGTCCCAAATGGTGGACTTACATTTGGCTCAATGAGGGTTTCGCTACTCTTTATGAATACGAAGCTGTCGATATGGCTTTTCCAGAACTCAGGGTCGGCGATCTTTTTACAATAAGTGCAATGCAGGTTGCTTTTGAATATGATGCAACAACAAGCACGAGGGCAATGTCCAAGTACGTAGAGGTTCCAGAAGAGATTAGATATCTCTTTGACAAAATCGCCTATCTGAAGTCCGGATCCGTACTTCGTATGACCAAACATTATCTCACGGAAACCATCTGGAAAGATGGTCTGAAGAGATATTTCGCAGCCCGTCAATATGATGCCGCCGATGCTGACGATCTCTCTGCCGCTCTGGACGCTGCCGCCACAGCCAGTGGACTTGCTCCTCTTCCCAGCGGAACCACAGTGAAGACCATCATGGACAGTTGGCATCTGCAGGCGGGATATCCGCTAGTCCAAGTCAACCGCGTCTATGGCGGAAACAATGTGATGACAATAAGCCAGCGACGATTCATCGCCACCAATGCTAATCATGACATTGACACCACTTGGTGGATTCCCATTAGTTTGTCCTCCAGCGACAGGCCCGACGTCTACAACACAGCTCCCAACTTCTGGCTCGCTCAGGTGAGAAACAACACAAAGGCTGTTTAATTATTCCTTTTTTAAATGTCTATTTCTCTAATATATCTTATCAGGGATCCGCCCAAGCAAACTTCAACCGCCCGACTGGATTCACTTACACTGATACAGACTGGATTCTCATCAACAAGCAGCAGACCGGCTACTACCGAGTGAACTATGACGACAGGAACTGGCAGATGTTGGCTGAGGAACTTGTCAATGGAACCATGTCACGGATTCACTTGGCCTCTCGCGCTCAACTGCTCGACGATGCGCTGGACTTGAGCCGATACGAGCGTCTTGGCCACGACATCACCCTCTCGATTGTCAAATACCTTCGGCGTGAGACTGACTATCTTCCCTGGGCAGCAGCAGACTCCGGCATCACGTGGCTCCGTCGTCTCGTGATCAATTCCGACTCCACTGGACGCTTCAAGAACTTCATGCGCGAGATTTCCGATGCTATTTACAACAAGTATCGTGCCACAAGTATTTCTAAGGAATCGTATTTTGACAAACTAGCCAGGAATTTGGCCATCAAGTGGGCTTGTTTGTCTGGAAACACCGCCTGTTTGACCGACACCACGGCGGAACTCAGGAAGGCTTTGGCCACCGGACAAGACATCGAGCCTGATCTCAGAACCGTGATTTATTGCCATGGCATGAGAGGAGCAAGTAAGGAAGATTTTACAGCCGTTTGGACCAAGTTCGAGGATACTCCAACTGAAGATGCGAACAGAAATTTCTACCTGGATTCTCTGGTGTGCAATGAAAACACAGAAATTCTGGAAGAGTTTCTCACAGAACTTTTCTCCGCCAACACTCAGTCTACTGCATCGAGACCTGATAGGAAGAGAGTTTTAAACGGAATTTACAGTTCGTCATCGGCTGGTCTGGCGGTCGTGCTTGACTTTTACCGCACGAATACGGCTCGCGTATATGATTCTTTTTTTGGAATGGTCGAAGAAGATTTGGGCAGTCTTGCTGAGTATATCACCACGCCTGCTGAGGGTCAGATTATGGAAGAGATTATCACGAATCTGGGAGATAGTATCAGTGTGCAAGATGCTACGAATATCAGAAATTCCATAATGAGCAACATCAAGTGGGTATCCGAGAACCAGGGCGAAATCAACGCATTCCTAGACAATTCAAAAGCCAGAGGAATGACACCTAATCTAACAGCTGTGTCTATCGGTATTTTAGTTATAATATGGGAAATGTTTAGTCATTTCTTGAACTAAATTGAGGAAAATCTCAGATGTACGGAGTCTACAAAATTAATAAATAAATGTATGTTTCTTGATTTGTCTTTTGCTTCATTTTTTAATGTTTTTGGATGACAGAGGGAAGAAAGTGTGTAAACATGCCATACACGTGCACAGTATATATATATACTGTCTGAGGATGACACTTTTCTGATAGCAAAGTGCGAAGCACGCATTTGGGGAAATCAACAAGCATTTTAGGCTCCCCCTTATCACATCTCGTAATCTCAGCTTTATTTTGCATCACTAATGATTGGCATTCGCCTCGCGCCCGATAAGATTTCGGCACTCTAGATTGGGCTATGAAAATCATTGATAAGGTGAGCTTATAAAAGATGTGAGATTTTCTGCGATAGCCATTAGTTGCCCATTGAGTACCAAATCATTTCACTGTGCGGAAAAGATGTGGAAAAGTGTGATTATCATCTTTCTGGCCTTTCTTTTCACCCTCGATGCAGCACCTGAAGCGGCTGTCGAGACAGAGACTGTCCAGGATGCGCCACCATATCGCCTGCCCAACACAACTGAGCCTGTGAAGTACGAATTGTGGATGACAACGAATATTCATACTGGCGAATTCGCATTCAATGGCCGAGTCAGCATTACCATTCGAGTCTTGACCACCACCCAAGCGATTCATCTCAACTCGGTGGGTCTTAACATCTACGGTGGAAACATCAGGGATGAATTTGGAGTTGAAAAGGCACTGACAGCAACTACACCATATGTAGAAAATCAAATTGTTGTAATTGATGTGACGGAAGTGCTGGTGGCTGGAAGAACCTACATCCTTACGCTCGAATTCGATGGACATTTGCAAAGTCAAGCCAGAGGATTCTACTATAATCGCTATACCGATGATTTCGGGCGGACCTTTTACATAGCCAGCACAGCTTTCCAGCACATTTTCGCCAGATGGGCTTTTCCCTGTTATGATGAACCGCGCTTCCGCACGCCCTTCACCATCCACGTCACCCATGGTAGTCTCTATCGTGCTGCTTCTAACGTGGCGGTACTTTCAGAAGAAAATCAGTAAGTAGTTAAGGAGATTTTGTGATGAGAATATTGTAAATTTCTGCCATTCGTCCTTGCAGTGAAGACGACATGATGACCACACACTTCCACGAGACTCATTTCACGATGTCTGTGAATTTAGTGGCCTTCTCAGTAACTAATTATGTTTCTGTAAGCGCAATGTCTTCTTCAAATAAGCCAATGGGTGTCCTCGCTCCTGTTCATCAAATCGAGCAGGTTGAATTTGGTCTCAACAGAACAATTGAGTTTTACGAGAAAATCGAGAGGTACACAGCTATGCCACTTTCCCTGTTGAAACTCGACAGCATCGTTATCAATGATTTCATGCACATTACGATGGAAAATTGGGGATTAATGACATATGAGTAAGTTGCGAATTAACTGATATTCGATGGGATTTGCTGATAAATGATTGATTGCTTTATGATTGCAGCTCCAAATATTTCCTGCACAAAGAGGGCGTCACGACCATTGGCCAAACAGTGGATATTGTGAAACTCATCACCCACACTCTCATGCACAACTACTTTGGCAATCTCGTGGGCATCCCTTGGTGGTCATACACGTGGATGACCGAAGGATTCGCCACATACTTTGAGTACTACATCACTGATGAATACTTTCCCGATCTCCACATGTCAGACGTGTTTGTGACCCTCTTCTTGCAGAGGAGTCTCTATGAAGACTCCTTGCTCAGCACTCGACCTATGAGCACTTACAGCTTCGACAACATCTTCGACATTGACTCCGTCTTTGATGGAATAACTCTTAGAAAGGGTCCAGCAATTATTAGAATGTTGGATAATGTTCTTGGCAAAGACACCTTCCAACTTGGTGTGAGAAATTTCTTATTTGAAATGGCCTACAGTATCGCGGAGCCAGCAGATCTGTACAGAAATCTACAGAGTGCTGTAAATTTAAATGGTGATCTTCCTTCTGACCTCACTGTGGCAGAAATGATGTATCCATGGGAACATCTTCCCGGCTATCCGCTCGTTACCATTATGAGGAATTATCAAAACAATGAAATCGTGGTCAACCAGAGAAGATTTCTCTACCAACGAGAAGATAACGATCCTGAATGCTCTTGCTGGCATATTCCACTTTCCTTTGCTACGACTTATAATCCTGACATGGAAAACACCAAACCATCAACTTGGCTCCGCCGAGGCACTAAAGAACTCGTTCTTAGAACCACAGAAAATCAAACATGGTCATCAGAAGACTGGGTTCTCTTCAATATCCAGCAAACTGGCTTCTATCGAGTGAACTATGACACACAAAACTGGAGACTTTTGGCCAATGAACTTCATCAGGGCCCACCTTTCAAGATTGGAACACTGAATAGAGCTCAATTGATTGACGATTCCTTCAGTCTGGCGTTCTCTGACATTATTGAATTTCCTCTGTTTCTAGACATCATCAAGTACATCCGCGAAGAAGAAGAGTTTCCCGTTTGGACCACTGCTGAACGGCATCTTATTGCTCTCAACCGTCGCCTAGAAGGACCAACATATGAATTACACTTTGGTAGATTCCTCAAGTATCTTACCAGCGATCTCTTCGACAAGTTAGACATCTTCGAGAATGTTGGAGGCACAGAGAGTGCCAGAATCACCTTCCTTCGCCCAATCATTGTGGACCTCGCTTGTCGTGCGGGATCTCCAAAATGCCTCACTGCAACTAGGATTCTCGTAATGGCCGAAGCCTTAACAGGACATCGCCTTGTGCCGCATGAGAAGAGCTCGGTATACTACTGCCATGGACTGAGAAATGCCAATTGGGAAACGTACTTCTACTTCTGGCGTCGCCTCCATTCCATCCCAGATACTCAAGAGCGACACCATCTGGTGAATTCGTTGAGTTGCTTCCAAAGCAGTTCATCAATTGCTGACCTTCTGCTTACTACGTCAATCATCGATTCTTCCGCTGAAATCGTGTACAGCGTTCTTGAACGCTTTATGGTCCTCGCAACAGCCTTCCGCAACGGACACGTGAAAGTCGTGATAAACTTCCTGAAGGAAAATCACGAGGATGTGGCGAAGACCTACACATTCAACTATCGCATGGAGGAGATTCTTCGTGAAATGACAGGATATCTTCACAGTGATGAGGAGGAGGCAGATTTCGAGGACATGCTGACTATCTTCTTCGAGGCAGGACATCTCAGTGCTCTCCAAATTGCTGGAATTAGACAGGAAATGGAGCACAACCAGAGATGGATAGATGAAAATAGGGAGTCAATCGAACAGTGGATTCACAACTTCTTCGACCCAACTGAGAGTTCATCGTCCAAGAATTACCTTTCGTTGGGATTACTTCTATTTGGTGTTCTCTTCAAATTCTCCTTCTAGATTTTATGAATGTATTCACACAAATACATCTGATCAATGTATAATGTTCAGTAATTTAATCACAATAAAAAAATGTGTCGCACTTCATTACTCTCCGATACTTGCATTTTGGGAAATTTAAATGAAAATGCTTTGGTTGCACTTCTATTTTGCTTGCCACACTACCAGTCATTGATTTATATATCAACTCTTTCACTGATTGAGATATACAAAGCATAAGTTTTTATATATGTACAAAAAGCATTCTCTCTTCGTTTACATATTTTGCGCTCATGCAGGAAAGTTCATAATAATGGAGAGTGATAGACAGTTGGATATTCGATAGTCAAATTAATGGTTTCATCATACAGTTTTATGAGCTGCCGGAGATAAGACGTTCAATAAAAGCTATTGCTTTCTGGGAATACAATAACAGTACTCCTAATCCTATTGCAGTGGAAAAATGGTGGTGAAAATCATTGTGGGTGCGGTTCTGTTTTTCGCTGTGGCATTGGCTCAGGATTCAATTGAAATTTCCAATCGACTCAGTAACACAACTGAGCCAGTTTCCTACGAATTATGGCTTGAGACTAAAATACATGAACGGATATTTGATTACACAGGCCGAGTGAAAATTGCCTTAAAAGCTCTAGAAGCGACAAATAGTATAATGTTGAGCTCCGAAGGACTCTTATTTTACAATCAAACTCTTCGCGATCTAATGGACAACAATATGAAGATTAATATTGCTGAAGTGAATGAAAATCTTGGATTTATCATCTTTTCTATGGAGGAAAATCTTCGAATTGACGAGATTTACATTTTGGACATACACTTTGCTGGATCTCTACATAGGATTCCCGATGGATTCTGCTACAGTAGCTATATGGATGAGCATGGGGAAACTCTCTATCTTGCTACATCCCATATGCATGTGACAAATGCCCGAAAAGTGTTTCCTTGCTACAACGAGCCACGCTACCGAACACCCTTCACCATTCACATCAGCCATCACCCAACTTTACACGCAGTTTCCAATATGCCTGTCGCTCAAGTGGTAAACAAGTGAGTTTCATTTGAGAGCTACCCTTAGAAGAACGTCTAAAATCCCTTTCTTACAGTTCTGAGGACTCTGCAACGACCACCTTTGAACGAACATTCCCAATGCCTGTGAACTTACTAGCTTTCACCATCTCAAAGCATGCAGTTCAGACACGATTCTTTGAGTCCATGAATCTCAGTGTAAACATTTTTGTTCCGAAACAGCATCTAGATGAAGTTAATTTTGCCCTGGACTATATGAAATTCTGCATGGAAAAATTAAGGGATTTCGTCAATATGGACATTCAACTCCCAAAACTGGATTCAATTACAATTAATGATCTATTATTGACTGGCTTAGAGAACTGGGGACTAATATTTTTCAAGTAACTCACTAAATATCTCGCATATACAGTAAATTATCACCAAAAAAACCTTTTTTTCAGTCCAAAGAACTTTCTCTACAAAGAAAATGTCACAAGTCCCGGCCAAAGGATGGACATTGTCAGGACCATTACCCATCAATTAGCTCACAACTATTTTGGCAGCATTGTAGGCATTACTTGGTGGAACTTTTTTTGGATGACCGAAGGATTTGCCACTTATTTTGAATACTACTTCGGCAATGAATATCTACCAGATTATCCTCTAAATGACATGTTCTGCGCAGACTTCACGCAAAGGAATCTTGCTGATCATTCTCTTCTTATGTCCCCTGCATTGAATAAGTATATCGACGATCCAAATGATGTTACTGTGGCTTATGGTGTTTTTGACTTTGCAATGGTCAGCAAAGGTACAAAATACAACTATAAACATTACAATATCAATTGAAATTATTCACAAATTTTTCAGCTGCTTCAATGATGAGGATGATTCATCATCTTCTGGGAACAGAAACTTTCAGAAAAGGCCTACGAAAATATGTTAAAGAAATGCAATATGAAGCAGCAGATGCGAAGGATCTCTGTCGGAGTTTACAAGAAGCAGCTGATGAGGATCATGCTTTACCCGAAGATATTTCAGTGGAAGATGTAATCAGTTCTTGGACAGACCAGCCAGGATATCCACTCTTGACAGTCATGAGAAATTACGAATCCAACGAGATTGTTGTGAATCAACAGAGATTCCTCTCAGCCCGGGATGAATTTGACTTGGATGGACTTTCCTGGTATATTCCACTCACAATGGCCACTGCTACCAATCCTGACATGGATAACACCAAGCCTTGGGCTTGGCTTAAAAAAGGCATTCGAGAGCTCGTACTCACAATGACGGATAATAAAACATGGGCTGCAGAAGATTGGATTATCTTCAATGTTCAGGAAACGGGTTACTATAGAGTCAACTATGACACTCAGAACTGGAGACTTCTGGCCAGTGAACTTCATCAAGGACCTCCTTTTTCAATTGGAACGTTAAATAGAGCGCAAATTATTGATGATTCTTGCAATTTGGCTTACTCTGATGTCATACCATTCACTTTGGCTCTGGACATCATCAAATACGTTCGATTTGAGCCAGATTATGCTGTTTGGTTAAGTGCAAGTCGTCATCTATTGAGTCTCAATAGTCGTCTTGAGGGACCATCGTATGCACTATTTTTCGGGCGGTTTCTACAGCACCTCACTGAAGATCATTTTGAAAAACTCGACGTATTCGAGAATGCCAATGGAAAGGATACAGTCAGGAATACTTTCCTTCGGCCAATTATTGTGGATCTGGCTTGTAGGTCTGGATCTGGCAAATGCTTGACGGCTACAAGGATTATGGTGACTGCTGAAGCACTCACAGGTCATATTCTTGCTCCGCACGAGAAGCCGTCAGTGTATTACTGTCACGGCCTCAAAAGTGCCGATGAGAAGACATTTCGATATTTCTGGAATAAATTGAAGACCATTACGAACGAACAGGAGAGATCGCATATCTCAAGTTCCATAGGATGCTATAAAGACTTCCAAGCACTTTACACTTTGTTTCTAGAATTGGTTTCACCCGAGTTCTATCACTTATACACAGCTCTCGAGAGATTTCAGATAATCATCAACGCCGCGCGCTACGGAAATGGACCGGTTGTTCTTGAGTTCTTAAAGTACAACCATGAAGACATCTCCAAAATATTCACATTCAACAACCGAATGGAGCAAACACTGAGAGAAATAGGAGATAATATCCTTGATGACGACATTCCCCTATTTCAGGAGGTCATTGATATCCTCTTCAACGCCAGCCACATCACATCCGACCAAGTCATACGGCTTAAAATTAATCTGGACTATCATCGGACGTGGATAAATGAAAATAAAAACACCATCGAGGAGTGGATAAGGGAATATTTTGAACCCATTTCGGGCACTGCAGTTGGAAAAATTGCCCCCATCGCAGCAATTATCATTGGTATCACACTTCACGTTATTGCAAATATTTTAGTAAGATAAAATGCGCAGTAAATATTATTACCTTGTTGTTTATCACATTGCACGAGTGAGAATCACTTGCAATAAAGAACTTATTGACACATGTGTAAGTTTCAAGAGGAACTCTTGTGATTTTTGGCCCCCAAAATAGATCCTCATCAGATAAGGAATGGAGTAAAAAGATTGAGCTCTCGTGTCTGAAATACCAGTCAATTTGCAAATATTGATGAGAAATGTGTGTGAAAGCGTATCTTCTCATTCTTCTCACATTTTCACGAGGTGTTGTGGGAACTAACTCTGATTATACTGCATTTCGATTAAATAATACAACAGAACCAGTCGCCTATGAATTGTGGTTGGAGACGAAGATTCACGAGAGAATTCTTGACTACACGGGAAGAGTGAGGATTGTCTTGAGAGCTCTGGAACCAGCCAATATCATAACAATCAACTCAGAGGAACTCCTGATAGAAAATCACACACTGCTTGATCACCTAGGCAACAATGTGAAAATAACTTATATGGAAAAATATGAAAATCAGGGAATTTTAGCTTTCGTTCTTGAAGATTACCTCAGAATTGGCCAGAATTATGTTCTTGACATTCTGTTTTCTGGCGTCCTTCATAACAGTCCTCGTGGATTTTGTTACACTCGAATTATTGATGAAAAAGGAGAAACATCTTATATTGCCGTTTCCTTTCTACATATGACAAATGCACGATTAGCTTTTCCTTGTTATGACGAGCCTCGATTCCGGACACCTTTCATCATTCACATCACCCATCATAACTCGATGAAAGCAGCTTCAAATATGCCAATTTCATCAATAATAAATATGTGAGTTTAACAGAATGTCTAGCACTTAACAATTAACATGCTCTGATATCTTTCTTCAATCCTTTGCAGTTCTGACGGATATGTCATGACATCATTTCAAGAAACAGTGTTAATGCCCGTAAATTTAGTGGCTTTCGCTGTGTCTAAATACAACACAGAAAAAGTGTTCATTCAGGAAAAAAATCTTGAATTGGGATTCCTTGTTCCGGTTCATTTGGTAAATGAAACAGAATTCGCCACAGATTTCATTAAATTCATGTTAAACAAGTTCGAAGAGTACATTGGTGTGGGATACAATCTGCCAAAGCTAGATTCTTTGGTAGTCTCAGATCTCATGAATACTGGATTAGAAAATTGGGGCCTCATGGTTTATGAGTAAGATAATCCTTTTGATGTTGTTTTTGAGTGTAATGTTAAAGAATCACTTCTAATTTTTAGTGCCCAGAATTTCTTGTACAACGAAAGTCACACAAGCACAAGTCAAAAGATGGATATCGCCAGAACAATATGTCATTTACTGACCCATAACTACTTCGGGAATATTGTGGGCATTGCCTGGTGGAATCAAGTTTGGATGATTGAGGGATTCGCATATTACTTTGAATACTACTTTGCCCACCAATACCTCGCTGAATCACCGTTGGATGAAGATTTCGTTACTGATATGATGCAGAGATACCTTGTCGAAAATTCATACATCACATCAAGCACACTCAGCAAGTATGTTGAGACTCGAAGAGAGATAGGAGAGACCATCGAATTTGCAATGCTGACTAAAGGTAAAGCGAACTTTCAAATTGGTTAGACATTGATGAAAAATATTCCATGTATATTTAGCTGCTGCTGTTTTGCGAATGACTGATCACATGGTTGGAAGAACAACATTCCAAAAGGGACTTCAGAAGTACATAAAGGACATGGCATTTCAAACTGCTCTTCCAGAAGATTTCTACAGATCAATACAGAAAGCAGTTACAGAGGATAAAACGGTTCCAGATGACATGAAAATTGAAGATATTCTACGTTCCTGGGTAGATCAGCCAGGATATCCCCTCCTCACTGTCATGAGAAACTATCAATCCAACGAGATTGTTGTTAACCAACAAAGATTCCTCTCGGCTCGAGATGAAGTCGATGTCGACAGGCTCTCCTGGTATATTCCACTCTCAATGAGCACTGCTGCCAATCCCGACATGGAAAATACGAGGCCATGGACTTGGCTCAGGGGAGGAAATCGAGAACTTGTGCTCAGGACAACAGAGAACAAGACGTGGTCATCTGACGATTGGGTTCTGTTTAATATCCAACAAACCGGATACTACAGAGTCAATTACGACACGGCGAACTGGAAGTTACTCGCGTCTGAATTACATCGCGGAGCTCCTTTCGCCATTGGATTGCTGAATAGGGCTCAGCTCATTGACGATTGCTTCAATCTCGCGTATTCCGACATTGTGTCATTCACCTTGGCTCTGGACATCATCAAATACGTTAGATACGAGCAAGAGTATTCAGTTTGGATCACAGCCAACCGACATCTTACAATCATGAATCGCAGATTGGAGGGACCTTCTTATGCATTGTATTTTGGAAGATTCCTGCATCATTTGACAGAGGAGCATTTTGAGAAACTTGATGTTTTCGAAAATGTCAATGGAAGGGATTCCTTTAAAAACACTCTGCTTCGACCAATCATTGTCGATCTGGCTTGTCTTGCACGATCTGCAAAATGCTTAACAGCAACAAGAACAATGGTCACAGCCGAAGCTCTCACTGGTCATGTGCTTGCACCTATGGAAAGATCGTCAGTCTACTACTGCCATGGACTGAAAAATGCCGATGAAGTGACATTTCGGTATTTCTGGAGAAAACTGAAAACTTTGGCCATTGAGCAGGAAAGGACTCATATTGCTAACTCTCTTGGCTGCTATCATAATTTCAAATCTCTCTATTCTCTTCTGCTCGAAACTGCCGATCCACATCAAGAACACGCTTTCTATACAAATCTTGAGAGATTTCAAATTCTAATTGTGACCATTAGAAATGGACATGTGAATGCAGTATTGAAATTTATCCGAGAGAATCACAGGAACATCTCTAAAACTTACACTTTCAACATTCGAATGGAACAGGCTTTGAAAGAAATTGCAGACTATTTACATGAAAACGACCAACAAGAATTTGTCGACGTTCTGACTATTTTACATAATGCGGATCACATCAACATTAATTTGGTTGAGAGGCTCAAAATGGACATGGAATATCATCACACATGGGTGAAAGAGAATAAAATGAAAATTGAGAATTGGATCGCGGAATATTTCCAGCCGACTTCTGAGAATTCAGCTGTGTGCCATTTTATCTACGTTTCGTTGAATCTGATTGCTGTCGGTCAAATTATATTCAGCATGATAGTTTATCAGTAGATACCAAAAATATATATACTATATATTTTTTCTGTTATATCGCATTATTGTGATGGACAGTAATATGAAATAAATAATTCATTACCCATATTTTTGCATGACAAAGAAGTGTCTTTCCCTCGATTGGTCATCAAAGCAGATTGCAAGATAAGTAAATTGTTGTGCCACTGGCAGTAATCTGGTAACTTTCGCCGAGGTCGCATCAAAATGCTAGTCAAACTTGGCATTCTTATCGTGCTGTTTATGTTTACGATTTCTGAGGGATTTCAACAAAAAGCAAAGTCGAATAGTTTTTTAGAAAATGTTTCTCCGCGTTTAGCAAACACAACAGAACCAGTCGCCTATGAATTGTGGTTGGAGACGAAGATTCACGAAAGAATTCTTGACTACACGGGAAGAGTGAGGATTGTCTTAAGAGCTCTGGAACCAGCCAATGTCATAACAATTAACTCAGAGGAACTCCTGATAGAAAATCATACGCTGCTTGATCACCTAGGCAACAATGTGAAAATATCTTATATGGAAGAATTCAAAGCTGTTGGTATTGTAGCATTCGTTCTTGATGAATTCCTTAGAGTTGGCCAGAATTACATACTGGATATTCATTTCCTGGGAATCCTTCATAGTGTCGCGAAAGGATTCTGTTACAGCCGCTATGTGGATGACCAGGGAGACATTTCTTATTACGCCACTTCGTTTTTATATGTGACAAATGCACGATTAGCTTTTCCTTGTTACGACGAGCCTCGATTCCGGACACCTTTCATCATTCACATCACCCATCATAACTCTTTGGGGGCAGCTTCAAATATGCCAGTAGCTACTATAACAAACAAGTATGTCTTGGGTTATTATCATCTGTTGTGTCAATGAGGAAATAATTTTCACATTCTTCCAGTTCTGATGACACTGTAACTACATCCTTTCAAGAATCAGTGACGATGTCTGTGAATTTGGTGGCTTTCACAGTGTCGAATTTTAAAGCCAGGAAAATATACATTGAGAATAAGAATTTGAATATAAGCATCCTCGTACCGAAACATCTTATCAATGAAACTGATTTTGCCATGGATTGCATTACATTCATACTGAACAAATTTGAAGAATTTCATGGCGTGGGATACAATCTACCGAAGCTTGAATCAGTCGTTGTCAATGACTTGCTACAATCCGGATTAGAAAGCTGGGGCCTTATGGTATTCGAGTACGTATGCCTTAGTAAAATGTTATAGTGTTTATCTAACACAAATCTTCTTTCTAGCACTAAATATCTTCTGTACAATGAAAGCCTAACCACACCGAGTCAGAAGATGGACATTGCCAAGACAATATGCCATGTGTTGACCCATAACTACTTTGGAAATGCTATTGGGTTGTCTTGGTGGAATAATATTTGGATGATTGAGGGCTTTGCATACTACTACGAATATTATTTTTCCAATCTCTACCTTGAGGACTTTCCAATGACTGAATTCTTCATAACAGAAGTTACGCAGAGATATTTTGTTGATAATTCCTTTCTTCTATCAACCTCGCTTAGCAAATATGTGGAAGCTCGTAGAGATATTGAGAGTACATTCAACTTTGCAATGCTTAACAAAGGTAAGAAACAATTTATTCACTATAAGATTGTTCACATTAATATAATAAAATAATATGAAATTATTCTATTAAAGCTTCCGCTGTAATCCGAATGTGCGATCATTTTCTGGGAAGAGAAACCTTCAGAAAAGGACTTCAGAAATATATAAAGGATATGTCATTTAAAATTGCGGAGCCAGAAGACCTATATAGAAATATTCAGGAAGCAGCAGATGAAGATACCGCTCTTCCTGGGGATATCAAAGTAGAGAATGTCTTCCGATCCTGGGTAGATCAGCCAGGATTTCCCCTCCTCACCGTCATGAGAAACTATCAATCCAACGAGATTGTTGTTAACCAACAAAGATTCCTCTCGGCTCGAGATGAAGTCGATGTCGACAGGCTCTCCTGGTATATTCCACTCTCAATGAGCACTGCTGCCAATCCCGACATGGAAAATACGAGGCCATGGACTTGGCTCAGGGGCGGAAATCGAGAACTTGTACTCAGGACGACAGAGAACAAGACGTGGTCATCTGACGATTGGGTTCTGTTCAATATCCAACAAACTGGATACTACAGAGTCAATTACGACACGGTGAACTGGAAGTTACTCGCGTCTGAATTACATCGCGGAGCTCCTTTCGCCATTGGATTGCTGAATAGGGCTCAGCTCATTGACGATTGCTTCAATCTCGCGTATTCCGACATTGTGTCATTCACCTTGGCTCTGGACATCATCAAATACGTTAGATACGAGCAAGAGTACTCAGTTTGGATCACAGCCAACCGACATCTTACAATCATGAATCGCAGATTGGAGGGACCTTCTTATGCATTGTATTTTGGAAGATTCCTGCATCATTTGACAGAGGAGCATTTTGAGAAACTTGATGTCTTTGAGAACGTAGACGGAAAAGATACAGTAAGGACAACCTTTCTGCGACCAATAATTGTCGATTTGGCCTGTCGTTCTGGGTCTAGAAGATGTTTGATTGCTACAAGAATTATGGTTACAGCCGAAGCGTTGACTGGTCACGTTCTGGCACCTCACGAGAAACCTTCAGTCTACTATTGTCATGGTCTTAAGAATGCTGACGAGAGAACTTTTATGTTCTTCTGGAGGAAATTGAAAACTTTAACCAACGAACAGGAAAGGACTCATATTGCTAGTTCTCTTGGCTGCTATCATGATTCAGACCAGTTGTATTCTCTTCTCCTGGAAACTGCTGATATAAATTCGGACGTTGATTACTATACAAATCTCGATAGATTTCAACTATTTCTTAGTGCTGTAAGAAATGGACACGTTACAACTATACTTAAATTCTTGCGTGAGAATTATGAAGCAATTTTCCAACTTTACACCTTCAGTATGCGTATGGAGCACGCAATAAAGGAAATTGTGGGATATTTGTCAGAAGAGACCCAAGAAGAGTTTGTAAATGTGCTGAACATTTTACTAGAAGCCGGATATATTGATTCCAATTTGGTCGAGAGATGCATTATTGACATGCATTATCATCGCACTTGGGTGGAAGAGAACAAAAACACAATTGAACAGTGGATTGGGGAATACTTCCAGCCGGTGCTTGAAAATACCGCCACAAACAATTTATTCTACCCCACAGTGTTGTTCATCTCAATTGGGCAAACACTGTCACGAATCTTCTAACGAGGCAGCTTATCATATTTATCCAAAAAATATATATAATACTATATTTTCATAATACAAAATTAATTACAACCTATGTACAGTATTTTGGCAATCAAAACAAAATGTGAGATAGGAAGTATGATTGCGAAATTCTTTCAGTTCGCACTCAGTGAATTGGTGTCTTTCGCGAACATTAGATCGACATGACAGTGAGAATTCCTTTGTTTTTCCTTATGCTTATGTTGACGCCGTTAATTGCAAACCAAACGGAATCTGACAGGGATTCAGCAATATCTTCTCGCTTGAGTAACACAACAGAACCTGTGGCTTACGAATTGTGGCTGGAGACGAGAATTCACGAGAGAATTCTTGACTACACGGGAAGAGTGAGGATTGTCTTAAGGGCATTAGAGGCAGCTAATGTCATTACTATCAATTCTGAGAATCTTTTAATCAAAAACTTCAGCCTCTACGATCATCTCAATAATAACGTTAAAATTACTTACGAGGATTACAAGAGACAAGCAATTTTGGCATTCTTCCTCGATGAGCATCTCAGAATTGGTCAAAGTTATGTTCTTGACATTGAATTCATGGGAGTGCTGCAAAGCATCCCGCGAGGATTCTGCTACACTCGTTATGTGGATGAGCATGGGGAAATTTTCTACGTTGCCACATCCTTCCTCCACGTCACCAATGCAAGAATAGCCTTTCCCTGCTACGACGAGCCTCGCTTCAGGACTACTTTTAAAATACATATCACCCATCATCCCTCAATGATTGCCGCTTCCAATATGCCAGTAGCAATGATAAGAAATAAGTAAGTTTGATATCAATCTAAACTACTTCCACTAACGCTGTACTATTTCAGTTCAGATATTTCAGTGACGACATCCTTTCAAGAATCTGTTACAATGTCAGTGAATTTAGTGGCCTTTACGGTGTGCAATTACGTATCTGTAAAACATTTCCTCGAAGAAAAAAACCTAGAAGTGAGCTTCACCGTGCCAAGACACTTCGCAAATGAGGTTGATTTTGCTAAGGACGTTATTATATCCGTAATCAGTAAATTTGAGGAATACATTGGAATTGGATACAACCTACCAAAGCTTGAGTCTGTTGTGGTCAATGATTTGATGCACAATGGTTTAGAAAATTGGGGTCTTATGGTTTATGAGTAAGATTGCTTCTCACTGCCACATAATTAAAATTAAAATAATGATTTACCTTCATTACAGTTCCAAATCGTTGCTCTATAACAAAAGTTTAACTACCACGAGCCAGAAAATGGAGATCGGACGGACAATTTGTCATCAACTATCCCATAACTATTTCGGGAATCTCGTAGGAATTTCCTGGTGGAATTATGCTTGGTTGACTGAGGGATTTGCCAATTATCATGAATATTTGTTCACCAACTATTATTTGGAAGAGTTTCCGCTCAATGAAATGTTCGTTACAGAATTCATGCAGAAGAATTTTGTCGAAAACTCTTACCTCATGTCAAATTCGCTCAACAAATATGTCGAAACTCGCAAGGAGATAGAAGATGCTTTCGATTTTGGAATGGTCAGCAAAGCCTCTGGAGTTATAAGAATGACTGATCACATGTTTGGGAAAAAGGTCTTTCAGAAGGGTCTTCAGAAATATGTCAAAGACATGGCATTCAAAGTAGCACAGCCCAAAGATTTGTACAGATGCATTCAGGAAGCAGTTAATGAAGATGCAGTTTTAGAAAAAATCAATGTGGAGAGTATTTTGAGCACCTGGACAGATCAGCCGGGATTTCCCCTGCTGACCGTCATGAGAAATTATCAGACGAATGAAATTGTTGTAAATCAACAGAGATTCCTCGCAGCCCGCGACGAATTCGATCTTGAACGAATCTCTTGGTATATTCCATTGTCATTCACAACAGCTCAACATCCTGACATGAACAATACGCAACCAAGTGCCTGGCTTAAGCAAGGGATGAGAGAACTTGTCATTAGAACGAGTGACAATCAGACATGGACCTCAGATGATTGGGTGCTTTTCAATATCCAACAAACTGGATATTACAGAGTGAATTATGACAATCACAACTGGAAGTTGCTTGCTAATGATCTCTACAAAGGCGCTCCATACACCATTGGATTACTGAACAGGGCTCAGCTCATTGATGATTCTTTCAATCTTGCTTATTCGGACATTATTCAATTCAGTGTTGCTCTCGACATCATCAAATACATGAAATATGAGAACGAGTACTCGGTTTGGATAACAGCTTATCGTCATCTCTTAACCATGATTCGACGATTGGAAGGACCTTCTTATGAATTGTATTTCGGGAGATTTCTTCAGCATCTGACTGAGACACACTTTGAGAAACTCGATGTGTTTGAAAATCTCCACGGAAAAGATAGTGTTAGAAACACCTTCCTCAGACCAATTATTGTAGATCTTGCCTGTCGCTCAGGATTAGGAAAGTGTCTAACTGCAACAAGAACAATGGTGACAGCAGAAGCTCTTACGGGTCATGTTTTGACACCCCTTGAAAAACCTTCGGTCTACTATTGCCATGGACTCAAGAATGCGGATGAGAAGACATTCCAGTATTTTTGGAAGAAACTGAATTCTCTCACGAATGAACAAGAAAGGATACATATAACAACGTCTATTGGCTGCTATCATAACTTTGATTCTCTGTATTCTCTTCTCCTGGAAACTGCAAATCCACACCTAGTGGATGTCTTTTACACAAATCTCGAGAGATTCCAAATCCTCGTCAACACTGTGAGAAATGGTCACTTGCGTGTTGTCTTGCGATTTCTCAGAGAAAATCACGATGACATCTCCAGAACCTACACTTACAATATCCGCATGGAACAAGCTCTAAAGGATATTGCAGCATGTATGCCTGAAGAAACGCAGCAAGAGTTTGCTGATGTGTTGCAAGTGCTCTTGAAAGCGGGACATATAAACACCAATTTGGTTGAAAGATGCATGATTGAAATGGAACTTCATCGAACCTGGATGAATGAGAATCAAATGAAAATCGAAAATTGGATAAAAGAATATTTTCGACCAGCGCTTCAGAGCTCTGGCGTGATGTCCGTGATTTGTTTTCCATTGCTTCTGATTGCGGTTGAACAAACACTTTTCCGTGTTTTCTAATTTGGCCCCCTTATCGAGGAGTTCCTACAAGTATAAATTATGTATCTCTCTATTATATACTATCCATACTGCAAACAATATGTATATCTAATAAACCAATTATTAGCACTATTAACGAGTATGTTAACATTATCCGCAAAGATAAGAAATTCAGCCAAACTCTTCTCCCAATCACTTTGGCAATGAATAATACATACAGTTCATCGCTGACGCTTGAGCAAAATGTTGGTGAAAGTTGCTCTCGTCTTCCTCGTGCTCATTCTCCCCATAATTGTGGCATTCCACCCGGAATCCGCGGATTTTGTTGAAGATTTGCACAATACGACGGGAAAAGTGTCTTCTCGTTTGAGCAACACAACTGATCCTGTGGCTTATGAAGTGTGGTTCGACACAAAGATTCACATGAAAATCCTCAACTACTCAGGGAGAGTGAAAATTGCTCTGAGAGCCCTCGAGTCGACTAAACTTATCACAATCAATTCTGAGTATCTTACAATCGGAAATTGCAGTCTTGTTGATCATCTCAATAATCCCGCTGGGATTCTTCGAGTGGATGAGTTTCCCAGTGAAAGAGTCTTAGGTATTGTCCTGGAAAATCCCCTGAGAATTGGTCAGAATTACATTCTGGAGATAAATTTCACCGGAATTCTCCACAATTACCCTCGAGGTCTGTGTTATGCGCGGTACACAGATGAAAAAGGAAAAGTCATCTACACTGTCACTTCCCATATGCACGTTTCTAATGCCAGAGTGGCTTTTCCCTGTTACGATGAGCCTCGCTACAGGACACCGTTCACCATTCACATCACACATCACTCCTCCATGAATGCTGCCTCTAATATGCCTATTGCTTATGTGACGAAACAGTAAGTATTCGCTTTTCCAATATCTAGAAATCTTTTCTGACTCTCTGGGTTACGCTTAAAGCCCTGACGATTATGTGACGACAACTTTTGAGGAAACTGTCTCCATGTCACCTAATTTATTGGCCTTCTCTGTGGATAATTATGTGGCTAAGACGGAAATAATGGAGAAAAAGAAGCTCAATGTTAGTGTTTTGGTGCCAAAACATCAGGAAGATGAGGTGGACTTTGCCTTAGACCTGATAACATTTATGCTAGAGGAACTGGAAACATTTATTGGCGTGGGCTACACTCTTCCAAAGTTCGATGCCATTGTTGTGCCAGACTTTCTTCACAGCGGCATGGAAAATTGGGGATTAATGGTCTTTGAGTAAGTTCACATTTTCTACTCCTGCTTCAATTAATTTTATCCTCAATTTCACTATCATTTCAGTCCAAGATTCATCCTCTTCAAGAGAAACTACACCAGCCCTAGTCAAATGATGGAAGTGACTAAAACTCTCTGTCACCATCTTGTTCACAATTATTTCGGGAATCTTGTTGGACTGTCTTGGTGGTCAGATGCGTGGATTACAGAGGGATTCTCAAACTACTACGAAGCCGTCTTCTCACAAATGTATCTCACTGATTATCCAGTGGAAGAGCTTTACGTCGTCGACTACATGGAGCGAAGTCTCGCAGAAGATTGCCTTATAACATCACCTTCGCTCAACAGTTACGTGGAGACGCAAAATCAAATAGAATCTCTCTATGAGTTTACAACCACTGGGAAAGGTAACATAATTGACTTTTTAGTAATCATTTAATAATGAGAAATTTCCTTAAACAGCCGCGTCAATCTTAAGAATGTGTGATCATTTTCTGGGAAGAGAAACCTTTAGAAAAGGACTTCAGAAATACATTAAAAATATGGCATTCAAAACGGCTCTTCCGGGAGATCTGTACAGAAATTTACAAGAAGCATCAGATGAAGATCATGCCCTTCCCGAGAATATCAAAGTAGAGGATATCTTTGACTCATGGATAAATCAGCCTGGATATCCACTTCTGACTGTGATGAGAAACTATCAATCCAACGAGATTGTTGTTAACCAACAGAGATTTCTCTCGGCTCGAGATGAAGTCGATCCTGACAGGCTCTCTTGGTATATTCCACTGTCGATTGCCACCGCAAGTGATCCAGATATGAAAAATACCAAACCCTGGGCTTGGCTCAAGAGAGGAAATCGTGAACTTGTACTCAGAACAACAGAGAACAAGACATGGACATCCGATGATTGGGTTCTGTTCAATATCCAACAAACTGGATTCTACAGAGTCAATTACGATACGGAAAATTGGAGACTATTGGCCGAAGAACTTCACAGAGGATCTCCATACTTTATAGGAACACTGAATAGGGCTCAACTAATTGATGATTGCTTCCATCTCGCCTATTCAGATGTTGTTCCTTTCACATTCGCTCTGGACATCATCAAGTACGTGCGATACGAGAAAGAGTACGCCGTATGGGTCACTGCTAATCGTCACCTGTTGAACATAGCTCAAAGACTGCAAGGCCCTTCGTACGAATTGTTCTTTGGAAGATTTCTGGAACATCTCACCGAAGAACATTTCGACAGAATGGATGTTTTTCCACACGTGAATGGTCGAGATTCTGCCAGAACCACTTTCTTCCGACCAATTATCGTGAATCTCGCATGTCGGGCCGGTTCTGGAAAGTGTTTGACAGCAACTAGGATAATGGTCACTGCAGAGGCTCTGACAGAGACTTGTATGGTGCCTATGGAACAGGCTTCTATGTACTATTGCCATGGCCTAAAGAACGCCGACCTCAGAACATTTGAGTACTTCTGGAAGAAATTGCACGGGATGACTAGTGATCAGGAGAGATCACAACTCACGTACGCAATCACATGTTACCACGATCCAGACGTTGTATATTCTGTCTTGATGAATCTTGTGGATCCTGCAGAAGAACTTGCATTTTCAAATCTGGAACGGTATCATTTGCTAGTCGCAGCTGTGAGGAATGGACATTTGAAAACCGTTCTGAAGTTCCTAGAAGAAAACCAAGAGATGATCAATAGGACTTTCAACTTTAATCTTCGCATGGAACACGCTCTCAAAGAGATTGCGACATACATTCAAGAGGAGGATGTGCCAGAGTATGAGCATATTCTTACGACACTTCTCAACAATCGATACATCTCGGAGTCTCTGGTGCATCGAATAAGGACGGATATTAAGTATAATTTGGCATGGATCAATGGAAATAGACAGAAAATTGAGGAATGGATTCGAGATTACTTTGAACCAGCTCCAGCAAAATCCACTTCAATCTACTTCGCAGTATCTCTTCTATTTTGTACAATAACAATTCACCTCTTGTAACGATGTTTGCACAGAGAAAGTAACACAACTAATATAGCCTATGTTCGTATCATATTATTAAATCAGAATCATAAGTATTGATTGATCGCTTGGAGTGTCATCTAAATTTCGTGGGAACCATCAAAACAAGTCAGTCCAGATAAGAGACTCAATATAAAGAGAAGGCAAGAGCCTAAAGATCATCAGTAATCCAGTTTCTCTGGAGTTGGTGAAATGTTAGTGAAACTTCCCCTCTGTGTCATTTTCCTCTTCTTTTCTGTCATCATTGTGGCCACAATTCACGCTGAATGGCATGATGAACGTCCTCGGAATGGACTTCGCACTGAACAATTGTCCTATCGATTAAATAACTTCACCGAACCGCTCTTTTACGAATTGTGGATTAAAACCGAAATTGAGAAGGAAATCCTCGACTACACAGGAAGAGTTCGAATCACATTAGCTGTTCTGGAACCCACAAAGTTTATCACCATTCACTCCCTTGTTAGAATTCTGCACTACAGCCTAGTGAATGATCAAAATCGGCAAATACACAGTACATTTGATTTCAATAATGACACTGAAATTATCACATTCCTGCTAAGTGAAGAAATACATCCCGGTTCAAATTACACCCTCGATATTGAGTTCACTGAGAAGATAAATGATCAATCACGGGGATTCTTCGTGAGAAGATACATCGAAGAGGATAAGCAAGTCTCATATCTAGCCTCAACTTACCTCCATTCTGGAAATGCGAGATTTGCCCTTCCCTGTTATGATGAGCCTCGCTACAGGACTCCTTTCATCATTCACATCACCCACAATTCCTCCTTGCAAGCAATCTCCAATATGCCTATTGAATCCGTAGAGAATAGGTGAGTCACCCTTTCGATACTTCTTACATTCATTGATGTGAATTATTATCCATTGCAGCACTAATGGCTATGTGATGACTACATTCCAAGAAACACCGCCAACAACCATCAATTTGATCATCTTCACAGTCACGGATTATGCTTCGAGAACTCTTATGGGTCCCAGAGATATTTCCTTGACAATCTACGCACCGAAAAACTTTATTCACGAAGTTGACTTCGCTCTGGAATATTCAATACCAGTTCTGTCTAGAATCGAAGCTTATTTAGGCTACGAATACAATCTTCCGAAGCTGGATTACATCAGTGTACTGGATTTTATTCATCTTGCTATGGAGAATTGGGGAACATTTTTATTTGAGTGAGTAAATCCATCGAATAGTAAAGATTTCATTAATCACTATCGGCATTTTCAGTTCACAATACATGCTGTTTAAGGAATCTACAACGACGGAAAATCAAAGGATGAGAATGGCACGAGTTATAACGCATGAACTGCTGCATAACTTCTTCGGAAGTCTTGTGGGTGTAAAATGGTGGTCAGATCTTTGGATGATGGAGGCTTTTGCAAATTTGGGAGAATTCTACTTCACAGATGTCTTCATGCCAGAGTACAATTACAAGGAGATCTATGTCACTGAAGTCCTGCATCGAAGTCTGGACGAACATGCATTCATTGGAGTCCGTCCAGTTGCTTCTTACATAGAACAGCCGCGCGACGTGCGAAGATATCTCGAAGGATATCTCAGCAAAGGCAAGTAATAATATATTCCCAACAATTTCTCCTAATTTTATCTTTAAAATTACCCTCTTAGCCGGCCTCATCATGAGGATGTTTATGTATGCTTTCGGAGAGGAAGTATTTCAGAATTTTATACAAAGCTTCATCCGAACATACGCCTTCGATACAGCCACTCCGGAGGATCTGTACTTAACTTACGAAAAGGCCCTGGAAGAAGAACTGGATATGAGGACTGTGAAGATGAGTGACGTTCTCAGATCCTGGTTCGAGCAGCCAGGCTATCCATTGCTAATCGTGCAGAGAGACTATGAAACTAATGAAGTTATCATAAAGCAACAGCGCTTCCTCTCCGCTCGCAATGAGAGTGATCACACCAATTACTCCTGGTATATTCCACTGTCAATTTCCACCTCGAGAGATCCTACAATGGAGAACACGAGACCTTGGAAGTGGTTAAGACCTGACGTGAATAAACTCGTACTCAAGCCCGAGTCGGAACATTCCTGGGGAGAGGATGATTGGATATTGTTCAATATACAACAAACTGGATACTTCAGGATAAATTATGATACGCAGAATTGGAGATTGCTAGCTAAAGAGCTGCATCAGGGTTATCCCTTCAGAATACCTCCTTTGAATCGAGCTCAATTAATTGATGATTCCTTCAATCTGGCCTATTCAGATATCATTGATTTCCCTTTGGCACTGGATATCATTAAATATGTGATAAATGAGGATCAGTACACTATTTGGCAAGCGGCCAACAATCATCTAATGAGTCTCGATCGTCGCCTGGACGGACCATCTTATGAGAAGTACTTCGGCCGCTTTCTGCAGCATTTAACTGAAGAACACCTCGATAAGCTGGACGTCTTTGAGAACATTCATCCCAATGAAAGCATCTCTTCCATATCCCTGCGCCCCATTATTGTTGATTTAGCCTGCCGCGCAGGATCTGGCAAATGTCTCACTGCCACGAGAGTCCTGGTGATGGCAGAATCCATGACTGGGCATCGTCTAGTGCCACGTGAACAGAGCTCTGTTTACTACTGTCACGGCCTCAAGAATGCTAATTACGAAACTTTTCAGTACTTCCGGGAGAAACTCCACAATCTCTACCATGAGCAGGAGCGCTCGCACTTATCGCATTCACTTACGTGCTACCACGATAAGGAGGTGGTGATGGATGTCCTGCTCTCGACGATCGCTCAAGATAGTCCTGAGTTTATGTACTCCGGTCTGGAGCGACAGGCTCTCCTCGGATCTGCTGTCCGGAATGGCCACGTGAGGCCAGCCATAGACTTCTTCCAGGAGCATCATCAGGAGATTGCGGTGGCATATGGATTCTCAATCACCATGGAAGGGTTGCTGCGCAGCATGACCGCATATCTGCACTTGAAGGATGATATTGCAGCCTTCGTCGACATGCTAGAAACCCTGGAGATGGCTAAGCATATTTCTGATCTGGAAAAGAGAAGAATCCTCGATGAGATGGAGCACAATTTCGAGTGGGTAGAGGACAACAAGGAGGACATCGAGAGATGGATACAGAACTATTTTGAGCCAGGCTCGATGAATTCAGCTGCAGGAAAATTCCTCAGTTTGGGAATCATTTTCCTCGCAACGTACAGTAATATTTTCATATAAAATACATATGTATGCCATACAACTTATCAATCCAATTATATGCTTCAATAAAGTGTGTATAATCCATGTATTGCAAGAAATATACAAGAACAGCACCTCATAGTTTATTGCCAATACTCTCTAAGTTGAACAGACATTTTTGGCCCGTATCACCGCCTTATCTGTCCATGTCTCTCAATTAAAAGCCCAACGCATGGAATTAATGAACACGATTCAGTAGGAAAGTGATAAGGAGTAGTGATATGGCGCTGATTGCTGTCAATTGACTGCCTGTGCCTCCCGATGGCAATTTCACATTTGCCAACAACCACGCGTTGATGCGACCCTGGAAGTGATTCACCCACGCCACGTTCCTCTTTGCAGCAGTAATCTCAGTCTGGAATGCAGCGAGAAGGGACGGTGTCATCCGGCCTGAGTGAACTTGCACAATCTGCTCGAGGAGATCCAATAATTCGTCAGTGACGACATACATGGAGAGTCCTCGAATAGCTCCGGTTATTGATTCAAAGCGATTATCTACTTCCAAGAAATTATTGAGAATTAATTCCAGTGCCGCCTTGGTGCCATTATAGCTTCCAGTTGCCACTGAGCGGAAGATCCTGTTGCGATCACTGCCACGGAAAATGCTACCCTCAACTGGGATGTGCATAATTGAAAATTCGAGGAAGCTGTAAGAGATAAACATTGAGATATGCAGTTATTCATTAGGAGAAGTGCATAAAATCTGAATTACCTGTTAATAATTGTCTCGTTTCTTGAACATCCGACCCCATCGATAATTCTCATGAGAATCGCCTCGTGATTATCCCTGTCGAGGAGCAGAATTTGATTGATTCTCGTGATTAATCTGGTAATAATTTCTGTATCTGAGAGATGTTTGACGGCAGAGCATAAAACTATCGGTTGGATTTGTTCTGGAATCCCTAACAAGTGACTATCATCCAACATTCTCGTCACTAAATCACTGGCGTCCTGAATGCAGTCCTCATTGCCATAGAAACACACCAAATTTGCGGTGACTTGCGTATGGAGAGTGCTAATGTGATCAGTATTTGTGTAATTAGTAAGTCTAATTGTGGGATAAACCTTCTCCGTGAGAGTCTTGATGAAGTATTCAAATCGAGGATACTCTTCAATGCCACGAATCATCATTTCCAAATTCAAAATGTTCGCTGTAGCCGCCGACCAAGGAATGTAGTCCACTTCATCTTTCAGATACGAAATAATTCCGAAAAAGGCATCGTATCTCGTCTGGCCAGCTTTAGCCAAGTTGGCGGAGTCATCGATCAATTGAGCTCTATTGAGGATGTGAATATCCTCGAGATTCTGCGCGTTCTGTAGGACATCTGAGATGAATTTCCAGTCGTAATCACCGTAATTGACGCGATAGTATCCAGTTTGCTGGCGATTAACAATCACATAATCTGTGAGTGGAATGTTATCAATCTGCAATTCATATCCTGGAAGCATCCAGCTCATGGGCTGTGTTCCCACAACGTGATGATTGGACGTTGTCTTTGTGTTGATGGGAATGTAAAATTCCGACGGAACCACTGTCGTGTGTTCCCAGTCCACGAGGAATCTCTTCTGGGTGAGAGAAATGCCATTCGTTGTGCGCGTCACAAGCACCACCGGATATCCTGGGTTGTCTGTCCAACTCCTGATGATTCGCGCCATGGACGTGTCTGGGGGCAGAGGAATATCAGAAGCCTTGTCCACGACTTCCTGTATTCTCTCGTGGAAGTAGTCAGGATTGCTGATACCGAAACTTCGGCCGCTAATGTAGTTAAACAGGAATTCCCGCCACATCGGCGCACCAATTATGTGCTGGATCATGCGCATCACAGAGCCGGATTTAGCATATGGAACATAATCGAATTGCCCATTGAAATCCTGCGCTCTGTAGAAACTCCCCGTCATGGGGCGCACATTCAACTTGTCATCCTGCCTCATCGCATTGTGCACGTGAATCAGGAGATACTGATCCATCATTCGCCAGTTGGAATGCATTCTGTCGGCGATGAAGAGCTCAAAATACGATGCCATTCCTTCACTGAGCCACAAATAATTCCACGATTCTGGCGTCACTTCATTGCCAAACCACATATGCGCCAATTCATGAGTGATGATTGTCGTCATGCTCTGATGAGGACTGGCCAGGACAGTATTGGGATCGTTTAGAAAGTATCTGTCAACAGCTGTGATCAGTCCCCAATGCTCCATTCCGCCAAAGAACATCCTCGGCACGGAGATGAAGTCCAACTTTGGCAGTTGATACGGATGATTGAGGTAGTCCTCGAAGATGTCCAAAGCACTGCGAACGCTGGTTATGAAGTACTGTGCTGAGGACTCGTTCACGTTGCTGGGAACATGAACGCCGATGACAGAGTCAAACGATCGGAAGGTTTGGTACTCGGCCAGAGCAAATGCCACAAGATACGTGGGCATTGATGGACTGGGATCGAATGTGGTCAACACACGATTATTCTCAACGCTGAAAAATTCATCACAATATCAAGATTCTGAGATTGATTTCCCTCTCATATTAAAATGCAAGAAACTCACGATATTCTGCTGTCCACTTTCATATTGGAGTACGCCTCATATCGATCAGGATGATTTAGCTGAATCTCAAACACAGATCGAAAGTTTGTGTTGTCCCAACACGGGAACACAGCCCGAGCATAGGTCGCTTGGAATTGCGTTACAACCATGTACCTTTAAGAGAAGGAAATCAGCAATCAATCTGATAAGAAAAACAGCACTTTTGGAGCACCATAAAAACCCACTTCTGCTGATTGTCGATGGTGTATTCGCTGCGATACAGTCCAAAAACATCACTTCGAATGATTCCAACGAAGTCAATGTGGAGCTCGTAGGATTCCGGAGAGAGCTCCTGATCAAAGGTGAGTATTGCAACTTCTGTCTCATCACTGTATGTGTGCTGGGACGGAACTAGATCTGCCGATTCGTTGTCATTCAGATGTTTGAGCACAATATTATCCCACTCAATATCCAGTCCTCTCGCATTGAAGCGAATCTCTCGCGTTGGAGTCACAACGATTAACACAATAGCCTCATGTCCATGAAAATTCCAAAGATTTGTGTCGATATCCAAGGAGATTTGGTACTTCTGTGGCAACACATTGAGCGGAAGGTGATAATCTGCCTCGTCAAATATTTCTTCCGCCTCCTCTAGTTCAAGTTCATCAACTCTCTTCGCTAAATCCACTCCAGGTTTCGCGAAAATCACCGTAAAGATGAGACAAGAGACTAAAAATCTCCAGATCATGGCGGTCGCTTCACTAACAATCAACTGAAGCTCTCATTATGACACAACAGAGCCTTTAAAGACCATTGATATCGCTAAAGTGGCTCATTCACTGTCCAAGATAAAGTCACGATGGCTTGATTACGAGAAAGCTTGTGAAGCTTTCCTCCGAAAATAAGTTCATGTTCAACCGTCAAGATATTCACCACAATCACTATCAGGCATATCACGAAGAGCCACTGATAAACCATCGTGGGTGACAAATTGATTGATTAATTGCGATTTACACACTGTGAGTCAGTTATTTTTTGGCGTATTACAGACGGGAAAAAAGTCCCACGAAATACGAAGGGCAGAAATATTTCCTTTGATTGTCACAATTAGTAACTGAAAAACTCTCTCATTCACTGTAGATAAAACAAATGATAACAATCGCAATATTTGGAAATTCATAATACCCAAACTTATGACCAATCTGTCACGATAACAGGCCTAATTTTTGCGTCTTCCACATAAAAAAAAATGAGCCACACACTTTCAAATTTGGTCTCATTGGGAAAGGATCGCGCTGATCACAAGCACTGTTGTGACTCTCTTCTACCTTCATCGATGGCTATTAAATTTTACGGTTTAAGATACAACGACCATCACCTTCCCTTTTCATTGACGCCAATCCCATAGATTGAGAAATTCTTTTGGATCATCTATAGTGTTTTTTTTTTTTTATTCCCAGAACTCCCTCTGCCAAATATCTCTCCCTCGCCAAGTCATTGGTTGTTTTATTGCTGTGAGGCTTAGTAAAGTACGTGAGCAAATATCCGATAATAAGAGTGAGACAAGAACCACTGATAAGAAACAATTGTCGAAATATCCAGTGTTATAGGAGATTAGCTAATTGAAAAGTGCGGTGTCGGTATCTTTAAATACCACTCCAGCAATCCACCGCCGGGCAGTAGACCAGCGATCTTCTGGTCAGAAACAAGTGGAGAATACCCACTTCAGGAAATTCGCACACTCTGTAAGTATTTCCCATAAGTGCAGAGAAATCTATAAAAAATTGTGCAATAATTGGACGAAATCAAGTGAAGTGGATATATTGGGCTAAAAAAGAGTGACAATTTCTTAAAGAAAGAGAACAATAAGTTAGTAGCTAAGGCAACCTTTCTAAGAAAGAAATTAAAACATATAATTTCATATATTTCACTGAATGAGTTATTCCCAACCAATAATCACTTCAATTTTGGGTTCGTGTGTTCACGAGTGAAATCTACCATATTTTTTCATGCTCAGTCGATTTAGTCACATATGTCATAAATCGAGAAGAATTAGGAGCTTTGAGACTCTGTAATTCTCCTTGAAAGGTGTATAGAGACAATAAAGTAATTGAGTGCATTCCTCACATCATCTAATTCAATACAAGATAATAGGTTTAAGAGAGAGGATTTGCCCTACATTACATTTCCCCAGATTCATGATAGATCATAAAATAATTTGCTATCGCGCGACATAAAATAATCCGGCCACTCAAGTGATAACTGTACGTCAGTCCCCATTTCATCAATCAATATCGCTGAGATGGATTGTAAATTATCGCACTTTAATTGGCAGGACAACTTGTACCATGTCACCAAGAGTGACTCTCGTTTTCGCCCTGGTCGCGCTCGCCACAGCAACAGTGCCGCACGGCGATCGCGATCCTCCCTTCGAGGATGTGTTCTCCCCGAAGCAGCAGGGCGGCGCAGAATACCGCCTGCCCACCAATGTTGTTCCCGAGTCCTACGATCTCACCATCACGCCGTACCTCTTCGCCGAGGGCCAGAAGGCGGAATGGACGTTCGACGGTGAAGTGTCCATAAATTTGCGTGCGAATGTCGATGGAGTGAACACAATTGTCCTCCATGCTGTTGACCTGGAGATTGATCACACACAAACTTCGCTGAGACAAGGTGCGGTTCCGGGGAATTTAATCAGCGGCAATCCCACGTATGACACTGCCACGGCCAAGTTGACTTACAGCCTCACCACAACCCTCACGCGGGACGTCATCTACACGCTGTCTATCACCTACACGGGTCTGATTCACAACGACATGAGAGGACTGTACAGGAGCACGTACCGTGAGGGTCAGACGGAGAAGAGACTGGCCTCGACCCAGTTCCAAACAACATTCGCGCGTCGCTTTATGCCGTGCTTCGACGAGCCTAAGTTTAAGGCAGTCATCTCATTGAAGGTGTTCCGACCCAGCAACATGCGAGCCTGGTCAAACATGGACATTCTGGGCAGCTCAACTCAAGGCACACGAACACTGGACACTTTCAATCCCACCCCCAAAATCTCCACATACATCATAGCCCTGGTTGTGTCGGAATTCACCAGTCGATCCACCCCAACTTCTCAGCCTAATCACCATGGCGTGATTGCTCGACCTGAGATGTATCCCCTGTCTGAGTACGCCCAGGAAGTAGGCATAAACATTCTTGCGAAACTTGGAGAGCACCTGGACTACTCCTACTATGACTTTATGCCCAAGATGGATCAGGCCGCCATTCCTGACTTCTCAGCCGGAGCTATGGAAAACATCGGTCTTCTGACCTATCGTGAGGCAAATCTTCTATACAGTACCACGAAAAGTCTCTCAATGACCAAGCAGAGAATCGCCGCTGTGATCGCCCACGAGCAGGCTCACATGTGGTTCGGTGATTTGGTCACTTGCGACTGGTGGAGCTACACATGGCTCAATGAGGGATTCGCGCGGTACTATCAATATCACGGAACCGCCTTTGTTGAGACCAATTGGGCGCTGGAGCACCAATTTGTCGTTGAGCAATTGCAAGGCGTATTCCAGATGGATTCCTCCAACAACACCCACCCCATGACTAATCCTGAGATTTACACACCCTCTCAAGTCTCTGGCATCTTTGACAACATCTCATACAACAAGGGAGCCACGTTCATTCGGATGATAAATTATCATCTCGGTGGAGATAGACTGAGAAACGCTCTGCGAGAATATCTGCGTGTGAATGCCTTCGGTACAGCCGTGCCCAATGACCTGCTGGTACAACTCCAGGCTCAGGCTCAGACTACACACCAAATTGACTCTGTTTTCAACACCTGGACCACCCAAGAGGGCTACCCAGTTGTCAATGTGGAGATCAATGAGGCGCGCAATCAAGCCAGTCTCCGACAGAAGAGATTCCTCAGCTATTCCGCCGACACTCCCGATGGCAGTCTCTGGGCCATTCCCATTACTTTCGCCAGCAAGCGCCAGCACAGTCTCACTGATACCACCACGAGGAGCATCATGTCCGGCCGAGAAGCCCAAATCACCATCACTGCTTCACCCAATGAGTGGGTGATCTTCAATGTGCAGCAAGTCGGCTACTATCGCGTGAACTATGACTCCAATTCCTGGAACATTATTATTACCGCTCTCAAGGATGAAGCCCACGATGGAATTCATGTTCTCAACCGCGCCCAAATTGTCGATGATCTCTTCAATCTGGCCAAGGCTGGCTACGTTCCCTATGGCACCACCTTCCAAATGCTTGAATACCTCAAGAATGAGCGCAACTACATCCCATGGTTGTCTGCCTTCAATGGGCTCACGCACTTCCGACGACGCCTACGCGATGAGAACAAGGAGCTCTTCGGCAAGTACATGAATGAACTCATGGACGGCATATACGGCCACCTGACATTCAATCCGAAGACATCCGACAGCTGGATCGACATCTACAACCGCGCCAATGTGATCTCCTGGGCCTGCAAATACGGCCACGAAGACTGTCTCACCAATGCCAGAGATCAGTTCGCTCGCCTCCGCAACGACTCCACCAACTACATCATTCCCGTGGACATCCGCCCCACTGTGTACTGCGTGGGACTGCGGGAAGGTGGCCAGCAGGCTTTTGACTTCCTCTGGGATCGCTACCTCAACGAACAAGTGGCCACTGAGCAAGTGACCATCCTCAATTCCCTGGGATGCACCAACACGGACGCCACAGTGAACGCCCTCATTGACAACATTCTGTCCAGTGCTGTGCGGGATCAGGACAAATCCAGCGCCTTCGGCAACGTCTACGCCCACAATGAAGAGAACATCGCCCGTGTGTGGACCTATGTCACTACCAACCACGCCAAAATGAACCAAGCGTGAGTATTTCTTGAGCAAACCATAAATTCTTGACTAACACTGCGTGTCTCCTTCCCAGTCTCGGCGGATATGGCAGCGTAGCATCATATATTTCCGGAGTTGTGGGTCGTTTCCGCACCCCTGAGGAGATGGAGCTGCTCAAGACCTTCATCAACACTCACGGCAGCAATTTCGGCAGCTCCAGAAGCACCCTTGAGAATGCCTTGTCCAACTTGGAGTATGAATACTACTGGGACTCCAAGTACATGGATCACGTGGTGACGGGAATCGGAGGAGCGGGCATTAGAACTATTAGTGCTCTCCTCGTTCTCTTCACCGTCTTCTTCAGCTCCCTTTTGCGCTGAATACAACAGTATTTTGTAGATTAATAACATAAATCCATTAATAAATCATAAATTAGTCAGAGTAGAAAGTTAAAATTTTATTTAAATATATCTATCTTATCATAAATTCCTCAACTTCACGGGATTCACCAGACAAGAATATCTCGTTGGCAGATCTGCAGATTATTCCTCACTAGGGAGATAAAAGACAACGGGGAATTTCCTTCTGATAAGCCGCCGAACCGTCTTCAAAGAGGATAATTTAGAAGGTTAATCTAAATTTAGACTATGACAGAGAAAGTCTATTTATTGATAAATGATTCAACTTGAAATCGTAGCAATTGACGCACATAGATGACACATTTGTAAAATAAAACTCTAAACTGGAAAGAACACCGAATAGTTGAGGATTTTTTGTAGCTCTGTAAAATTGAGTGAAATCATATCCGGCTTTATCAGAGGTAACACATGACTTGCAAACAATAGATTACATGAAATATTTGTTCTTTCCTTTTTATTACTCTCTCCAGACATTACAGAAAATTGGAAGGATGACAAGAGTCCCGCTAATACTGCTCGTGACTTTTGTTCTCACGAACTTCAGTGAGGCTGATGTATCGCGACTGAACTTCAAAATCAGGCCGATGAAATACAGCATTTTTGTGAATTTCGAAGAATACGACATCAATCAGGAGAAACCGTGGACATTTCAAGGAGTTGTGAATATCTTAATACAGATATACGTAGATGATGTGAGATCAATAACACTCAATTCCTTCAAGCTCAATATCTTCGAACAGCATCTCAAGCTGAAGTGTTGTAATACGGACAATCTTCTTGTTGGAAAACCAACGTACAATCCAGACAAACAGCAAGTGACTTTTGATCTCAAAGAATCGCTTAACAAGAGTAGCGAAATCATACTAAGCATGAAATATCGCGGTGAGATCTCTAATGACAAACAAGGAATGTTCAAGACCATCTATGATTCGGAAACTGAAAAGAGGCAAATTATTATGACTGTCTTAGAGCCTCATTTTGCTCGCACTTTTATGCCATGTTTCGATGAGCCTCGGATGAAGGCGCAATTTAAGCTGAAAGTTCGGCGGGCATTTTCAATGTCAGTCTTATCAAATATGCCTCTTCTAAATTCTGTTAATGATGATTTCGTAGACTTCACCAATGATACCTTTAAGACAACTCCACCAATCTCCACATACATGTTGGCTCTGTTCATGGCAGAATCTCAGAATTTCCCCGCATATGAGGTAAACTCAACTATTAACATAATCTCCCGCACAGAAATGCAGCAACATCGTGAATATGCAGCGTCCATTGCTCCAAAGATTCTAGAATACTTTGATTTTATATTCGATCTGCCGTATAAGGAATTTATGCCAAAGATAGATATTGTGGCAGTGCCGAATTTCACTGATTTGCCCACGGAGAATCCAGGTTTAATCACTCTACGTGAATCTGCACTTTTGTATTCACCCGAAAAGACCTCGGCGACGCAGCAGCGATTCATCATGGAGTTGCTCATGCACAAGCTTGCGCACACGTGGTTCGGCAATCTAGTCACCATTTCAAAATGGAAAGATCTGTGGCTAAATGTGGGCTTTGCCAAGTTCTTTGAAAGCTTCTCCATTCCCTGCCTGAAGATCTCCGAAGACTTTCCGACGCTTTTCACTGTGCATGTGATGCACGAAGCCCTGGACTTCGATTCAAGCAATGTTACTCATGCTATGGGGATTGACAATTTCGAATCATACGAAGATATTGTGCAAAAGTACGATACAATCTCGTACAATAAAGCTGCCTCAGTGATACGAATGTGGCAACATCATTTAGGGCCAGATCTCTTTGGAAAAGTTATGGTGCAGTACTTGAAGGAGAAAAAATTAAAAACAACTGAACCTTCGGTCCTCCTCAAAATAATGGAGAGTGTGAAGCAGGACGAGCAGAACCATACAAAAGCGATTTTTCAGACATATACGAGATTGCCGAACTATCCAATTATCGAGGTGAACATTAACAAAGTCCGAAACTCCGCGAATCTAACTCAATCAAATTATTGCTCAGAGTGTCGTAGTGAAGAAAATGATTTATGGGCCATTCCCATAACATTTGTCAGCAAAAGACAGTACAACTTCAGCGACACTGCCACTAAAGCTGTTTTAATAGATCAGCTGGAATTGAAACTCGATGCAGTGCCAAATAGTTGGGTCATCTTCAATGTGCAGCAAGTGGGCTATTATCGCGTAAAGTACGACTTGAGATCTTGGCGGCTAATCCTCAAAGGCCTCAATTCGCCAAACTTTGATGGAATTCATGAGATCAACCGTGCGCAAATCATCGATGATATGATGCATATGGCCAAATTGGATTTGCTTGCTTACAGCGTCGTTTTCAGCGCGCTGGAGTATTTGCAGAAGGAAACGCATTACGTTCCCTGGAAGGCAGCGCTGAACTCCTTCAAGTTCCTCAGCTATCGCTTGAGGGACCAAGATAGGGATGTTTTTGGCAGATTCATTCTAAAGACCATAGAGAATGTCTACAACCAAGTGGGCTTCTTTCCCATTCCTTCGGACTCGTACTTGACCAGGTATCTTCGCATCGACATCGCTGAGTGGGCCTGCACTTACGGCCACAGTGATTGTTTGTACTATGCAAGACAACAGTACAGATATATGAAGACTAGCGGAAGCCACGAGATTCCAGTGGACATCAGAGAAACCGTGTTCTGCACTTTCCTTCGCGACGGCGGCGTGAAGGAATTCAATTTCTTGTGGAAGCGCTTCAAGTCTGAAATTCTGGAAACGGAGCAAATAAGGATTCTCAATAGTTTGGGATGCACAAACACTGACAAGTCCGTCGAATTGCTCATGTCCAAGATTTTCTCCCCAGAAATTGACGATGGCCTGAAAAAAGACACTTTTCTCAATGCGGTGTCGAGAAATCAGGAGAATGTCCATCGAATTTGGTCTTACATTATTGAAAATCACGAAAAAATGAGTAGAAAGTAAGTGCAATTGAGAGAAATTATATAATTTATATATATTTTTCCCATTTCAGTCTCATTCATGGATATATTGATGTAATTCAATATATTGCAACTGTTGCGAAATTCATGAAGAATTCACAGCAATTGTCAGAACTCGAAGAATTCATAGAGAACACGGGCGTAAAACTGAAAACATACAAAGACGATCTCGAAAAAGCTGCCGAGATAGTAAAAAGATCATTGCAATGGAATGATCGCAACCTCGATGAAGTTATTCTGCAAATAGAGATGTTAGCAAGTGGCAATATTTTCACAGCATCAAAATTATTATTGATGCTCACTTACGTCAACATAATTCATTCCATCATGTGAAATATTTATTGAATCTTCTCAAGACAACAAAATTTATACACTGAATTGTTCACTCGTGGCACGAGAAATACATTCTTAAGTACGAGACATGAGGGCACAGTCTTTGGAGGCGCTTCAATTCCGTAGCACACTGGCTAAACCACTTTTGTCACTTTTTCCAACCACGTTGTGATGACCTTGTAGTTCCTCTTCATCCAGGAAATATTAGCTTCCGCCTTCTCAATACTCTGCTTTACCGTTCGACCAGAATCTTTAAGGTGTACGTCAGCGAATCGCTTCAATTCCTCGAGTTCGAAAGGTGTATTGAGGCGTCTTATGGAATACTTAATAATCATATTCAAGTTTGTCAAGGAGCCCAAGCTGAAAGGGAGAGAAATCAAATGGTTACGTGATTGTGTGGAAAATAGTCTGATTGGAACTTACTACACTCGAATTTGATCCCAGTTGCTGCGCAAGTAGTTGAAGACGATTGTGTGCCCAATGCCATTGGACGCCACCGCCCCGAACACCCTAAACACATCCTGCTTCCGAATCCCGTAGGCGTCAGTGAGCGAGCGATCGAGGTAGCGTATGAGAATCCACGGTTCCCGGCTGCATCCGAGCGCCGACAAGAGGATCTCCTTCTCACTGGCCACTTGGGTATTCATGAAGCGCTCCCACGCAAAGTCCCACATGCGCTGCTCTCCGTACTTGATGGCCGTGCAGTAGATGAGACTCTTGAGATTGGGTGATATTGTGTTGTGCAGATCTGGATTCGGCTGATGAATCCACATGTTGAACTGCTCAACACTCCTGTCCACGCAATCACTGTAGCCAAGTTGGCAAGCGAGCGTGAGAATTTCCACGCGCTTGTACACCGTCAGCATTGAACTGTTGCCGGCATCCACGAAGCCCACCTGATGGTACACCTTCTCGAGCAGCGAGAGACAGTAGCGACGGAAGAGGTCAAACTGCCCCGTCTTCTGCAGCATCGAATCGAGGAAGTTGAGACCATTTATCGCCGTCTTCCATGGCACATAGTCAGTCTCTTGCTGGAGGTAGCGAGTCACCTCGAGGGCAGTCACGTAGCTGAGATACCCACCGCGCGCCAAATTCAGCGCATCGTCGATTAGTTGCGCGCGATTTGCCGGTGCAATCTTGCGGAATTTCACCGGATCATTTAAATCACTCACTATTGCCCGCCAATTCTCATCGTCATAATTTACTCTATAGTAGCCACTCTGCTGGAGATTCACAATCAACCAGTCACTCTTGTCAATCACCACATCGTGCAGCTGAACACTTCGCTCACCCCTCATCCAGTGCGATGGGGATGTGTTGCTGAAATTGAGCTCTTTGCTTGTGGTGTAGGTGACAGGGATCCACCATAGAGGATCTTCTTTCTCCTCTGATGTCTGATTGATGAGGAAGAAGCGCTGCTGCTGCAACTCCACAGTGCCATCATCGTAATTTCGCGTCACTGTTACCAGTGGAAAGCCCGTTTGGAGAGTCCACGTGTCCATAATCACCTTTACACTGGTGTCATTGTCGAACACACCCCCATTGCGTGCGGCATCCGTGAGAAATCCCCACAGGTCATCCTGAGTGGCGGAGTCAAACATCAATGTCTTCAGATATGTGTTTAGGCCACGGCGGAACAGCTCGGAAGTGAGAAAGTTGTCCATCATGCGAATTATTGTCGCACCTTTACTGTACGAAATGCGATCGAAGATGTCATTTATCTCATCCGGATTAGCCACATCAACTGATATGGGATGGGATGACGACAGTGCGTCCAGAGCGAAAACATTTTGCAGCTCCAGCACCACAAACAGATCCATTGACATCCATGAGGGCTCCACGGCGTCCACGCCCAGGTACTCCATGTAGCTAGCAAATCCCTCATTCAGCCACAAATCGTTCCACCACTTTAACGTGACCAGATTTCCGAACCACTGATGGACCAATTCGTGCGAAATCACCGTGGCCACGCGGTGTTTGTTGTTGATCGCCGATATTCCCTCTTCGTACAGCATTGAAGTCTCTCTGTAGGTGATAAGGCCGAAATTTTCCATGGCACCTGCAAACAGAGCGTCACAATCAACAATTATTATTATTGTTGTTCTGTATAAAAACCAGTAATGCTGAATCATAATGCATTCGTCTCACATAATATGTGAGGGCAAGTATAAGCAAAATTTAAATACCGAATAATAATTAATTTCACCCATAAGATAGAGAAATATAACTTTGCTAGAGGGCATTGCCCAAATTGAATTAAGCGACCGCCAAATGAATTGCACATACACAATGTGAGTGCTAAATATCACAGATTGCCAGACGCCGCGCATAATTATCCATCTCATTCACACTTTCGGAGACATGCTAATCTCACCTGCACTGAAATCGGGCAGTGCAATCATGTCCATCTTCTCCAGTGGATAGGACAGATTGAAGAACCGCTCGAGATACTTGAGTAGCCTGGGCCCAACGTTGAGAGCGTAATCCGTGGACTTGATGGCATCCTGTCTCGCCCATACGCTCACCATGCCTGTTTCGTCTGTCTGCTTGGCGAAATCGCACACGACAAATGCCACAAGGTACGTTGACATTGGCACAGATTCCTCATAAACATCCCACAGGTAGTCCGGATTGTTGTCTCTGCGGGAGAGGACAACCGATAAGGCACACAGTTTTTTACTCCCAGCATTGCACAACACCACTTAATGTACATTTACTGTGTCAATTGAATTAGAAAATTGCCAACCATATCTGAGGAGTGTGGCCTGGAGTGAGAATGCCTGGCAAATCACTCTCTCTCACTCTCTCGCTATATCTAGCTTCCCCATGGCATTTGATTAGTGTGACACAAATTGATGATAATTGATACTAATGTTCTGCAACACTTACACACTTGCTTCTCGCACTCTCTTCATGTTCGACAGTGAAATCATGCTCTTCGGTCTAGCGATGGATATGGTGAAGCGCGCCTTTAAGTCCGGTTGATCCTAAAAAGAAAAGCAATCATTTATTAAATACCCTCATTCAACCCTCATCTGTTGATGGTTGTGCATCATTCACCATGCAGGGAAAGGTTCTGCGAGCATCAGTTGGCTGGAATTGCGTGGCGGCCAGCCATCGAGTGTCATTTCCCACTCGATAAGAGCTCCTATAGAAGCCCTGCATGTATTCATTGAGGATGCCGTGAAACTTGAGCAGTACACGGTAGAATTGGCCCTTCTTCAGCACCTCATTACTCTTCACCACGAAGAATTGCTGAGTCTCCACCATAGACGTTCCCGACACGCCAATCTCCCTCTCTGTGCCGTTCTCAACAATCCGAATCTCCTTTTCCGGCACTTTCAGTGCCAATGAGTGTAGTGTGATATTTTTGCAATCCTCGAGAGCTTCCAACGTCACTACAACCTCGCCATCGAACATGAAATCCTTCTCCGCAAAGAAGGGCTGTATCTTGAGCTCATAGTGGTGTGGTTTCAGAGCCGTGGGTAGTAGAAAGTCAGCTGCTGTCAGTTTGGGCACAGGAATTCCCACACTTGGACCCGATGTCGTGGTACTGATATCCCCAACACTGCACTTTGGCTCTTTCGGGCAGGAGATGAAGTGATACACCAAGAATCCAGATCCAACAATGCCACACACAAAGATTCCCACGATGAACCCGAGAGTGATCTTCGAAATGTGAATGCCACTCCGGTTTGTGAAGGTGGGCGCATGATCAATGGCCAGTGTCTCCCTGACTTGCATCCCTACAAAGAGCATGAGTGCAAAATAGAGTGAAACAATTCTACTTGTCTGTGCAAATGTTTAAGCGTGCAGAAAAAATGTATAGAATGATACCCATTGTCACTGATCCTCAGAAATCCCTCTCTCTGGCGATCAGCTCCTGCAAAGTGACCAATTCCATGAGTATTTTTTCAAACAAACAACGCTAACGGAGTCAATTTCAATAGTGGCTCTTTTATCGCATCTCTCCGCAGTTGCATTCCCGAGGAACCTCATGCTAATGTGCGTGTGTACTCAAGTGAGGCATGTTTCTTCACCTTATGTCGATTTTTCCTCCAATGGCCCGTAGAATGGAGAATTATTGAGGCAGATGGTTGCCTCATTTCCAATTCGACACAACGAATTGCCCTCATAATTGTATGTCAATCGACTTCTTACCCCTGCTTATTTTCTATCAATAGACACTCGCTCATCAATTAACTAAATCATTCCTCGGCACGCCAAATTGTTTACACACTCATCGATAATCCTTCAAGCAAATGAAATCCCATCATTTCTCGCTATGGTAATTCCTATGCGGGCCGCAAGCAGCGTGTGCCAAACCATCACCCCAATTTTCCAACAAATTTCATTACGACAACTGGATTTGGGAGACGAGAGAGAGGGCGAGAAACTCAATTTCAATTTTGCCTCTTGCTCGTCTCTTCGCGGCATGATAATCAATTTTGAGAAGAAAGGCAAAGATGAGAGATTAATCGGATGTGTTTATGCTAACATGAACATATAATTTTTATTTGTTTTTCCTCCTTTTTTTCGCACTAATGCCCCGGCGCGCGGTCTCTTGATCCACACAGCCGTGAAGAGAGAATATCAATAAAAATGAAAGTGTTTTAGGCATTTTTTCCAACTGACCAGACGAAACAAATGCGTCACCAGCTGTTAAGCCTTCTCGAACGAGATAAGAGACAGCCAAATTTTTGCAAAGCACGCCTCTTTTAATTCTTTCAGCTGTACATTTTTATGGCTTTTAACTTACAGTGGCGCAAATGCATTTCAGCACACTACAATTACTTTCTTTACTACTTTATTTAATCTCATATTCATTTGTTATTTTATGTGAAAAATACTAAAAACACAATTTGATGATAAATTTATGCTTCCTGAAGCAGTAACTCAAGGTGATTTTTATGTAAATTTAACCTTCGAAATTTGTTTATTTTATACAAGTTATAAAAATCTCGCCGGTGTGTAATATTAATTCCTCTATTGTGCAAGAATATTTGTCACCAAAAATTGCAATTGCATAGCTAGTTAATTGTCTAATATACACGTGAAGCGCTCAATTGCCTGCGCACCACTGTACAGTACTCAATCTTGCATTAAATTGCCCAAAAATAGTGTTAAAGCAATTATAGCATTGTTTGCAATTGCCACTACAAATACCCTCGCGTCGCGCCACTGCGACTGAGCCTTAAAGCTTGAGTAAATATTGTCTTTCGTGCCTGCCGAGACGGAGTTCAGTGAAAGCGGATTGCTTTTTTCAAGGTGAGAATCCCGCGTATTTTGGGATACAAGAAATAATGACCCTAGCGACAAAAATCCCTTTGAACATCACAGACCGGGACTCATTAGATTCTAAAAGTCTTCACCCTCGTAAATGCTTCATCAGCACCACGCGATCATGAAAATTATCTGGTGTGTGACATAAATCACGCACGATGTCGCGACGGAATCTCGTGTGTCTAGTTTTTTTTTTTTTAGAATACAAGTCGCAGTTTTGGCCAGAATTGTCTTGCGTGACTATTTTTACCTCATCTGTGCTATTACAATATGGCATTAATGAAATGAGATTTTTATTGCACGCACTGTGGATGCACCGAGGCGGCGGATGTCATCGAATATCACATGAGTGCGACATATCATATGGGTGGCTATTGATTACGCAAATTCACCAATGTAGATTGAGAGTAATTTGACCCTGAACAGCTTGAGATCCTGCCTAATGAATTGTCCCCCATTGCAATATATCCTTTCGCTATCGCTCAGCCAGCTCGCCAGCAGGAGATTGCCTTCAAGAGTGGGTGGAAAAATCCATGGCAGCGCAGCAATATTGACCCAATCACTCACCATTGATTAACACTTTGTTCTCAACACACACACCGTATGCTTCACGTCTTTCCCACCCTCGCCTTGGCGAATGCGAACGGACGGAGAGCACATGAGCCTGATTCAATTAATCCCGCCCCAGTTTTCTGATCACCACACTTTCCCACACCACCGTCGCCGACAAGAAGATGATGAACTGTCTTCAGGAGATTACTCACCAATCTATCTCGTTGACTTTGGCTCAATCCAGAAAATCCAACCACCACGGCGCGCGATCCTCCGGAGTTGCGGCGGAGCAAGAGAGCACCAGTTCAGAGTTGCAAAGGCCACACTTTGGAGCGAGATCTACACAATCGCATCGGCTACACAATAGAAATCCTTCACAATCATGCGGGATTATCTGAAAATTTCACGATAAACCGTAATTGGAGTAAAATTCAAATTACTTTACACATTTGAAGGACGCACTATTTTATACTCACTCATCTCTCCAGCACTCTTGCCAGCACGCTTTTTTCCCAAATTGACCTCACTCAATATCAGTTTTTCACCGCCAAATTCCACATACACAAACACCACGCACAGACACTGGGGAATTTTTGTGGAAAAAGTGGGATTTTTTGGATGCAAGTCCAAATGCTGAGAATCGGGAGATTCACACGGAGCAACTTCCTCAGTCAGTGACGACTCAAGTGAGACTGAGTGTCGAACTGATACGCGCCTCTCGACTGGCTGTCTCACGTCTCCACTTCGGGAGGGAATCAAGCAGACACTCCGCTCGAGATCCGAGGACTTGGCACTCTCTCACCACCGAGAGGAATTAAGAGCCACACACATAATCGTGTTTATTTACACAGTCGCCAGGGCACGCACGAGAGAGCACTCACTGGCGTGAGGGCGGATGAAAGTGTGAATGAATGATTGAGAGTGATTCAATGTATCCGCGCGATGGAGATTAACTGTCACTCATCATCCTGAGAAATCATTCTCCTGTTGTACCTCGAGTGTGCAATAAATCTCTGTCCCCACATCACCCACCCTCGGAGGAGGAAAAAAAACAAGTGCACTCTCTCTCTCTCCTCGCATTTGCTCTATTTTCAGCCTTTACACTCATCTGCCATATCGAGAATTTATTCTTCTCATCCGTCATGCACTTTCTGCACTCGGATTTACATACTCATCATCACCCACAAAACATTGTTTAATGGACCATAAAATGCCATATGATGTTAATTACTCGGGAAAATACAGCGAAGATGACAAAAAAGTGTAAATTCGGTCAGCAATTTTACTACTCAGACATTATATATGGCAAAGGCCTTCAGACTCTGTGTGATAATGAATTCACAAAGCCACAGAAGTTACATATCTGCATCTTCTTTCAAAAAGTCTTCATTGTAATCCATTTGAATACGGTAGATTGCGATTATATCTCACCTTTCTTAAGTGATAAAACGAAGGTAAATAGAACAATATCTCTGAATTTAACCACTCATAGAAGTTTAAATTTTAAATCGCAATAAGCATTTCGATGTATATCAGATGTAATATATAAATGCCTGCTGAACTACATAAAATTAAATAATTTACATACACAGTGCGTAAAAATAATAAATTCCATAATTTTTCTGTATTATCTAGAATTCTTGCGTATGTTTCATATTTTATATTCAATGCAAAATTGACTCTGAAATCAAATTAGAATCAAATAAGAGATAGCACTGAAATGCTTTCGTCACTACTTTAACATCAACCGGGAAACAATGAAATGTTGGCAGCCTTGATAAGACTGTCAACAAAACGTAAATAAAATCATCCGCAAGAAAATAAAATTCTTATTGGAAAAAAGCTTTCAAATTATGGAGTTTCCCAAGGTTTTAGTTACAGGTATAATCTTTTTCGACTTCTTATCAGGCAACATATCTAATTTCCTCACCATTTCAGTTGGCACGACGTCATTTCCCGAACTAATCAGTGCCGTAAACACACGAGAGATGGTAGAAATCTTGAAGAATCGCCTGAAGTGCCACGAAATCACTGTTCAATCCGGGAAGAATGATTTGGAATTCATTCCAGAATTCAAAGACTTATCCACCAAGAGTTTCCACTATTCCGATGCCTTCCGGGATTGCATTAGAGCAGCCGATTTGGTGATCAGTCATGCTGGAGCTGGAACTTGCATGGAGGTTTTGGCCGCCGGAAAAGCCCTCGTCGTGGTGGTCAATGACACTCTGATGGACAATCATCAGACGGAACTGGCTGATCAGCTGGCGTCAGAAAACTGTCTGGTGCAGTGCATTCCGGCGTCCCTCTGCCAAACTCTGCGCGAGTTCGATCCAAGCAAACTCAAGAAGTATGAGAAAGGCGATCCTGGCAGAATTGTGGAGGAAATTGACAAACTAATGGGATTTCAGCAGTGAAATAAAATTCTGAATGAAGCAAAACATTTATTGACACTTTACATAATCTCTGAATTTGAGCCACAAAAACACATTAAGCGATCCAACTTTTTGGGAATCTATCTTTTCTTCCATTGATATAATTAGTGCAAGTATATTCGATACGGGTGCAATTTCTTTACTCCTCAGACGTTCCAGAAACATCAACAATTGATTCAAAGGAGAATGGCTGGAAGGCATAGCCGAGACCAGCATAGAACTTGCTCTGGAACTCCACCCAATGCAGACGGAGGGTGTGCAGGAAGGCCGAGAGGCCCTCCATCAGCACAAGAATGCCCACCGTGAGGACAGCCCAGAAGGCGAAGACCACCCACAAGACCACGCCACCCACCCAGCCGTCCTGCCTCAAGCCCACCTGCAGCACCATGTTCCACAGCACCTCAGAGAGCTGAGCATGGGCCAGCGACAGCGCCCAGAGACGCAAATACGATGCAGTGTGGGATATCGAGCCGAGCACGTACTCAATGGTGTGGATGCCCTGATGAATGAAGATCTCAGACATCTCCTCCTCCTCCTCGTGGCCTCCAGCTGGTGGTCCGGTGGCCTGACCCACAGCATTTTGGGCATTGAGTCCATTCTCGGCATCGCCATTCTCCGTGGGCACGATGGGCTGGTGGTGTCCCTCTTTGCGCGAGCGCATGATCATGATGGGCTTGGCAAGAAGCATCCACGGCACGCACAGCACAGCCACAAGCACGAGGAAAGTCTGCAGCGGTCCCTGACCACTAAACATGTACGGTGAGCAGATATCCTTCTCCGGATCCCAATCGACAGATTTCATCAGAACCATATTAATGAAGGTAATGAGAATGGAGGGAGCACAATTCTCACTGAAAGCTCCATCATTGGCCGCTGAGAATCTCACCCATTTGATGAACATCATCAGAACCATGTAGAAGAACAGGAACACCAAGAAGATGATTTGTGGGATGAATTCGCAGTAGATGGCCATCTTGTTCTTGAAGTATCTGTGATTGCACAAGCCCACCATTACGCCAAAGATCATGTGAATCACACCAAAAATGATGGAGATCTTCATCTTGTACGCATTCTGGAAGATGATCTTGTTCAATGGCGCCACCTGCCACACCGGATCCATGCCGACCGGATATGGATACTGCAAATAATCCGGTCCGGCCGGATCCAATTGCAACTGTTTGTTCTCCATCACTGTACTGGTGTTGTAGTTGATGCGCCAATGTGATCCGAAGATGTTGATTGACTTGGAGAAGAGATCATTGTATATCAATCCCGTGTACATGGAGAAGCATCCCATGAGGAAGATGATGTATCGGCCGCCAAAGAAGATATTCCAAATCTCATTGTCACTCTTCTTCGCCGCCAATGGTTTCTCCTTCAGCACCATCCACAAGCCAAAGAGTGCCATGATAGAGCCATGACCAAGATCGCCAAACATCACGGAGAACAGGAATGGGAACGTGATTATGGTGTACGGTGCCGGATTCATCTCCCTGTAGCTGGCAATACCATAAGCATCAATGAGCGCCTGAAAGGCATTCGTGAACTTGTTCGTGCGATTGTACGTTGGTGGATTCTCAAATGTTTGCATGCGATTGAGAATGGGTGGCACAGATGAGCCACTCCGCTCAGTGCCGCGTCGCAGCGCAATCTGAATGGTCTCAATGTCCAACACCGGCACCCAGCACTCGGCAATCAGACACTTCTGTGTCACGTCCAGATTGAACAAGTTGAGCGTGTGATAAATTGCCTTGATTTTGCGCACTTTGACAAACCAATTCTTCAGGTTCTTCGCCGCCGCCACCAGAACACGGTGCCGATGATCCTGAGTCTGGCCCAGAACAGTGTTCAAATCCTCAATGCGCGTCATCACACCCATGGCCATCTCGCGACGATCGGACGGTGCCTCGGGACAGGGATAGAGTGTGGCCCTGAAGCCCTCGCAGATCTTCTTCACGCGCGTCTTCAGCTGATCGCCTTGGAAGAAGATGATGAACACCGACTTGTAGACATTGTCGCCCTGCGCAAGAGACACACAAACCGATTAACTTCTTCCCAACAACTTCTCAAAAGAAACAAGCAGTCTTTGTCCTTACATTAGACGGATCCTCAAGCGGGGACTCGATCATTGCCTGACGCAAGAAGACATTTCCACGGCAAGCGCGCCATAGCATCCTCTCAAAGGCTGGCAGTCTCTCCCTCAAAATCACTCCAGCCACAAAGCTACAACATTCATCAATTAAACTATCTCACCAAAATGTCATCAAATCTCAGAATAATAGAGGAAATTTTTTTTTCTTAACACATTTCTCATGTCATGAAACTATCAAATTGTTAATTCATTCAATGTACAACAATTTATAAATATATATAAAAAAGATATCATAAAAAGAGAAGGTTATAAAAAAGGATGTTAAAGAGAGTTAGTATTTTACAAAGAATTCGACAATATTTCTATTCTCTTTTCTGTCTCTTAAAAAAAAATATATTTTCGAACTTCTTCAAAACGGAACATCTCGATTGATCAATGACTATTTTATACATGTTAAAAATGCACATATTTTCTATGAATTTTTTGTTACTCTAAATTTTACTTTAAAGAAATTTACTTGAGAAATATTTCTACTACAGTGAAACATTGACAGTGTCGATTGAAAGACCTACAGAGTTGGGTAGTCCTTCGACAGACAAAAGTACTTTGCCATTTTTACTGCCAATGTCTCACTGTCTATGAATACACATTAAGAGATTACTATAAAATGGAAAACAAGCGAAGATATAGAGAATATTTAAAGTCACCAAAAGTAAAAGGAATAATAAAAATGTGCAGCAAAAATATCTAAAAAGGAAATCAAGAATAAAATAAAAACAAGGACGATCACGGAAGAAGCACATTGAAGCCAAAAAAAAGTAGCTAAATCACAAAATCAACAAATAAAAAAGAAGCTTTTTAGCAAAATCAAAACTTATAAATGAGAGAGAAGAATGATAGAACATTAACGCCCACTAAGTGATAAGAACTCTGTTAACAAAAAGGACATATTCGATAGTGTGTGAGAGATTTGAGGTAAAAAAAAAACAACAACAGGTGATGAATGAATAGAAATGTGACTAAATATCCACTGAATATTTCAAAATAGAATAAATTTTTGAATTGTTACACTTTGTGTTACTGACCATGGCAGGAATTCTTCAGGCTCTTGCGATTTTTCCAGAAAACTAATCGCAATTCATCCATATTATAATCACAATTAACAATTGTGTTGTGTGTGTGTTGAAGAAATGATAAAATATTATTATAACAATCGCATTTCCTTTCTCATCAATTTTACACTTTCTTTTAGCTCTATTATTTTTCTTTTTTTTTTATTTTTAATCTAAACAGAGAAAATTATTTTTTAAAGCTCACTACAATGTTAGATAATAATAAGAGATTTTTCCTAAAAATAAAACAAAACTTTCTTTTTTGTTAGTGTTTTAGAATATCATCACTTGAAAAAATCACTCATTTTTTTTCTTTTATACTGGTTAACCTTTAGTTCCTATGTAGAGAATTTACTTGTTTGTTTTTTTTAGTAAATTTCAAATTTACAGTGTTAAAAAGCAACTATATTTGACCACTCCTCAATCTTCTCAATACCTACCCTAATTGCACGGTGCCCATTGCATTGCCAGTCCGAGACTCATCCGTGATCAAAGCCCTCGTCATGGATTCTGTGGTATTCATACCACCTTCTTGCTACAAATTTGTACGTTCAACTTTAAACTTACAATATCGCAATCTTACAGCTAAAAATAATGTTTAAGTACAACAAATATATGTGGTTTTGTGTTCGTGTCCTTGAATTTTTTTTTGCACTGTTGGGGTTAAGATGAAATCAAAAAATGAGAATTGATGACAATTTGTTTTTCATGAGAAGGGTTAATAATAAAATGAAGGATGATATTGAGATAACAAACCTAAAAGAAAACAAAAAAATGTGATAAGGATTTGCAGGAATAAATGTGGTGTATGTACAGAACGAATGCATTACCATTGATTTAGAGAGCCTCTTTTGTTAGACAATTTACACACACACATTTTGCAGCCTCATTTTCTACACCACATCATAAGCACACAAATACCAATTATTCCAACACCAACAGGAAATAAAAAATTACATTAAAAGCAGCAATTTGACATAAAAGAAACCAAAAAAGAGTGCCAAAGAAGAGAAAAACGAAATACAAGCATAGCTGTGCTCACCACAGTTTTTGTGCAAATTAAACTACGTACATATTATATATAATGTATTTTTTCATAACAACCAAAATATTATGTGCATTTTTAACTATTCAGAGATTTCTTCCATTCATATTATATTTGTAAAAAAAAATCTCGCCAATAGACGTCAATTCCGATTTTTCTTCTTCATTAATGGATAGTTAAATTCAATTAAAAAACCATTGCGCGAAATGAGGGTAAAATAAAACTTATAATTTCTTTCTTCTGTTTTTTTTCTCTCTCTTGCAACTCAAATCACGCAACAAAACACTCTTGCCTTATACGATTATCAAATTGTTGAGTATCCTCATCAGTGTAATTCAGCTGTAATATTCATACACAATGAAATACAACATTTCAGATAGTTTTCTTTTAGAAGTCAAAAGAAAAGATAAAACATGTGTTAGTTCAACACACAAGAGCAGCAGTTATTTGAAAGAATAGCTGAAGCTTGTCTTCTTCCTGTGTGTATGCTTTTCCAATGAATTCTTTCTCTCTCTCTCTCTTTCTCTCTTTAGTAATCCTTTTCCACAATTCCCTTCTTCGTCAAAAGAAATTGATTGTAAAACGTTGATATTTACCCAAGCTTGAGGTTTTGTCCCTGCGCTTGGGTCGCTCTCACGCCCTCCTCACCGCCTCCGAGCAGCTGAATTTGCTCCTCTTCTCGATTCGCCTCCGCCATCTGATAATAGCGGGATCTTATCGTAGGCATGACAAAGGTAGGTCCTGCCTGTGGCAACACAACCGAAAAAATTGACCCCAAACTCCCCTACAGTCCCTATCAATCAATAGACCCTCTAATAGCACTAACCCTGCCTCGTCAGCCTCCCGTCCATCGGGATCACTGTCCTAAATCATTGCCTCTGCCCTGAACTCATCGCTATACTTTGTGCAAAGAAGAATGTGGACAGAAGAAAAGTCAGAGGGAAAATAAACATGTGCTCAAAAAGTGTTTGCAAACAAAAGCGAAACGAAAAGGTAGAAAAAAAATATTCATACCAATAAAAAAAGCTCAAAAGAAGGGAAAAAAGAAGAAGTGGAAATTGAATTTAGGAAGTTTGTGCAAAAGCAATCAATCTTTTATCTACAGAAGGATGAAAAAGGAATTTTTTTATCAACTTGACTAGCTCTTCAACTAAAATCTACCCTAAGACAATTCTATTCTTCAGAAGAAACAAATATATATATATTAAAAGGAAAAACTCAAATGAGAAAATTCGGGGTCAGAAATTTTCTCATTTTTCACATCAGAAAAGATTCACTAAAATATACAATAAAAATTTATCAACACAATGAAACAGAAGTACAACAACTCAGAATCATGCAAAGCAACTGGGTTAAGAAGCATTTTGGCTGGAAATTATAATTCTTTGATTTGCCGCATGGAGAATGCAAGAAAATGAATTTAACAATGAAAATGAATTAGTAACGTGCCAATAATATTCTTCAATGGAAAAAGGTATTTGGATAAAGTAATTTGTAGTAAAAATTCTTTTCTTCACTTTTTTCTTCGTATTCCATTGGCGCAATTGAAAAAGCAAGCAAAACAAAAGCATATTTGCATGCGAAACAGAAAGAGAAAGCTTCTTATTGTCATACTTAAAAGCATCACTTTTTGATTTTTAAACAATAACTTACTCTTTTAATTGATATATAATAATTAATGGAGAAAAATAAATTGGAAGAATTAACGGAAAATCCACACAAAATGTGAGAAGATAAAAATAATAATTTGGTGTGTATAAAAAAGTGTAGAGAATTTTATCATTTCAAAACTATAAATTGTCATCTTTTTCTCAGTTGTGTTGTCTTTCTTTTTTTATCAGTTGAACACGAGATGCCCTCCTCCCTCCAGCATTTTGCAATCATTGTCCAAAGTGTCACCTAGCATGCATTTTCCCCATTTTTTTTTAAACAATCTTTCCATCCAATAAACCAAAATCACATTTTTGTACAGCTGGCATTGGTTAAAGTTCTGATTAGACATGGCATATAAGAGAGATTCGCCCAGCATAGCCAGGCTAATCCTTCGTTATCGCGCATTTACAGAAAGAAAAGAAAAAATCATGTTTCTCATGTAATGTAGCTTCAACCAATGAGTTGAGGAATAATAAAAGAAATGATAAAAGAATCCATGAACAATGAAGACATGATGGATGATATCATCACGATATTTTGTCATTCACGCGAAAATGGGGATTAAATGTTGCATTATCGCATGATTATTATATAGTCAAATGCAATGATTGAACGGTAGCTCATGGAATACTGCTCACTTACCTCGTCGAAGAATACTTGGGTCTTCCTCAGGATATGCTTCAGCTCTGTCAACTCTAGAAAGTTCCTCTTCAGCGCCTCGGCATTCTGATTGACTTCGCGCAGTTCATTCTCCAGCTTCTCAAAGGTCGCCTGAAATTAATGCTTTTCCTCATGAGCACACGACGACATAGAGAAATCTAATTAGATGTTCAACACGCACCTCCAAGTCAATCATTTCCCTTGGCTGAGGAGCTTCAGGGCTGTCGCCAGTGTCCAACATGGGAATGCCATCCTTCTTGATCTCCTTCTCCAAGTAGCGCAGCTTGCGCTCCATTTCGTCACACCGCCGCACTTCATTCACGAACTTTCGCTGAAAGGCGTTCACGTCGGGATTCAACTGCAAGAGAAACGCACCAGTTACTTTGACAAACCATCTCTAAATTGCACCGCAAGATCACTCACATCGCGGAATTGCACAAGTCCCAATTCTCCCAGCTCAGAGACGCAGGCGTAAGCCGCCTCGCTCTGGAGGAACAATTGACACAAAGTCATTTCCTCGCTCCGAAACAGCGAACCCATCTTGATGTTTCGCCCCGTCAATTGATCTCAAGACGAAGAGTGGTTCTAGCAGTTCCCTGAAACTGTGCGAATAGGAAAGAGTATTGCTTTAAGGCATACCAATTAGCAATCATATAAAGCAATCAGACTAAGATAAACCCCAATGAATCACAATATGTCCAAGTTATTGATCTCATTGGGAAACAAAGCTTTGTAAATTTCTTTCAAATTTTCCAAATAAAGCAGCCGATGATTTAGCTAATTTGATAATTTACTGGGTGTTTATTACGCTTTTTAGACATTCCGGTCATCTTTCATTTAGAGCCTTTACGCATGATTGACACTTTACGCACGCTCGATTCTCGCAAGCATTGGAATACTTAAGAAGCGAAATACTTATTGATAGATTTTAAGAAGTTCTCTAAAATGACAGCTGAATTTTACCTCCTCTTCCAAACCGTACGAATTTGATTGAATTCCGTGCACGAACAACTCTACACTAAAGCCTAGATTCCGTTGGCATTGGCGAGGAGCTCGTGACTCTCAGGGTTCGCCTTATGCAATGCTTGGATTTATTCCAAATTAGTCCCACTGATAAGTTATCAATTGGAAATTAATCCCCGATTTTGGACAGCCGTCTTGTGACCTCTTTCCGCCTCTGCGGAGAAAACATCTGGCAACTTGAGAACATCTCTATCGCCCCAGCCGTGAATGACTTTATCAAAGGCCTTTTTAGTACGCTATTTCTCTGTAAATAGACGATTTTTGGTGGTAATTGCGATGGCAAACGCGAGCCTCAAGCCACCGAACTCTCGCCACGAGTTCACTGGAAATTCACCCAGTGACGTCACGTTTCCCAGAAGTTCCCAGACTGACTCACAAACCTCAGATCAGTGCCAATTTCTCTCAATTGAACTGTTTATCGCCAGAATATTGTTTTGCCTGCGTCACAATTGCTTCCTGATTGTTCAGTGATAAGGAAAAAGCCTCCGAGCGAAAAATCAATAAGTGGGCCCCATCATCGCGCCGTCTGGCAGAGAAAAACGCCCAATATTCAGCGTGAGGAATCGCATTCGAGGTCCAATTGGGCGGCTGATTTGTTCTCTAAGCAATTGCCAATGCGAGAAAGGTCACTTTTTCTGTGTTTGGCCAAATGAACTCGATTTTTCAATTGGAAAAACCACAGCGAAGCAACATGGCTGACGATGGGGGACAAGCAGGATTTTTTCTTTGACACATTGCAAGGAAGATAACACACCGAATGATTGAACTGCACCTGATATCGCGAGAATATGAGTTGGGGGAGATTTTTACCTTTCTTCCACCTTTCTGGGTGACTGCTTTGTTGGTGAAAATCACTGATAAAATGCGTCCACCTAAACACCCCACAAATCAATACGGAGGAATTCCAACCCACTGCGCCGCCTAGCGGAAGTGTTACCGCAACAGTCTTCGTCAAGAATTTAACGATACACTGTGCAAAATCTTCGCGGGGAAGTTGAGTTCGACTTGGTGGGAATTATAGCTAAAAAGTCGGTGAGAGTTTTATTCGGTCTCGCGATTGAAGTGAAACGTCACAGGAAAAGAAAGGAAAAGTCTGTATTTGGAAGTGAAATTGGCCATCTATTTGCGAAAAATCAAGGGCTGAGCATTATGATAACCAGTGCGCTGGCCACCTCTCTTCTCGACAACTGCACTTCATCTTGCTCTGTTATCCGGTATTCTGACCGTGAACTAGTCGACTAAATTTGACTGCGCACCTCTTGGGATCCAGGGAATTCCTGGAACTGCAATGGTAGTAGGGATTATTTGAGTGTCCAGTGCAAATATTAAGTGCAGTTCCTTGTTTTCCCATCAGTCCACCATGGCAACAGTGGCTGGCGATGAGGAGAGCGACGAGGAATCTTCTTCCTCCTGTCACACCAACGAGACTCTTCTGGAGGAGTTCAGAACAACGTGGCAGAAGGAGTTGCAGCAATCGCAGGCTGCTCTTGTGGGCCTCAACCTGAACAAGGAGAGCGAAGAGTCTGAAGCGGAGCGATTGTTCCTCCAGGGCACTGAATATGAGCGGATTGGGAAGGTCTTCGAGGCGATTCATCACTATCGACGGGCTGTGCAGCTCGTGCCAGACATAGAGTTTCGCGTGAGACCTCTCCTGGCTCAGCAAGAGGATGAAGTGCCATCCGAAGCAGGTGTTACTCATCAGGAGAGCGAAGAACTGCCAGAAAGTCCAGCTGAGGAGGAGGATTTGTCCAATGTAGATTTAACTCTGCGTTTTCAGGTACAATTATCCGGTATATCAATGTGAATATTCTAACAGTTGTGCCTTCCAGAATGCTCTGGGACGCTGTGGAAAGGTCTGCGAACGTGTAGCAGATGAGAAAGTCCTCCAAACTTGTGCCCATCTTTCGGATTTGCCAATTGAAATCATCTTGTACATCTTCAAGTGGGTAATTTCCCGAGATCTTGACGTGCGAATGCTGGAGCAGCTGTCTGTGGTGTGCCGCGGTTTTTACATCTGCGCCCGGGATCCGGAATTGTGGCGCCTGGCGTGCTCTAGAATTTGGGGCGTGAGTGTGGGCTCGCCAAAGGGCATGGGTTACATCTCATGGCGCGAGATGTACCAGGAGCGCCACCGGGTGAACTTCCACGGGTGCTACATAAGCAAGACTAGCTACTTGCGATACGGCGAGAACAGCTTCCAGGACCAGTTCTACCGCCCGGTGCATCTGATTGAGTACTACAGGTACATAAGATTCTTCCCTGAGGGTCGAGTTTTGATGCTAACAACTCCGGACGAGCCGATTAATTGCGTGGGGAAGCTGAAGAGTCGCACACCGCAGAAGAAGGAAGTCCTGGCTGGTGAGTATGAACTTCATGGCGAGACAGTGATGATAGTCTTGAAGAGATCTGGCCAGAGGAGGCAGAAAATCCAATCAAAGAGACATCCCAACTTTTACGTCGACAATGATGCCAACACGTTCTATCTGGAGATGAGGATCCTCACGACAGCCAAGAGAAGATTCTGCCAGCTGGAGTGGAAACAATACTCTGTGAGTAATTCATGCGAGCCATTCTTGGAACTCTCTCATAAGCTCTCTTCCTCATTGACCCTTCAGGTCATCCAATTCAGGAACAAGACCGAGTTCACGACTGATTTCGAGTTGCTTCCCAATCAGTATCCTCCGCTGCGGTTCTCCAGAGTCAAAAGCTACCATTCGGAGTCCGATGCTCCCCTCTAGAGACACCGTAACAACTGGTGCTGAAATCTAAACACCATTAGATTTAAAAAATAAATCATATTACAGGAGAACGAGTAAAACTCCCTTATATCCTGATGTCCCAAATGTGGTAGAGTAGACAAATATAATGTAACTCAAAGAAATTATCTTTTATTATGTATCAAAAACAAGATTTTGCCAAAAACATAAATGCTCGGGGAGTGTTTTAGCGCTTAGGAACATTGTGTTCATCTCCAACTATAATGTCTTCCGCATTAAATTCTCGATTATGGCGGATTTACAATAAATTATGTCTTTCTCTCGCTGGTAAGTTTATACTTTACAGACGCTATTTAAGAGTAAATTAAATTATAATAGATTTTTTTTGTACAAAATTTACAGTGAATCGGAGAAATCTCTCTTAACATACAAAAAGCTTGTGGTGGTGCGATAAATGCATGTCTGTTGTCATTTAAGATGTATTTTCTTTATCACACATTAAGATGTCATTAGGCATTTTCCTTACTTTCCCGCTGAGTTTCTAAATGCTCAGCGAAGGCCTCTTTTTTCTGTCTTTGCTGCTGTTCTTGCCGAAGATGTTTCCCAGAACCTGTGAAATAGTGCAGAAATGATGATCTTCTTCACTTTGTCTATAGGTGCAATATCTTACCTTCGAGACGCTGTTGACACCGAGCTTCCGCCTGATTGGCAACGTCTTCAGCAGCTGAACCGAGCGCGCTTCCCGGAGAACCGACTGGAAGGCTAATGAGACTCCTGCTGAGCTCTCAGCGGCGGAGACTTCGTAGAACAAGCAGGAGTACTGCAGCGACAGCTCGTGTCCATCGTCCACAGAGACTTTCCTGGTGAGTACAATCAAACAGAGTCTCGCTGTAGTGAAAGTCTCGGAGGAATCCTTCATCGGATAAGAAGAAGGGCACACTCGAATAGCTCCGGGGGTCAGAAGAAGCAATCCGCTGATTTATAATTATTGGGGATGAATAGTTGGGGGAAAAATGGGCAGGAGAGCAGGAGAGTCGCCTTCTGTATAGTCTCGTGGAGTTCACCTGGCTCTGATTTATGTGCATTTCCTCGTTCTCTATGTCTCTTTGGGATTTTGCACTAGAATTTACGTATGGCGAAGAATGCCCCGGACGCATTTCTGGCCGCGATTCTCAAAAGCACACGAAGAATATCTTGTTTCATCTCCTCAACAATAGAGGCGGTTTATCAAGATAGCCAGCAAGTGGCCATAGAGGAGCTCCTCTTCTGCTCTCGAGAACTATCTCGCCCCATTGAGAGATATTTTACTCTTAATATGCACCGCAATATCACCTCAAGGCTTTTTTATAGGCGCCACGAAGAGTCCCATTGTAAACATTCTCTCCGGTCCCTCACAGATGATGCTGTGTATTAGATTATAAAGTCACTTTTTGAATTATTTGCTCCGTGCTTTTTGTGGAGCACTCTTGCGGGGTGGCGCGGGTTGAGAGGAAGGCTGTGGCAAAGCTGAAGAAATCACCAGCTGCAGAGCGCTGGAATCTCTACACTATATGATGCTCTCGTGCTTTTATGCAATGCACAAAGGGGAGAACAAGAGGACAGGTTCGCCACAGGAGAGATGAAATATTTATTGGATGCTCTAATCCTGACAGGGAGGATTTTGTACCCAACAATCAAGCGGTAATGAGAAATGATCATCAACAGTAGCTAATCTTGAGTCGCGAGACAGACGAAAAAACGACAACTACAGCATGATTTCTGACCGAAAAATGCATAAAGCTTAAGAGATCACGACTTTTTTCCGCCCGGCCACTCACTCCAATTTCTCATTCACTTTCATTTGACGGTCTCAAATGCTCAGACATGATCATGATCGCCGGATTAGGAAATCATCAAAATTAGACGCTTTCCGATGTGATGCTTGTTTCTCCAGCTGGGAATTTTTGGTGTGATTTCTGCAGTTATTGAAAGTGATTTTTCGCATTTTCTGCCATCTCTATGCGCTCTTAGCCTTCTATTACTCTTCTAATCAATCTACAAATGATTATCTACTCGTCGTCTTTGGCGGTGAGGCGAAACGCAACTCTCTTGACTTACCTCGTGTGATCTAGATCACGTTTATTGCCGAGCAGGAGAGTGGTGTAGTAGTAGGAGGGCATCTTGAGCTTAGCCAGTTGCGACAGATACTCCTCGGCTTCCAGGAAGCTTGATTTATCACAAATTGAGTACACAACAACAAAGGCGTCTCCCCATCTCAGATGCTCGTACAGACAGCCGGCTTTCTGCGGAGATAAGCGAAAAGGAGATAAGTGAGACAATTGAGAAAGGAATTTGCATTGCTGTGTGATCCATTCAATTTTTAAGCCATAGCTGAAATCAAGCCCTTCCCGCCCATTTGCTTATTGATTTCAATGTCACTATATTTTCACTTTAAACCGCCCCTAATGATTTATTTCCACTCTTTTGCGCGTGTCAAGCCTCTCACACCCGGATGAGAAAGTGCGAACCTCCAGAGGGACGCGCGGTGGACCCTTTGGGTGATCCTTTGTGGCCCGCGAGGCAACTGAAAATTGAAATCAATGCGCAAAATTACATTGTGATGCAAATAATTGCATTCACAAAATATCTCTTTTGACGATAAAACAATGCTCAGCATTCTTTTCGACTGTTCATTTGCCCCTCAGTCGCAATTGCGTGAAACGATTATCGATGGCGTTAAGCGAGGTATTTCTTTTTCTCCTCTTCCCTAAAAATTTCTTCACGTGTGCGCGCCTTCTTTTCTGGCCATTTCTCCCAATCATTTGCATGTGAGCATGATCTCAAAGGGAAATGAAGGCGAAAAATGTAAAATTTGCCCACTGTATCGTCTTTTGTTGTAACATTGTCAACGATAAATTTTCTCCGTCACTTTTCATGGTTCCTTTTTTCGCCTCTTACATGGCTCCAACTTTAAACATTCTCCACACCTCTGGCACGCAGACTGCCGGAGAATTAGTGGGAATTGATGGTACTTCCCTGATTATATTATTTTAAAATTTATTTGAGACATTTTAACGCACCATCACAAATTTTTGTATTCAGGAAGCAAGAAATTCCCGTTGATTATATTGTATGTTTGTACATATTCAGGGGCTCGTTTCACGAGATTGTTTTTTTTTTTCTTGTGCCTGCTGAAAATGCACCTAAAAATGCACAACGACACGTTTCAATTGCATGTTCTGTGTCAGTCAATTATTCAAAATTGAAGGATTAATAAATTATTCTCGAGAGATGGACGGAAAAAGTGAATTTGCCGTTTCTCTGCCGTTTCCTTTGGGTTGATTGGCCACAGAATTCGCCACATTGTCGCGCAGCTTTGAGACTAACCAGTGGAGAATTGTATATATTTGTTGAGGTGTAAAAAATCCTCCCGACAAACTTCCTTTCTCCCGTAATTGTGTGTAATTTAACATGAAAAGTTGATTTTATGCACTTTAAATCATTGCAATCGCGCGCGCGCGCGGTGTGTATTAAATTTTCCGTTGTGAGACAAAACATTATATTAGATTTAATCAAGGAGATTAAGAGATAGGAAGTCTAAAACGAGAGCGAATATTTTTGCCAGATGCACTTATGTACATATATTTATTTTAGCGACATGCATTGCTGACTGCTGTAGAGTGTCTGGGCGATGCATTTCAACTCAGAGTGCTCTTAATATGGATATTGGAGCAATGGGCTACCGTGTAAATGCACTGACACAAAAAAAATGTCTGCACGGTGAATTGTGCATTTCCTCGAGGAAAATGTCACTGACATCTTCTTCCTGGATTCTTTCTGGCGCACACAGCTGAAAAACACTGAGTGTTAGGCATCATAGAGCACGGTTGATAAGATGTTTCATATTTATTCTTACAAATCTACTCAGGCGAGACAAGTTCGCGAATGAGGGAAGATCTAGAGTCAGATATGCGCATTGGCCCCATTAACCCACCAAGTCAGAATGATCAGCTCTTAAGTAGTTTACAAAAGAAGACATTATAGCATAACAAAAAGCGTGAGAGTATCAAAGACGTTTCGTAATTATTCAGCGTATTTTGAGTGTACATAGGAAAATTGTATATTATATTTTAATATTGACTTTCACATTATGACTTTATTTATTGCAATTGATTTGTGTGCACCTATTAGAAATATGCTGACATATTTCTCTCTCACTTTTCAATTTTGCAGCATCAAAACCGACACTGTGCAGCGTGCGTGTGTGCACATACAAAATGCTCAATTTGATGGTGGCAAATGGGTGAATTGAATGAATGATGGTTAGTTTAACTATTTTACATTATAAGAAGTCAATTGCTTCATAATTTTTCACCTTGTTAGAGTGAAAGAGAGACGCATGTCTCAATGATCATGGCTAATTTCCTCTTCTTCACCCAGTATATGCGAGTCGAAATGCATAGTGCGGATTGTATGGATGTTTATTTGTTTGAAAACAAAAAATATCTCTGTCTTTCACTCTCGCTGTTGCAGATTCTCGAGGAGTTGCCATCGGATATGATGGTTTTCATCTGCCTGAGTTGGTTTTTGGGTCAAAGATCAGTAGTTCAAGAGGCACAGACGAGAAATGAAATCAAAATGAAGGTGAAAATTAGGACGCATGTGAGATATGAAAGAGTGTAAATTGAATGAATTTTCGATTTCATGGATAAATTTCTGTTGTTCTTGTTTCGCAAGCAATCAGTCCGTCTTATCGACATCTCTATCCGCCTCTTCTTGCAATCGCCAAATTCTTCTCCTCACTTTCCTTTATGTCGTTCCTTTTCGCATGGGTGTGTATCCGCAATTATTTCAATTTGTAAATTATGATGCAACTTTGATCTGCAATTCTCCGAATCTGCAGGAGCGAGAGTGAGAGAGACCCACGATTGTCTGCGTATTGATCAACACTATAAAAGTACTTTCTTTCATTAATCCTTTTGCTTATATTTTGGTGATGGAGGAAGAAATAATACGCCCTTAAGTAACGATAAAAAGTGTAGATACGACATGTTAATATATACAACATGTACAGATGAATCAATTAAAAAAGAAGCAAGTCAGAGTAATACACTAAAATCAAGGTAATATTTTTACTTTCATTTGAACTTCTCTCCTTCTCTCTCTCTCTCGCTTCGGCTCAAATATAATCAATATAATACTGTCCCAGGTGGAGGAATGTTGCATATCAAATGCACGACAAAATTCACGGATGATGGGGAAGTGAGAAAGAGAGGGAGTCACGCATTCTCGCTAAATTTATGTAGCTACGATCATTTGTATTAATTAATTTATGAGCATCACCACAGGCGACACACGCAACTTTCTTCCAATCGACATATTGTTAGACTTTATCTCTTGTGCACGTTGTTTTCTTCCTCCATTGCCGATCATTCTCTTCCGCTGATGAGGTGGTCCATTTGCGAAAAAAACGACACTAATGAAGTTGACATTCGTTACAAATTAGATGTAGTTTAGTGGGATTTTCTGAGAATCAATTAGAAATGCCCGCAACTGCATCGACTCACCCAACTAAATGCACCACAATCAATATGTTTGCCGAGGCAGTGACAGGGAAATAATCATCTCGCTTCGCACGTCCTATACACGTGAGATTATCTTTCAATTTGTACCTTTCCACGGTTCGGCAGAAGGAGCACACCGCATCGGGGCAATTTATTTATTGGTGAAATAATCAATGGTGAAAAAGGCCACCAAAAGTCACAATAATTCAATACAATTTTACTCATTATCCCCCATATTTCATATTGTGTGCATGAGATATTCCTTTCGGATGCAGAGAGAGCAAATTGCGAAAGCTTCTTTATTTTATGCAATGCGTTTATGCCGCCCTGTTGTTGAGATTAAGAACATAAAAATCTCGTAATATTTTATTGGTACTTACTGCACATTTCGACGTGTCCATTATTTCGACCTCTGTCGTAACATTGTCAAATGTAACCGTGTGTCTATAGAGGAAATCTGCAAGAGAAGAATTGTACATGATTGAATATATAGATATTTTACACTTATCACAAGAGCTTGGCAGTGAAATAACTATTTTCATTTATTTACTTAACATATTTCGTGCATTTTTGCTTTTATATCTTTATGGCGTGGAAATAAAGTCTCATTGGCCAATGAAAATTCCCATTGGTTCATTTGGGTGCCTTAAGAAAGCCAGACAGATCATCTTTCTGGCCTTTAAAAGTGTTGATCTCGTAAATTGAATCGTCATGAAAGTTCCTTTTCAATAAATGCGTGCAATTGTTTCACTTTTTGACACAGATCTTTCCGCAAGGAGATAATTTTTGCAATAATTCGTTCACGCATGTGACTTGCGGCAAGTTTGAGTGAAGATGGTGAAGACATGCAGATGATATTTTGGACTTACACCAGGGGAGTAATGCCGCTGAATACAGTTGAAATGAGTGTTGTAATTGCTTTGGAAGTGTTTCTTTGATTTATTTCCCCGTGGACGATGGAAAAAATTGTACATTTAAATGGTGAAGATCATTTAGAAAGTTTTCTTTCTCAACTTACGCGCAGAGCACAATTGGACATGGAAGGGCAATAACAGCGCAATGAAAAGATTCTCATCCGTGCAACCGTGAAATTTCACGATCATCTTCGCCAATCATATTTTTGGTGTGACTTTGACATTGAATTTGTTGAAAATTTCACTTATCGTGACAGATGAATTAATTGTGCTGATGATAAATATAAATAAATATAAATTCCCCAGCATTGTGTTGTATGTGGATCATGAGGTAGCCGCCGTGTCCTGCTTGATCTCATTTTTCGCCACCTTGGAGAGAAATTCATTGTCAAATTGCCTTCATCACAGTGTGCTGATGAAAATTTAATTAACACATGAAGAGCATGTTGAATGAGATTTAACAGGACGTTTGGAATTGCAATTGAATATTCATTTGACCGGTGCGAAGAGTGTATTTGCAAATATTTTGATAAATTGCAATTAACATTAACGGTAGCGTGCGTGTTTGGTAACACTCTGTTTTCCACGATTGCATCTCAGGTGTCTGTCTGTTGGCACCTCTCAGGGCTTCTTATACAATTTAACTATGAGAATTATCTTCAAGTTCATGTGTGTATCCCTCTCGAGTTTCACTTTGCCACCATCCACAGTTCCTCCTATTTTCCACTTTATTTATGCCTCTTTTTATCCTACTCCAACCATTCTTATTTTGTACAAAGATTTTGTGATTTTGTCAAGGTTTCTCTCCTCTTTTGCCAATTTAATTCCACACAACACATCCAAATGATATGCGCAATGGAGGAGAGAAATCCCCACAAAGAATTATTTTTGCCCAGCCAATGTGTGTGATTTTAGAATAAAATTTATACAATGTGATGCCAGCATATAAAAGCATTGATACGAGAAAGAGAAAATTCAAGTAATTTGTTCGCAATGTTTAGTTATCGTTTTTTCACACCTCCTCTTAATGCAATTGCATTTAGAAGAAATATTGGTATATGTTCGGTGTACATTGAAATTATTGGCACGGTGATCTTCTGGGTGAGTTCAAATTAGTGTAACATAGTGAGGAACTGAAAGTGGAAAATTGGGTCTCAATTTCAATGTTCCTCACACTATATTTCCTTTTATTATTAACTATACTGTCTCTCACTTGCATTTCTTGTACTTGTTGCAATTTCTACCTCGCTGCAATTCTCTCTCATTCGGCATTTATGTTATTTCGTATTGTAGCAGAGATGAGAATGAGATCGCACCTTATATGCATGCTTGAGTATCGAATTATCAGCTAAAATTAATGAAAGTGTTTTCTAATCATCTGCGAATTTCACTGCAAAAATGTGTTTGAACAATTGTCAGCTTCTGTTATTTCAACTTTTTTCCAATCCTTAGAATATGACAATTTTGCGATTTTCTTACATTTGCAATGATTTTGTTGTGTAATTATTTCACTCTTTGGCACAAGTTGATGTGTGCGAGTTTCTTTGAGGACTTTATGATCTTTCTCTGTAATCTTGCCAGGATTTTGAACGAAACCCAAGTGCTCACAACATAATGAACACCCCGCACGTCATATCAAAAATATGGGAAGCCCTTGGTGTAGCATTAAAACTTTCAATCTCGCTCTCTTCGTCCAAACGCCAATTGTCCAGAATGAAAATGTAAAGGCTGTATATAAACTCATAATCAACCCATCGCACTCGATCCTCCAGTGAATTCATTTCAACCTTTGCTGGAAGCTTTGATTCGTCTTGTAAGTGAATGTGTGAACAGTGGAATAATTTTAGCTCGTGGTAAGACCATATCTTACCGAGATTTTTCCCTCCTTCATTGCTCTCTTATTTCAACTCGCGAGTGCTTCTCTATTTCCGAGAAAAAACGTGAATTTACACTCTGTAATTCCTTTTTCCCGGCGGCTTTAATTTGTGCCTTCCTCGAGTCTTGTGTCGCACTTGTTGCCAAAATACATGCTGATGACGCCTATGAATGACAGAAAAAAGAATCTACCTTTCACACCTTCTGTCCTCATTTTCTAATCCAATTTAATTCCTATTTTGTGTTTTCATCAGTCATGTGATATTTGCCACTATTCTCGCGCGATCAATAGCACAAATTTCATTTACGAGCTTTATATTTGCCCGAGATTATGGATGGAGATCTGGGTGGTGAAAAAAAAACCACAGTGTATACTAACTAGAATGAGATTGGAACGTGCAAAAATGATTAAATATGCTAAACGGTGCTGCGGATTTATAAAGTGTGATACGCGAGAGGCAGAGAGAGAACTGACAAAAAAGGTTAGACATAAGAGAGAAGTTTTGAGCTTGATTAAGTCCAACCAGCGCGCAACCAGTGGAGCAAAATTTCCCGATATTCAAATTATTGAATCATTAGCATAGATCTCTGTTATACATTTGGAAAAGGTTGTTACAGGGAATCGTGGCTAAAACTTCATATAAAATATACCGATGGATCGGGCGCGTTAATAGAGTGTTTCTCTCCTTCTCTATCATCTGCACCATTTCGGATAAGAAACATTATTTCGCTGTGGTGCGGCGAATATATAGTTTCAATCCCAGAAGGTGCACAAGCAGCGCGTGATAATATTGTGTATATAAAAATTGTATAAGGAATGAGGAGGATTTTTTTTCTCTCCTTTCGTTGCTCATAAAAGAGACTTACACGGAGAAATGTGAGGTTAGTACAATAAAGATAAAAGTGGCGTTGAGCGCGCGCGAGCACACCTTTTGCGCGAAAAAGTTGCACACAATATTGCATTTAAAGTACGTGGTAATTTAATTTATTGCCTGATTTGATGGTGGTGCAGATTTAAGAAAGAGAAAGAGACAGTATGAGACAGTTTCGCTTTACTTTACTCTCCTTTCGCTCCATATCCTCGACTAGATCAGCAACTATATCGTATCTGAACTTCGTTCGCCTAATAAACTCTGTACACCAAAGTTTGTTGGCTTGTTAAAGACTGACCCAAAAATAAATGGAGGAACATTGAATGTGACAAAATCTATAAAAACAATTGCCGCTGAAGTCGTCAATATCTCAGAATAATTGGATGTAAATTTTTGCTTTAAAACACTAAGAGTAATTTATTAAGTGTAATGCAAAATAAAAGCATGAAAAGGCATTGAAATAGAAAAATCGCCGAGTCTGTGCAAATAGAGGTAAATAATGAATAGTCGCCGATATGAAAATTGATGCCCTGCAAACATGAAATTTGTGCTCTCTTCCTCACTCCCTCACAATAGTGGATTCTATTAAATTATTTTATTGCCCATCATAATCATATAACAAACGATCATTAAAGTTCGATAGATCAATGCAAATAAATATCCGGTAAAATAGTTATGCTCACATCATATCAAATAGCCATTTCTCTTCTCTTTTCTCCTTGGCTGCTTTGCACACTGCACAAACTCGCCTCGTTACTTTAGGCGATATTCAGAGTCATACTTTTTTCGTCATCTCTCTTCTGACTGGCTATTATTATTGTTTCTCTTCTGCATCCATGATTTTTGTCTTTCCTCTTGTCGGTACTTTGGCTGTGAAATTATGATATGTCTCTCTCTCTGTTGTTCTTGTTTTTGTTTACCTTTCGCCCAGAACAGAACCAGTGACATAATAATCTATCAGGAGATATTTAATTATCCCAAAAAATTATTTATCCACGGAAGAGGCAACTTGAAGGCTGAGCAGAGGTTTTTCCGCTTTGCCCCGCCAATCACGACGATGAAATTTATTGGGCATCGCTGTGGAGAGCTGGCATCCCTCGCCATTTACTTCTTTGCCCTATTCACTGTCTCATTATTTATTTTTCCATTGCTAATACCAACATTTAATGAGAATAAGAAGTTGTGTGTTCACTGTACTCAGAGATGGGCTTTTTTCCGCTGCATCTCCCTCAGTATTTCATCTCAATAGTTGCTCGTGTGCAATTTTCAATATAATAGCTTGTCGAGGATGGAAAATATATAATAAGCAGAAAGGGGCTCGCGCGATCTCCATGGAGTTGGGATTTCTTTTAGGCCTCCATCTCTCGACCTCTCGCGAGGAAGAAGTTTTTCTTGAGAGCATCCGTGAAAAAGCCAGGGACAGACAAAAAATATTTTTAGCACGATTTACTCATCTAAGATGCGCGATAAGGGGGAATTTAGTAGAAAGGCTACGGCGACTGGCTTGGGATCAGTGCAAGATTTATTCGCAAATAAAATTAACAGTATTGCCAGTGGAAATCCATAGTGATTGTATTGTTTTCGGTGTTATTTATAGATTTTGTGAGATGCATGAATGCACGTTATAGAATTCTTTTTACTCTCTTTGCCAGTTGAGGGTCTCTCTAAGATGCTTTACTTGAGTGCATCAATTTCATCTATGTGAAGGGCAAAATTGTCAAAAAATATTACGGAGACAATTTCATATTTATTGTGAAGAGAGAAAGAAAGGGAGATTTGAGATCGAGAGTGAAATCCGCGAGGCTCAAAGTCACGAATTTCCATATGAATATTCCTGGATATTGGAAGAAAAAAGGTCAAAAATTCAATACAGTGTATTTATTTATCAATTGCTCGCCTCTAATCTTCTCTTAATCTCCCCCAAACATCTTTCACTAATTTGTACTTTGTCAAGTAATAATTTGCCCTTTTGCTTGAGAACACTCTTCTCCTGTGGCGCTCTGGTTTTTCGCTTTCAATTTGCCATGTGCAATTTGAAAATTGAAAATATGGAACATTCCGTGAATATTTCGCTCTCTGTCGTGGATGGAAAAGCAGCAATCTTCAATAGAGATCAAAGAGTTCAAAGACAGTCCTTGTGTGTTTATAGAGACTTCCACACAATGGCTTGGGAAAAAAATGAAAGTTTTAACTCTTCTTCGGAGCACCACACGGAGTTGGATTCAATGTTGTGTCGATTATAGTATTGTGATAAGATTCATGCAATATTCCTATAAGTTTTTCCCGCTGTCATTTGTAGTTTACTTTTTTCGGTTAGCTCGCGTTTGCATGTGCTGAAAGAGGATTTCTCGAGCAAGTTCTTAAATAAATAAATTGTGTCTGTGAGCTGATTTCCGCGCTCAACCTCTCTACAGATGTTCTTCGTGCACAATCTTAGAGACAGGTATTTGTTTTCGAGCTGCACACGCGGTGAAGAAATGATCTCACTGTCTGTATTTCAAACTCCAATAGTCTTCAATTAACTGAAGACACCACATCAATGGGCAACTCCTCTCCGCCGATCAAAACATGAGTGAAATGCTTTGATTTTCCTTCTCCACGCGGCACAATAGGTTCAATATCAAATGCACAGACAAAAGAGTTGTGAGAGAAAGAAAAGTGTTGGCAAAGAAAATAGGAAGACTCACCACTTGTAGAGCTGTATTCACCGATGTAACGTTTTGTCAGGTAACGAACTGTCACAGCTGCAGAGAAAGAAAAGAATTAATTAAATTACAAGTAGGCAGAAAAAAATCAGAAGTGTAAAATTTCTCGCATGATGAATAAAGGCCCTTTTTAGCATCAATTTCCTCGTCAAGTGCCTTTTTTGTTTGTCGAAGCGCAAAGACGAACAAAATACTATTTTCACCTTCAAATATGATCAAATGTCTCGTGGAAAGTGAAGAGTGTTGAGTTGACTCACAAATGGTCTGTTTTCTCAGCGGTTGAAAGTGAAATTAAAAGTGTAAAATTTCCTCCTACAATTTGAGACAGCTTTTTGTGTCCCTCCAACCACTTCATCGCCCAACTTACAATTTATTATGCTTTTTAGTGTAGCGATCTGGTGTTGTTGGAAAAAAGTGGCAATATTTTGCACTCTTGTCGGCATTGGTGGCGATTGCAAAGAAAGTTGAAATTCTTATCTTTATGGTTTTCTTCGAAATATGTTTTTAATGTGAAATAGAAATAAAATCTCCCATTGGGTGAATAAGAATAAATAATAGTGAAATCCTATTTGAGGCTCACATGGCAAATATATAGCATATTATCTGTAATGGTCAGCAGTCTCATAAGTCATGTGTGTTATGCATGACTGTAAAAGTGTCCAAAGCACGTGGAAAGATACTCAATTTTCATCGATAAACATCGGATTTTTCTTTCTCCATTCGCAAAATTTCAATCACACTCGCAGGACAAAGAACGCAGCGCGAAATCTCCTTAGTGTTATCTGTGAAAGTCTATATCATATAGTGAAACAACAAATAATCCGACCATTCAGCAGTATTGCTAATGATCGGATCGCCCACGTTGCCACGGGCTGAAATGCTGAAAGAAGTGGAGGAAATTCCCCAAACCGGAAGCTCAATTTGATTAATTATTTCTACTCCTCCCCAGAGACTATAAGATTTTTCCAAAAGCGATACAAAATCTCTTGTTGATTCTGTCATAATCTCTCTGCGTGCAATTGTGCCTCAGAGTATTATGCAATGTTTATCATTGTAAATTGTCTTTGGACACTGTGTGCGTACTTAAGCTGAAAAATATACACACATGTGTGCTAAGCTCAATGTTCATAAACTTGAAATGATGTGAAAAGCGCCAGAAACACACTTTGTAATAAATTAAAGTCTTTATCGTCTCATTGATTAATTATTTGTCAATTGAAATGAGTTAGAGAGAGATACTCAATAATGTCAAGCATTAAATTTATTTTCACACATAAAGAATGTAAAGTGGAAAATCTCCATGCGCGATCCATTTGAGACACAGACAGAGAGAGAATTTGCGTAAAAGTGTACATAATTAAATGTGCAAGATCATCATCGGATCCACTGAGACATTATATTAATTAATTTGCATTCAAACTTGTCAATCAGGCAATGGCTATTTTATTGCACAATGCTGATTTACAGTGCAAATTTCGCCTCTATTTACTTTTGATCGTATAAATTAGGGGATCTCCTAAGTTGTTAGTGAAATGAAGCTGCGCTTTTTTTTCCTGAGGTCCAATAAAATGTTGCAAAATCCCATCACATGCCATGAACATTAGGTTGTGAATATTTCATGCAAATAAAAGCTGTTGCTGCTTTCTTTCTTATTGTGTGATTTATGAGCACTTTGCCATAAGAGTCAATTTATAGTTGCGATTTGATGATGATGAGTAGAATGTTCCGTAAACAATTCAGCAAATTTTATCACTTTGTACTAGAAAAAATAAAAATATGGGGAAGTTGGCATAACTCAAAGTTTTTTTTTCAGCAAGATAATGCGTCTATAATTCCTAAACTCTATTAAAATTTAAGTACAAACTCAAAAGGCTCCCTTATCCGAAAAAAAGCGCAACAAAATCAACAAGTGAATTTCTGCAAATATAATACACTTCACTGAATATCTCAGCTCTAAGTAACCCAGCTTTCCCCTAAGATGAATGGCACATTTTCTAATTAATTAACTCGACCTACAAGTTCAAAAAGGAGGTTCGAGCGGTTTAGACCGTTTTTATGTATTTTTGAAAAATTACAGTTTGCCCCATTCATGTTGCAACCCGGCACAGCTTTGGCTAATAGACAAACGTCCATCGGTGCACTGAGAGGCTCTGCAGGAGTAAATAAGTGGAAAAAAAGAGGCAAGTAAATTGCAATATTTATGAGTTTGAGAGTATTTAACATGGAAATCGTGAATATGTTGCTTTTTCTCCGTCGCTCACACACAAGATAATCACATGGTGATTTTTGGCCTCCAAAGAGAAACAAAATCATCATGTTCTCGTGGATGTTATAACAACCATCCGATGGTGTGTCCTGAGAGATGTACAGTGAAGAGATGATTTTCTCAGTCAAAACACAACACCAGACCGACAGTGGGAGTGAGTGAGATGGCGTGAGAAGAAATCGACCAAGAGAGCATGATTTACATCATTATAGCAACAAAATTTTCTATCACAAATATTTAATACAAATTAATTGTTACAATTGATGGAAATATGTGCAAGTTGTACAATGTTGTTATTTATTGAATGCGAGATGCACCCAATGTGAAGGGGGCCGCAATCTGAGAACTTTCTAAATGGGGATTTATTGACTCTTGAGGAGGAATTGAAAGAAAATCAAGATCCCTTCCTGGAAGCAAACATTATTTATTATTGCATTTTTCAAGCACACGAGCAACATTATGAATCTATCATTTCTCACGATATTTACGCTTCAAAATACACTTTGGCTACCAATTCTGCCACTTCTCACCATGCACACAGTGTGTGTTTAATGAGTGAAAAAAGCAAGAGTCAGATAAAAATTAATGATGATGGGACACTTGATAATCTTAAGTATTTTGTCGACTTTTTTCCTCCGCGGGGAAATTCATCATGTGAAAGTGTAACATAATAAAATTAAAATTTAATCATCCTCATCGGATGTAGCAAAAAAGGTGTATTGTTGAGAGGCGCGAAAGAACATGTCGATGAGGAGATGAACAGTGCGCTGGTCAGTTTCTAGATGACATTTTCACACGTGAGGTGTTGCAGGAAAATGCATGCGCAGCGCACATTTATTGGTGGATTCTTGGCACTTTTATCTGCGCGCGGCAGCGAATGGAGGATATGCCTAAAGACGAAAATGTGACATGGTGGTACATCAAATTAACTGTTGACAAAGTGGCAATGAGAATCTCTGTTCGAGAAATCTCTCTTTTCCTCTGCAGCAGGTTGGCTGATGAGAGCTTTCTAAGCTACTTGCCAAACCCGCACGCACTGTCGCCAGTGAAGATTGTCCACGGGGAATGAACAGTTATCCTCTTATTTAACACCCATCGCGACATTATGCTATGCTTGCATGTTGTTTTCTATGATGTGACGATTAGGGAAATATTTAATTAGGAATTGTATTATAACGAAAAGTGTCGGAAATTGCAGTGTATTGAAATTGAGTTGGAATGCTGTGAATGAAGTGCAAGTTCTTGGCTGAGATGAAGATAAACAATATATATGAACATATATTTGAGGTGAGCGAATGCTGCACTGATGGAATGTGAATTTACGGCATATTTTCATCGTGAATGATGTCGATGACAAGAAACGTCCGCAAAAAGCGCGCGCCCCGTGGAAATATGACGCGCGCGCGCAGGAAAAAGCGTGGGGAATTTCGTCCATGGACAGTTTTTTTTCTGCCTTCGCTGGTCTTCACCATCGCCGAAGACGGGCGCACATGGTCAAAAGCCTCAAAAGCGCATATCAGCGCGAAGCATGTGATAGGTGGGCGGTGTAATAAATTTTTCCTCCAGAGAGACACCTGCGTTTAATGGTGGAAAAGTGCAGTGGAGATACAAATTAATTACCTCAGTGTAGTCAATGATGAATGTGCGTGGCAATTTTCTCACCAGATAAGAGGGTAATCGCGAAATTTGGCTGACATCAGCCAACGCCAGAACGAATGGGACATGAAGTTTAAGAAATCACATCTGTAAGATCGATTATTTTTCATTCCTCTGATTCATTGGATTTCTTTTACTGATGATTTAATATTTTGGCCATGTTTTACCTTTCTCCTTGATGTGGAATCTTTAAAACTTCATTATCCTCCTCCTGCTAATTTGCGTGTACAATGAGACAAACTGTGTAAGAATCACAGTCGAAATGGACAGTAAGAGAAACAGCGAGGATAGCAAATGCAATAAATAAAGAGCGGTATAAAAGCGAAATGCCACGCAAAATAGTCACAAATCGCGTCCGTAACTAGGCTTGTCTTTGGCGGCGGTGCAATTTTGAACTTAAACAAGGGGCTGCTGCTGGAGATGGATGAGTGTGAGAGAGAGAAAGGTGGCGGTATGGGGAGTTTTGAGAATTGTGCTGTAACACAGTCCTATTGAAAAGTTTATTATTGTTTGGCGTTAGGAGCTCTCTAAAGAGCCAACTAAAATTGACGGTGCTCAGGAAGTAGGTAAATGATCAATTGGGTACGTTTTCTGTGTCTGGCGAGATCCAGAGAGGAGACAGAGAGAGAGAGAGAGAGAGAGCGAGAGAAGGAATTGGCATGAGGGAGATTTACAGTGATGCTGATGAATGTGGTTTAGTCAATTGCAAATTGACTGTATCATTCTCCTTTTGCCTTTTCGCTTCTTTTCGCAACTTGCAACAATCCTACAAAACTCTGTGCGTACATTTAGCCATTGGAGTCTCATTTTTCACCATATTCACTCAGTGGTGGCCGCAGCGTCGGGGAAATGGGACTAAATTATGGGTTACGACGGGGTCATTCGATTATTTGCTGCAATTTTCAGAGCTCTCAGTTGAATTTCTGTGCTCTGCATAGAGGAGATCTCTCATCGCCGGCATTTTTTCGGCTGAGATGGTCAAGGGAGAGTGAAAGATTATCAGGATTGCAATTCAGGTCAGATGCATCGAAACAACATCACACAAGTGCCTTTTATTTTCGTGCGTTGACGAGTGGAGATGGATTATCTCTGACCACCTCATGTTTTACGATGAAGATGATGATGGGTTCAGGGTCAGATTTTCCCATCTCATTTGTACCTCTCCATATCTCTCCACATGCCCCAGACAGTATTTTCCAATGTGCATTTGAGAATTGAAAGCGAACCCCGCATGCGAGAGTCATTAAACTGAGGGAATTTTTATGATTTTTACTCCAATTTATCATAATGTTGGATATGTGTATAATGCTATGGTGTGTCTCACTGTTTTTCCTTTCCTCCACACACGTTGGTCTCTTTCTCCAAATGGATGGGATTTAATATTAAAAGTGAGATTAACGCGAAAGTTTGTCACTTGCGAGTGGAGTTTTATTTTTTCCTACACAATCTTTATACATCTCTCTCTCGTGGCTTTTTGCACTGCTCACTGTGCACTGGGTGGAGAGACAGAGAAAATGCCTTTTTATTTAATGTCAAATAATTAAATTATAATCCAATAAAAATTCATTCATAAGTCAATAAAGTTGAACTTCTCAATTTCATTGCGAGATTGTTGATCTCTTGGCTAAGATCATCCAACTGGTTTCATTTTCTCTGACTATCTCATGAACCTTTTACCTTATAATACCGTGGCATGGCATCTCGTGGTGGAGTTCCTCGATGGCGAGTGGCGAAAAAAGCGACGTGAAAAAGATATGTGATAAATATGCAGCCAACACTCGCGTTCATCAATTTTTATCATGATCACACAGTTTGTGCGAGGCGTGGAACTCATGCTATAGCCGCGAAGAGAGCAAAATGTTGACTAATTCGAGAATTATATGTAGATGGAGAATCCACTAGAACGCTGACATGGCAGGAATTGAGTTAAAATGAAAAACCCTAGACAGTATGCGTCTGGAATGTATTTATAATCCTCATTATACATGTATATCGTCATGTGAAAATCAATCACCGAGCCCGAGATGGCGAGATGGTGAGACAGTTAAGTGCCTTGTCCTTGATCTAGTTACTGTGTTATCTTCTGACCAACTCCCCTGGAATTTCTTCCAGCCACCAGCGAGCTGGTGATATTAAATTGCATAACTTTATTTCAGCACGTACTGTCTGTAATTCACATGCGGCATTCACGCGATTCTGTCATTTCTTGCCACTCTGTGGCTGGTACATATTGAGAGGGAATTGACTGAGAAATTTGTCACGTGGCCGATGGCAGGAAGAAGCGCGATGCTCAATAAGACTGCAGCACTGCGACTCGAGTCTTTGCCAATGGAAAATTCATCAATCGCGTGCATAGATGAGCGCGTTCGAGGGAAAAATTGAAGGTGTGGCTAATGAATCGCGCGTCATGTTCTGCTCCGTCTGACCTTCGTCTCCGCCAGCTCAAAGAGTTGACCTGCTCTGCGGTCAGGTGAAAAGCATCATAAATTATAATTAAGCTTCCTTCAAATTGAGGCACAATTGCAATAGATTTTTGTCATTTGTACACAACAAACGGCACAATGATATCGACGAGATGCTAAATGCCTCTCGACTCGCGATCCACGCGATGCATTCTGCGCACAAGAGGCGTGTGTGGTGCCTTATGTATCGATTCAAATATAACAAGAGTGGCGCAAAGTGACTATATGTGCTGGGGAGAATGGATAAGAAATTAACTTGTATATTGACATGATCCGTTATCACATGGTATAATCGAGGCTATAATTATTCATTTCTCACTTTATGCACATAGAGAAGATGCATGTTAACAAGAGAATGATGCACCAAATTGATGATGTCGACAGATAACCGACTTTGGACAAAAAACGAAGAACCGCGAGTGAAAAACACGAGACAGGAATTCACTATGCGATCATCTCCCAGCCTCTTACGTGATCCTCCCTGATCGTTTTCTCATTTGAGGAATGCCTCTCTTCAATCTCTTTTTCTCTCCCTCCGCGCAGACGGACACTCTTCCGCACGCAGTGGCACAGTCATCACATTTCTCTTTCCATTCTGGCTAGAACGTGACAGAGAACAACTTTGCATATTGATCTGGGCAGTGTGGTCAGTCGAGGACAACTTGGGATTGTGCTATTCCCAAAGACATTCCAAATCAGTTCCCAGCTAACTACGTCGCTGTGCAAGCGATCAGTGCAGTATGTGTTGGCATATTTGCATCATCACATCATCAAGGGGGCGAGAGAGGGCCGAGTCTGTAATATATTGACGAGAGACTCCAATAACCGTAAGGGTCCGGTAAGGAGTCGTGCGACTAGCTGTCATAAAAGTGTTCCTCTTTTTTCCTGGGCAAATGAGTCGCATTAGATTTGCATGTGCGATGCTCGGCCGAAGATATGGGTGAAGAATGTCCATTTGAGTAAAGGTGCAAAATCGTAAATTGCGCAGTGTTGCTCAGTGGGCAACGTCTTCCAGTTGAGTGAAGTGGATTTGCCAGTGATTGGAAGTGCGTGAAGAGGCAGAAATCCTTTTTGGTCGATTGACTCTTGCAACACGACCATGTGTCGGTGTAGCATTTTCCACCTTGCTCAAAAGGTACATTAGAAGGTTGGGAGAGATGTTTTCGCGTGCATTAAGCGAACAGGCAGATGAATTGCTATACACTTAGTTAATTTGACATAATACTGTACATACACGCGGCCTGTATGATTGAAAAGCAAAGAGAGCGGGGTGGAGATGCGACGGTGAGGCATTAGGGAGAGATGTTTATGCACGCCGTGTTATATCTAGGCATTGCCCAATCTATAAAATCGCCTCTCGTCGTCTCTAATGTTATCAATTATTCACGAAGTGCGTTTCGAAAGTCTCTCACATGGCTTTCTTTGCACACGGATGAGAAGAGAACAGTCTTAGGACACAAGATTGTAAGCTCGTGAGAGTGTTTTTGACTCACTTTTTTCCATTTTCTCCCAGCTTGCAGAATATATTAGTGTGATGTGGATGATTTTTTATCCGGTAGTTTTGGGCAAAAATTCGCGAAAGACATATTTTTTCTGTCAGAGGAATTTACACACTTCGCGTTGGATAATCACAGGCGGGGGCAGAGGGGGTGTCAATTATTCACCTTCTATACATTCCCACAAAGTTGATTTATATGATTTTTCTTTCTCTCTCTCTCTCTCTCTCTCTCTGGTGCACACTGTATTTGCGCGAAAGGTGAAAAAATGTCATAAAAAATGACCGCTTATAGGTTCACGGAGGTGCGGAGAAAAAAAGTTGAAATGATGATGAAAATAAAAACGAGTAGAAATGCAAAAATCGATCTCACAGCACATTCCATTCGGTATTTCTTTTTCCAAACTTCCTACTATTGAACTACTTTTGGACCAGACGCTTTGCTGTTTTTCCGCTCATGTCTTGTCAAAATTAATACATGTTTTTATCACAATCATCAGCGATATATTATTTTTGTCATATCAACCGTTGTTTATCATGCGATTTGCTCTTCACCTCTTTAACACATTAGAGATCGTCCCATGCGATCTCGAAGCGAGGATCATTTGTAACAAAAATGATCAGCGTGCAAATTGTTTATGTCACTAAAAGACTGGTAACATATCAATCAATTTGTGTATAGTTTTTTCCTGTCCGATCGCGCACATGACTTTTATTATGTTATTTTTCCATCCAACACCTTCCAGTCAGTGATTATCGAGCTCATAATTTAATGTTCAGCAATTAATGTCAGCTGGAATGATGTCGAGAATAATAGAAACCATCTTTCATGCCACTATAGGTGAAATTACATAAGAAGATCACGGGTGACTTTTGTGCAAATAAGCATATTACGAAATCGCGCGGTGTTTGTAAATATCTGCACACAACATTCTCTACTTAATCAAATTATAATGTAGATCAGCGAGAAGCTTGCCTGATTAGATGATTTGTATACAATTACAAGATTTAAGGCGATTAAAATTAAAATAAAACGATTTTCGTGTATGAATTAATGGAGCGCTTGTGAAAAAGGCTCATTTAACCAATAGTTTTATTTGCGAATTTTATTGCCTGGCAAATTTCACTGGGTGACATCATTTTTCTTTTCACCTAAAAATTTTCAGTGCTTCTCCCCACTCTGCTTTTTCTTCTTTATTGTAGAGCTATGTGAAAATGCCACTTGGCCACTGTGTGTCAGTGCCAAGGAGGAAGTTTGTAACTCAAGTGATCATGCAACGGAGGGTGAAAAAAACTTACCTGTCTTCCCTGTTTTGGAGCTGCCCAGTACCACCACACGTATTCGATTTAAATTAGTCATTGTCACAATTGTGCGAGTATATTGTGCAGATCCTTTTTTCTCACAGTATCACTCTTGATCACCCACAGAGGCACATAATGTCCGTGTCAGACGCCCAAGAAGCACAATTACCTCCTCGATGCCGCATTGCAGAATTTGTCGCTGAATATATCATTGTGACGTGAAACACTGCAAAGAAAAAAGGCATTAAGGTTCTTCCTCAATTCTTAAGGGGAAAAAGTCTGCCGAAAACACGTTTCTGAGGGTGTGTATGTGTCACAATATGCCACTAAATAAGGGAAAGGATGAGAAAGGAGGATGGAACACTAATTTGTGAGCACCTTTAACGTTCTTATGCGATCATTCGCTCAATTGATAAAAGTGTTTGGCAATTTTATGACCATGAAATATCATTTATCAGAGAGTCTCTGGACACATGACGATGATTAAAGCGCGAAGACTCCACTTTTCATGTTTTCGTCGTTGTGCTCATTTATGCTAAATGACTCGCCATGCTTTGTGTTTACAATTTGACTCACTTTCTGTCGCGCCGCGCGATCACTTTCGACGCAACCTTTTTGGGGGGAAATTTCCTCTCCTTGTGAGAAAAGACAACACATCCCATTGATGCTTTTTTTCTGACCGTGGCCAAATTTGTGAGGTCCGCGCTAAGACAATGCTGGAAGAAATTATGCAAGTGCTCGATGGAAGTACACGATCATCAAACTTTTACAATCACTGAATGGGAAAAATCCCTCCATGTCACGTTTTCCATGTCAATCACACATTATATCGACGAAATATTCTCTGCATTGATGTGCGCAGTCATCAAACATAACATGACAATCAGTTCCGCGCGCGCTTTTGCATCTCTTCTGCTATCACTTGTGATCTTTACAACAATATTAGCAGCTTTTGGCTTCACTCCTCCCACGATGGTTGGATTGGGAATGCCATAGTAATTGTAAGCAGTAGAATTTCATTTCTATCCTGAACACGTTGAGATTTTGCAATAATTTCATTAAATGGCATGTATTATTAGTTTATAATAAGAATATCACCAATGCAATTTCCTAGCTTATATCTCACTTTTCAAGCTCATATAAAAATTCTTTGAGTAAATCTCCCAACCATAAGCTATGCGAGACCTTATTTTACACCCTGTCCAACTACATGATTGAAATATTAGAGAAATGGCCAGAAAAGTGACTTGGCAAATTTCTCCAACGCATGATCATCATCACATAATCTCTGTGAAATCATATCTCTACCAGAGTGTATCTACTATCAAAGTGATTGTTCCTGTGGTGTGTCAGATTGTGTTGATGTTTACCTTCCATCAAATCCTACAATATTGATCCGCGCAGTTGAACCGCCATTGATGATTGTGCGTGCGCAAATCAATATATCGGATTTTTGCAAAGACAGAGAAGCTCTTTCACTTTTTGGGCAGCGCAATTGATCGTCGGTTGAGTGTCCAATTGATTACTTTTTCTATATTTCCATACATGATGTATGCAGAGTAATTTTTTCCATAACCTCTTTGTTTGGAGCATTCTCACGGAGAAGTATGAATATGAATGAGATCGATGGAAAGGGGGAAAGAGTATTTGTGAAAAATGTACCAGCGGAAGATACTTTTGCAGAGTGATCTCATTTCACTGTGAAGCGAGCGAGAGAGAGAGAGAGAGGAAAAAATGGACAAATTGAAGAAAATATTAAGTGATGGGAGGATTAAAATGTATCAAATAACTCAGTAACGGTGATTGGTTATGGTATTGCGAAATAGAGAATTTAGCAGTGGAGAAGAATTGTTACGATGGTCTGATGGAATGAAAATTGATTTTTCGCGATCGAGTGCGGCTGCAAAGATCTCCATGTGATAAATTGATGTGGAATCTTCACTTTCAAATTCTCACTTCATATTTGAGATTTATTGCCATTTATTTCTGCTTCACATTTGCGAGAGCGGCGCGCCAATAAACGGTCACTGACTGTCGATCATCTGAGTATCGCGTTGATGGGTTTTGTGAATGAATTCCACCCACAGTCGTGTCGCTCTGCGGCCCGTGTTATCGCAAAACGCATAATTGTTCAATATAAATGTCAGAGAGTTTGATATTGAAAAGAAAAGAGAAGCTGTGGTAGACACTATAAATAAAGTGGACCTGAATATATTTCCATATGATTTGAATTTATTATTATGACTTGGGCGATCTGTTTGGCGATACAGATTACCAACATACACATTAATTGATGGTCAATGAATGTCTTTTTTCCCCTCAGCATGTGTGATATGTAGTCTTTTTTTTGTACATAGCTTAATGGGTTGTTGTATCTTTACGATCTCCATGTGATCTCCATAGATCTTCCACCCAGTTACTTCTGGTGTGTAAATATTAATTTGATCGAGGTGGAGACTCATTTGAGTGTGCTGTAAATTGATCCTCATCATAATTTGTCCGTCCGTCCCATTATTCAAACATCGAAAATGGGTAATATATTTCGCGCAGCATCATTTTTCTCCTTTTTCCCACCTGTCGCGGATCGTGCAAAAAATTGTGCATACTCCAATGGATTTCTCTCTCCCATGGCATCCGTGGCGACATGGATAAAAGTTGGCGAAGCGCTCAACACCGTAGCATCAGGGAGGTGATTTAATGGTGCAGTACAAAAAGGCAGAAGTCTTCATTAGAAAATGCGAATAAAATAAATAATATCCAGAGTAAGAGTGAAATCCATACGTATGAATTAATTAATACCTGCATAGTGTCGTATATCACTCGGGGTGCCTCTAATCAAAATATGGCTAATTTGTCCAGGCTCTCATTCATCTTCTCCAACTCTCTATGAGGTCACTGTGAATGTCTATTGAGCACTTTGGCCATTTATGGGGGTTTTTCCTGTCTATTGTGTTGTCTTAGCAGATGAATCGACACGATAAAGGCGAGTAATTATAATGTTCTTTATCTCCTCGCCAGACATTGATCATCATTGGGCGAGGAAATGGCACACCAGCGGCAGCTTTTGGTCCTCACAAGCTCATATAGAGGCGGGGGCAAAAGCTCCCAGCGGGTGAGACGAAATTGAGGAAAAAAATCTCTCGTGTGACCGCTAAATAGTGGCTGAGAGCTCAGTATTCGGTGAGTGTCACTATCTCTCCTATATTGAAATATGAAATGTGACTAAATATTTAATCTAATCAAATATGTTGGGATATTTAGCGCTCATATGAGAGTTAATAATAATAATCACATTCCTGTGTTGGTCGCGCCGTCTCTTCGTGTATTTCGCGCTCGCATAGTAATATTTATGTGTACATTAATCACCCGGAACGAGATTCCTTCACTGAATATCTTCTTGTCTCACTCAATGGCGGTTTTCTCTGTTTCAATATAATTCCCAATATAACGTACCCACCAGAAGAAGTGCATGCACATATAGTATATATGACTATTTAATATGATCTCCGGGCAAGCTTTGAGAGGTGGCTCTCAATGATGAACCCCAGTAGCGTTTTTAGGCGCCAGTCAGGCAATTTATTCATCACACAAGTGCAAATATTTGTCACACACAAAGCAAGGCCAAACTTCAATTATATCTCTCTTGCAATTTCAAATGTTTGACTGACTTTTAAGTGTACATATTGTAAGCGTCTCGATGACGACCGGTGAGATTTTTCTCTCCTGCCATTACGGCATTCCGGAAAATATCAACCGCGAGAATGATCGATGTTTTATGTGAAAAGGAATTTTCTTGAATGTATGATTTACCTGATATTACTTATGTTGAACTATATTTTGGGGAATCAACACAAGAAAAATCACTTCCCATGCAGACTTTGTCTGATTCCCAGGCAGAATTTAGCAGTTGCAGATGAAGATGATGATGAATATTCTGCTGGTGTATGTTTCTTTCCTTCCTTTCCTTTGTTCTTTATCCTCTGGTTTCTTGTGATCGCTTTTTTTGCACACTATACCGATAAAATTGTTCTCAGGAAAGGTGCATTCGTCGATACCTCGACTACATGTGATCTCTTCCGAAATATTTTTGCCTCAATTCGGATTCTAACTGAGCGCCAAAGATGGCAAGTACAGAGCTTTAATGCTGTGAGTGTCCGAGATGTGATTCAGTGCAGCAATTAAAATCACTAATATAAATTGAAATTGCTGCAATCAGTAAGAAACACCGCTCACTTTGCACAGTCCAAGAACCATTGCACAAATATCCATAGAGAGATCTTCACATGAAATAGTCAATAGAACTTCACAGTTGTGTGTTTTTCATTGAAGAATACCCCTTCACGGTGTGTTCTGCATGATATGAAAACATAAGAAGCGCGAGTTCGGGCTCGAGAGTTCGCTCCGAAAGTACGTTCACACTGCTCGGAAGTGAAACACAGACTGAGGATCTGGCGGAGAAACTTGGTTGATTTTATTGAATGTGAAGCTAAAGTGTTCCAGCGTGGTGAGGAGGTGATGTCTGTGTGCGATCGTGAGGAATTTTTTAGGGGATCGCGTATAGTGAAATTATCCGCACCCACCGCATGCTCAACTGATCTTCCTTGGAGGTGAAAAGGTAGAATTTACCTCGATCAGCACAAAAAACAGCCACAGCAGAAGATCCACTCGGCTTCTTGCTTTTTATTTTGGTAATTTCCATGTAAAATTGGCCCTCATCAGTGTTGGCAATGCAATTTGCAATTTTCACTGCCACACAATATTGCCTTCGTGATCGGGTATTTAGGCAAGGGCGACACATTTTCCTGCTTGTTAGTGTCTGCGGCCTGTGTTACAATCTGCTGAAGAGTGCAAGTAGAGGCGTCATTGACTTGATAGATCGAATTGCACGTTAGGTGGCAAAAAGAAGGAGTTCAAAGTTATCCACGTTTGCATTTTTCATCGCCAGTAATCTCTTGCTCATATTTTTCCCCCCTGCGCGATCGTGAATAGTTGAACGACCCAAAAGACAATTACTTTAATGCTTAATTGCAACCTTCAAATGCATATTGAAATGAATCACGTGTGGCGTTCATTGTGCAAGGAAGAAGAGCCCCAGAAGACACGGAGATTTTCGTGTGTGCAGAAAACTGGGCCTCTGGACCATACACCTGAGAGGCGATTAAATTGTGGAAAAACATGAGTTCCAGAAGGAGTGATGCTGGACGAACAAAAGAAGTGATCTTAATTTTAACCGCAGGTGCATTCAATTTATTTTGCCTCTTCCTCCTCCTTGTTTTTGCCTCGCTATTCTCGCGTTCTTATTTTACTCTCGCGGGCTTCAAAACACGCTGTTGTCTCTGTCCCTTTATTCGTGAATCATCTCCCTTTCGGCATGATCTTTTTTGCCCTCTTTTCACTATAGTCTTCTGTCCATCTTGCACTTGATTCTCAGCCTCTCCCAACCAAGACTAGTCCCTCGTACTCACATGACGTAATGCCAAAGGAATACACAACTTGAGGCATAAGGGAGGAGCAAACACAAAAGATTTCAGCGTACGCTTTTTTTTTGCTTAATAAGTAGAATCAGCGGAATAGTAAAATGAATACTTCTGAAAATTCATGAAGTGGAGATTGAATTGTGGCATTTGAACTTTTCCCGCCATTTTCCACACTGCCATTGTTATCCAGTCCAAGAAGGAGGAAAAACATTGAGAAATTACATATTTTATGAATGCAATAAAACTCTTCGTTTGTCTCTTATATATTAGTTATTTGTGCCTCTCTAACATTTTAAGTGACAATATATCATTCTATGCCACAAAATGCACTCGCTCCAAGGAATATCCCAGTGCCAAGAGTCAAGGGAATGGGCGATAAATGATTGCGCCCCACGATGGAAATTGGATCCTCTGGGGAGATTTGAACCTAACTGTGTGGGGACAATTAATAAAAATTTTATGTAAGTGAATCTCAGAATGATTCCTCCGAGGAAATTAATTTCCGGGGATGCCGTGATTTATGTTGAAGTGTTTCTTTAGTGTCTGCAGGAACACGGAAATTGAATTCTTCGCAGAGCAATTAATAAGTGCTGGGTAACTGAAGCTCAACGGGTTCAACGGACAATAGAGGATCATGTGGTGAAAATTGCATAATCTCTCATTTGTTGTCTCTCATTCTAAATGCAATGTTTATACCTTCAATCTGAAACTTGTAACTTTTATCTCGGAGATTTTCCAGAAATAGTCCCTAAAATGTAGTCAATTAATCATATGCTGAATATCGTTGTGTTATCGTGCCAAGGATGAATATGTGTGAAACAGGAGGAAAATCTCTTGAGTGTTTGCTTGGACATATGGAATTTATCAAAATTACACGATGTTTCAGTGGCGTGAATATCTCATGCGATGATCGTCTGCGATTGATAAAGAAATTTCTTGTCCATCTCTCGTGCCACAGTAGTCACAATGGCACGCTGCGAAAAGGAAGGTTCTCGCTCTCCCGATAAATTATTCATTATGTAGATATATGTATGCCCATTGAACACAAATAAATTGACAATTTATAATTTTTCCTTTTACAACCACCGTGTGGTGGATTTATCCTCAGTGGCACTGTTGCGCGGAGTCTCTCGATCATCTCGTGGCTCTCGTGTACAGCCCGAGAAGGGGAGATACCATTTATGCACATTATTATTCATTATTTCATGCAGTGATCACACTTGGTGGCACATAAAACATCCATTGCACCGAATTTCCTTTTGATTGCCTCCGAGTCGTCACTTTCAGTGTTCACCGGCGTGTTTTGTGTGTTGCCTTGCGATGACACAAATAATAATAAATTCATTTTCACACAAAAGTCTCTCAGTCATTGAGAATGATGAATGAGATATTGCAATTTTGACTTCACAATCCCCATACATTATACTCTATATGGTGTCATTTCTCACCGCAATCGACGAAAGGTGGACCTTTTTTCACCAGATCACCAACAACTTTCAGAAAGCTTTCTTCCACTCCAGAAATCCTTAATTCACTAAAATAACTTAATATGCCGATGAATTTTTAGCACTAACAGTGCAGCATTTAATGCGGCATTTCCTATGGGTAGAGAAGAATAGTGAAATTGACAGAATGAATTAGGGACGTTTGCGCAAGAATCTATTTAAAAGGTATTCTTCATCGTCTGTCAGTCTATTTCCTGTCCCAGCGCGAGAGTCACCTTCAACCCTCGGCCGAGAGATTCGCTTAGTGACTTGTCTGTGCTGAAGAAGACAAGCATCCTTGCGGGCAGTGAATGATTCCGTCTGAGTGTTCACTCCTCGACTTCTTCTCTGGGAGGTGTTTTGACGATTGAGTGTATTTGTGTGAATGGCAGACTCCAATGGATAATAAGATTTACGTTTGAATAGGAAACTGACGCGATGGTAATTTATATGTTGCCCATTATTAACTTGACAGAGTGTGAATTTGACTTGATCTCTTGCCATCATCGCGCCACTGGCTGAGGAAAGAAGTATGAGCTGAACTCCTTGGTAATGGCCCAACCATACACTCATAATATTTTTAAATGCGCGAGGAAAAAGAAGTGATTTTGCACAATGAATATGCTAAAAGGATATGTCTCTGGGGCATTGAGTTTGTGGTATGGGAAAAAGTGTCTGACTCGATGGTTTGTACAAATGAAATAGATTAGGTGGGAAGTTTTCACCTCTCGTCAAATACCATTGCATATTATGTGCCGCAAGAGACCACATGAAATGTATGGTGTTTGGAAATTGATGGCTATTGAAACTAAAAGTCTGACTCCCGTTTACTCTTGAACCGCACTTGATCGCACTTTCAATTTCACATCTTTTGGCCAGACAATAATTCTCTTCCTCTCTCTCTACTGTCTTTTTACTTTTTGCATAATATGGTATTTTTCAAATTTTGATTAATCACGTCTGGCCTGGCAGTCCTTTTTGCAGAGGATCCAATTACATTTGTCATGAATATGAACACAATATTTATTGGATAACATCAACAATTGCTTGCGCATTAAGTGAGCATTTCCTGATGCAGCCACTCTTTGACAAAAAGCCACTTGCGCGCGCAGTGAATGTGAACCCCCGATCTTGTCCACTGCTTTTCCCTGCATTGAGGTGTTTTTTTTCCTCCTTCTTCTCACAATATGTGTAAATTATTCGCCTCGGAGCATTATTAATTTAATTTAAATTTTGATGTGTATTTATAAATCTGAGCCGCGCGACTGAAAAACGACGCTCAAGACCAATTTGGTGCATGTCGTGAATTTCTTTTAAATTCAGTTGAACTCTTCACATAATTTATAGGCCCTTTTTTATCTTTGTGCTGATAATAAAGGCAAAGTGAGAGAAATTTTCACATCAGTTATGTGATATTTTAATTAAACTGAGCATTTCACAGGTAATATCGATGCAATTTTTGTTGGTTTTGCCTTATTGATGATCAATTTGGCTTTCTTGCACGTGATCGCACTACTAGAAATATATACATATGTGGTCTGTGTCTCGGATAAGAGCTTTACGAAGAGCTTTCAGCCAAGGCAATGTATATATAGCACATCTGCAACCAAATGTCGATGGCTTGAGTGAGAAGATGAGAAAACAATTGAAGAGTTTCACCAGTTTGATCGTATAATGAATATTTTATTTGTTTTTCACATTATTTATTCACACATTGATATGAAGTTTTTTCTATATATCCTATATAAGAGTCTTGAGACATAGTGACACATAAAAATATTTTCCTTCTTGCAGTATTTTACAGTGAATAATCGCGGAAGTATAAAAAAGTAACTTACATTATACATATTGCATAAAATAAAATATCTATCTTTATAAGAATATTTACACTTGATTGACAATGTTACTTTTAACATTTTGTTATACTCTTCGTCGTGGAAAATCAGTGAAGAGACAAGGGAATATTGTATGCAGTCCTAATCATAGTTATTTACAAAATAATGAAAATCATGTACTCATCTCACGCATCAGAGAGAAATGGGATGGAATATAGATATAATTATATACTTCACAACGCATTCTTTTGTATTTTAATTTAATCTAATTATACATGGCCTAATTGAATCATATTATACCTATTGTAGTATGTCTTTTTTCGTCTTCTTCTTCCTCTTGAGAAACATAACACCCCAAGATGGCTCAACATACACTGAAAGATGTATATGTCAATATAAAAATGCACGTTGAAAAATAATTTTGTCTCTTCTGTTTTGAGTAAACACAATGTTTGTAGCATAAAGAGAAAAATAAATATTGAGGATGTGTCTTTAGCCATCCTCTGACTCGAGTTACTACACATCTAAAGAACACTTGTTAACAAATTGATGAAACAATTACTGGTCGATTTGCTCTATCGCTGTGCTCCTACAATTCGGTGGTGGTCTCCACGTCGGATCGGTCAAGATCGTTCAGGTAGGCAAAACCCAGTGGATTGTAGTCTTTGTTGGCGAATGTGACATTCTCATTTGTTGCACTCGGATGATTGAAATGAGCTCCGCCGTATTGTCTGCCACATGAGAAAAAATAATAAAAGCCCAGAATGAGTTATAAAATAAAATAGAGTGTAAAATGGGTGAAGGGGAGAAGAATTTAGGTGTTATAACATTAACGCAAACTCATTTGCAATTCTAATTGCCATCTAAGAACATTCTGCGTGCTCTGCCAGACTTCATGGGATTCGATTTATTCCCACCAGCGATCGAGTGATGGCGCGGAGACAGGTTTCAAGGCGAAATCACGCAGAATCTTTTGAATCTAATATGGAATTCGACTTTACCTCTGCTGGAATAGAGGACTCGTAACTGGCATTATGTCTTTTTGGTGCCTATTATTGCGACCCAAGGTGTTGGTCATGAGTTCGTTGCTGTCGCCGCCGCTGTACATGTTGCATGTGGTTCCATTGAGCGTGTTGAATGTGTTATTTTGGGTCAGATTATTCCTACTCAGCGAATTCATGCCGTACCTGTGCGAAGAAACACCCAGTATAATGTTAGAGTCTCTCTGACTTCCCAAGTCACTGCATAAAATTACAATATTAATACTGTACAATTCATTGAGAGTGAAACAGGTTAAAAATACACCCCATATTTTGCCGGTATCAAAAATGTGCACCGCCAATGCTATGCTCTGTGCTCACTCTCTGTCTCTCTGACTAATCGCGCCCACATCGAGTGGGCAAACACAAGCAGCACAGCATTAATGCAGCCCATGAGCCTCTCAGCAAGTGCTTTTTATGCGATCTCGCAGACTCCGTGTTTAGAACATGAAATTGACTTCCAATATTTTCTGTGCCTTAATCGCGATGTCTCGAGGAGGGGATAAAATGTGTATAAGTTGAGGAGAGACTGAGCGACTCGATAGTGAGCCTTGAATTTTTTCCTCATTGATTCATTTCTTGTATATCTCATGCGCGCCATGTCTTTTCCCTCGGGCAACTCACACAGAGACAATGTAATCTCTATTGAACGAAGTAAAACCTACAGACTCTAGTTTTTCTCCCAACTCTCCACACAGCTCGCAATCTCGGACGACTTGAGCAGGTGTCAATGGAGAAAAAAAAAGAGCGCGGAGCGGTTTCACATTGTGTGCCTCATGTCTAATGGCAAAAGTGGACTGCGCGAGAGAAGAGGTAAAACGAGCTGCTCAAGGGAAACAGACCAACAATCAATCACCCACACATTTCCAATCGATACCATTTCCGCTTCTTTAATCCCAAACTCCTCTTCTCTGCGATATTCGCCCAAATTACATTTTGTGTCTCTCCAAATTCCACGAATATCCCATTAGATCAGACTTTTTCTCCCGAACTTATCTCCTTAATGACACAGCTTTCCGCACGTATAAAGCCTCACCGCGATCAGAATTAAGAATTACGGAGCTCTTTTCGAGAGAACGTGCGGTTTGGCTCAGCATATGCGATGCATAAAAAAGAAGCACTCTCCGCCCCAAATCAATCAAATTGAGAGTTAAATTCGAAAAAATGTGTCTTATTAGAGGCCAATGACTCACCCATTGTTGTAGTGGTTCCTCTCAGACTTTATTCGCCCCAGCGTGAGTGTTCCCGCGTTTTTGCCCAAGGGATTAGCGTTGTTGCGGTTAATCTCCAGGGCGCGATTGAAGGTGTTCTGTCGATTGTTGCCGGTCGCTTGATTGTTGAGATTGTTATTGTTGTTGCGCTGAAGCGTTGACATCGCCGCTGTGGTGGCTTCAGAGTGGGAAGGGCTTCGTCCTCCGTTCTCTTTGTGTGTGATGTAACTCACATTATCCAGGGTGAAGGCGTGATTCTTCGTACTGAAGTCCATTTGCAGATCGTCCTCCTGATCAGCATTTACCGCCATCGCCAGCACTTGGGTCTCGTACTCTTTCAAACTAGTTGTGCTGGCATCGGCATTGTGGTTGCCAATGATTACTGGGTCATATCGCATGGGATTCGGTGGGGTGGGATAGTGTCGCAATCGCTCTTTGAAGTTCTTGTAGCGCGACCAAGAGACGCAAATGTATATTATGCCAATGGTGCCCAGAATCAGAATAACCAGAGATACAGCGATCAAAGCATAGGGGAAGACGTCATTATCCACAGCGATGGCAGTTCGAACTTTGTGGATATGCCTTCGACTCTCCACTGGAGCGTAAATCCCTTGGGCAGTGGCTTTGGCTATTCCCGATGCGGCAAAGCTGAGCTCAGACTGGGCATCTGCCTCAATGAGTTGACTCTTCACTTCTGACGAATTGCGAGAGAGAATCGTTTCGGTTTTGGGATCAATCACGTAAAACCAAACATCTGTAGCATTGGGATCTTCTTCAACAGTTCCATTGTCAGTCAGAAACTTTCTATTGCTGAATCTCTCAATGCCAGCAATGAGGCCAGATGTCTTTTCTGAAAACAATTCCTCCAGCGCTCTGCCATGACTCTTGACATCCTTTGGACTAGCATCTGAGAAAACTAAAGACATCCTATTGATGTCAGCAATGGTATTGATTACAATTCGCGCAAAGGCTGTGTTGAATGGTGAATCGCTCTGTCCATTGTTATCCATAGCTTCTACAGATAGAATCACTGGAGAGTACTTGAGATTCTTCACACTTTTCTGAAGTTTCACGATTCCTGTGTCTTCCGATATGGCAAAGTACGATGTAGCTTCTTCATCAGTGGTCACATGATTAGTCTCTGAGCCTAGCAATCGGTACTTGATCATGCCAAACTTCCCGGAGTCCTTATCAGTGGCTTTCACCTGCAGAATTGGCGTGTCTATGTCAGCATCTACAGGAACTACACCGTAGTAAGTGTCTGGATGTTGAGTATCAGTCGAATAGGTTGGTATCACAAACACTGGCGGATTATCATTCTCATCTTGCACCACTATCTTCAGTTTGGTTACACTTTTCAGCGGGTTCACAAAGTACTTTAGCGATGATAGCTTCACGTCAAGATCATGGAGGGTTTTATTCTCATAATCCAGTTGACGATTTAGACTGACAACGCATGAGTGATTCTCAACGACTGCTCGGAACTGTCCAAAGATATTTCCCTTTATTATATCACACTTGAAGCCTGGATTCACCTTTGTTGCCTTCTTCGAATTCACTATTTGTATAGCTTTTACGGTGGAGTTTGCCAAAGCTGTCTCCGACACATGAGCCACGTAGTTATCTTCGCTGAAAGCTAGACCAATCTGATTGCTAAACGTGCCACTATTTAAATTTCCACTTTCCACTCGCGCTTCATACTCTCCACCACCACCATTGGGATCATTGAGAAGATGTCTCACGAACACCGGCAGTGTCGCAACGGAAGAAAGCTGAGGATCTCCCAAATCGAAGGCCTTCACGTCAACTTGGTACTCAGTATCATCTTCCTTATTAAGTTCATCCCGCAAGCGAATGACACCAGTATCGGGATCAACTTGGAAGTACTTGAGAGCCTTACCTCTGCCCACCATTTCGTATCGCACCACATTTCCGGGCGCCGTTCCATCACCATCAATTGCCGGCATTGATCCCACAATCGTGCCAATTTTCTGGTCATCATTCACTGTAACAGGCTCAGGTACACTCACGAAAACTGGTGGAATATCATTACGATCCTCCACGTCAATGTGAATCCGCACCACATCTCCAACCTCATTGCCAGAGTTCTCCACAGTTCCAATGACTAGTTCGTGCGTTTTCTCCTTCTCATAATCCAATCCCCGAATTGTCTTAACTTGACCATTTCTCGGGTCTACGCGGAAAAGCTCAGAAGCCCCTTGTCGCATTTGATACGTAATTTCTGGTTTTGTATCTGGATCAATTGCCTTAACAGTGGCAATTGTAAGATCGGGAACATTTTCTGGAACTCTAACTTCTAGTCTATCGTCAGAGAACACAGGAACTTCATCCGGAACATCAGTCACTTCAACAGAAACACTTGCAGTTCCCAGTCGACGGTCAGGTGCTCCATCCTTAGCCGTGACCACGAATTTGTACTCTTTAACCTTCTCATAATCGAGAGCAGTGGTTGTGCGAATTTCTCCGGATTTAGGGTGGATTTTGAAAGGAATATCAGATGGTAAAGAGTATGTAATGTCAGCATTAACTCCATCGTCAGCGTCTGTAGCATGAACAACTCCTACCAAAGTGTCAGCTCGACCTTCTTCCACCTTAAACCGATACGGTTGAGCATTCTCATCAAACTCTGGGTTATTATCGTTGATATCCGTGACACGGATATTGACTGTGGCAGTTGTGGCCAGTCCTCCATTGTCCTCCGCCCGAAGGATGAGTTGATATCGAGTGAGATCTTCCCGATCGAGTTTTCGAATAACACTGATGACTCCAGTATCGGGCGCCACTGAGAACTGTCTCAGGTCATTTCCCGAGAGAATAGCATACTTCACCGGATCATTCTCAGGATCCTCAGCCTTGACAACCACTATGGTGGCATTAATATCAGCTCCCTCACTCACCTGAACCTCATACACAGGCTTCACGAAGCGCGGCGGTTTGGTGTTAGGGCCCGGAGTGACGGCCACCTCCACAATAGCCTGTTGGGAGAAATATAGAGACAATTGAAATTATGAATATGGCGACATTCTCACGAGAACTTCCTTACCTGTGAGTGGAGATTGCCAATGTCAGTGGCTTGCACCGTGATACTGTACTGCTCCCCGGCATTGAGTGGCCCACGTGTTTCAATAACACCGCTCCGCTCATCTATGGAGAATTTCTTCACGCCGTTGTTGGATACGTGATAGATGGAATAAGTTATGACGGCATTCTCGCCCATATCGTTGTCCGTGGCGGTGACTTTGGTCACGAAGCGCGTCTCATCGCCGGCCATAATGGTCACAGGGGCGATCATGGGCAGCTTTGGGGGGTTATCGTTGACATCACGCAATGTCACAGTTAAGCTGAGGGGCGCACTGGCGACATTTGTGGACTTCTCGCGTGACACCACCTGGAAGCGGAAGACTCCCGGATTGGGCGGATCACGGTCGAGATTCTCCTCATTCACGAGGAGGTTGCCGTCATCGGAGACCGTGAAATAGGGCGTCGTGAGTTCATATATATAGTCGGGCTTTGGGTCATCATCCGTGAAATCCGCGTCGGTTGTGGTGAGACGGATGGGCATGCCTTTGGAGTCCACTATTTTTGTTCCTATCGACGAGTTCTCATCCACAAAACCCTCGGTGTCTGAAGACGCGATGACTGGTGGATTGGAGTCAACTGGTTTGACGGTTATTGATAACTTGGCGGTGGTGAAACGTCTCGCCTCGGACACCTCCTCAGCTTTCACGATGATATCGAACTTCTTGGCCACTGACGTGTCAATCACCTTCACTTGCTTCAATATACCCGTCTGCTCATCGATGGCGAAGAACTCGTCGTAGTTTGAGGGCATCCCACTGAGGAATGTATATCGAATGGGTGAGCTTATCGTGTCCAAGTCAATGGCTTGAATCTTTTCAGGTAGCACCGACAGAACACCCTGGAGTGACCCAGAGGGCACAGAAGCCGTGTACTCGGGATTGATGCAGGCACCGTCGAGCAGGATGCAGCCGCGATAGATGAATGATGGATCCATGTCGTCAGAGTCGGCCACATTAATCGTGAGTGTGGTGGTTGCTGTCAAGCGCTCAGAGACATTCCTCGCGCGATCCTACGAATGGCATAATTATCATACTTCCGCTATTGTGAGAGAGCATTTAGTAGGTCAAGACACACTCACCGAGGCGACAATTGTTAGATAATATCGCTGAATGCGCTCGTAGTCCAGTGTTTTGGCCACTGTGACCTATTAAAGAGGTTTGTTGTTTAGCCGAGGTTTGTGAAAAATTACATTATGCATTTCCCGAAGCATATTCACCTGTCCCTGATGGGGGAAGCCAATGGAGAATGTCCCATAGCCATCTGCGGCAATCACTTTGTCATCTGTTATGTTTTTCGTGCCCTCCACAATGAAGTACTCCACGAGACCATTAACGCCAGCATCGATGTCTTGGGCCAGAATATTCCTGAAGATGGTTGTGCCAACAGGTGTTGACTGAAAATACACGAGGGATAGAAGGTAATGAATTCTCTTGCCGGCTTCATGAATAAATTGCCGGGTCTGACAATTGCAGAGCTCCGATCTCACCTCTGGAACGGTTGTCTCATATGGCGTATTAATAAATACTGGCGCATTATCATTAACATCGGAAACACGAACTATTATTGGAATATTTCTCTTACGATGTGTCGATCTGATGGTGCATGAAATCTGCAATTGAGCGAGGAAAACTGCTCTATAATCTCCATCACATGGCATACCATAGCATATCGCCAACAATATTCCCCCATTGTGGTACAATTAGTTAAATTTATTGCTGTGAAGATGCGGATGATTTCAACTGGGTGATTTACCTGGAAAATGGTGTGGCTCAGATTTTCCTCATCCCTGTCCAGGGGCTTAATCAGCTGCAGAGCCTTGCCATTGAGGACGAACATCTTGTTCCCCTTGGGGAAGACGAGATCCAGAAGGATTTCACTGTCGGGATCACCATAAATTGGCAATTCAGGTGGGATTGTTCGCTGGCCGATGGCTGTGAGCGAGAAGGAAAGAATCACGAGTAATCCACAATGATTGATGATATTTTTAGCTCTCAGCGGAGCTCCATATATCAAACGAAGACTAACAATGTGATATTTTAGCAAATGAATTTCAATACTCACAGTCGCCTCGACTCTCCTCGATGTCCAGTATGATGTTCGTTTGTCCAGTCTCCACTTCACATGGTTGCAGTTTACCCCACGCACCTTGAACCGTCTCGCAGCATACAAGCAGGATTATGTGCAGTATCATCCAATGCCACGGTGTCTAGTTGTTGCCATGCACAGGAAGGGAGAAAAAGAAGAGATATGCCCATTTGAATATGGAATTTAATTCGACCCAGCTGAGATATCTTCAACGTTCTCATTTGCGTGTTTTCATCTGCCTCTCTCGCGTATCTCTTGTGTTGACCCATGTCAGAGTCGGAAAGGAGGGAAAAAAGAGCAACAACGGAGGTTGTGTAGAATAGGAATAAATTAGCAGAATTTCATCTTTCACCAACTCACACCGTGGATTTATATGATTCTTCCGGTATTATGTAGAACAATTCACACTCTGTCAAGCCATACAAATGCTACGAGATGGTGACATTAACACTGCACAGAGTGGCCTGTTCTCGGAGTCAGAATACGTAAGAGCATGTGTTTCCTAGACTTGATTACATCATTGTCATAAATATACTATGATAAACTCAAAGGTCACATTGAATGCATATATGAAAGAAGTCGTACGAACGTTATTTTGGCGAACATTTTGAACGACTTTGCAAATTTAGATGTTATACATATGTACATGAATTCACAGAATAAACGGAGAATCGACCGAGTGTTTTTTCTTTGAATTTTACGGGATTTGATGAGTTAAGCAAATGTTGGTTTGCTTTTAAAATGAGCTTTTTAATGGAGATAATTGACTGACAAAAAAATTGTCAATGCTGAAACACTTAATCAATCATTACAAATTGTTGCTAAGACTGCTTTTTCACCATTAAAATGATCATTTTTCCCAATTTCTTTTCTGTGTCTGTATTGAAAACCCACAATAATTGACACCTGAACTACGTCACATTGTGCATAAGTGAGAGAATCTCTTGCGAATTTCGACATTCTCCTCCACTCCTTTTGTCCCAACACTGCCACACCGGTTAACATGCTTGTACAATACATTTGAGATTAAAGAACACCTACAGCATCGTGTTATTAAATAAATTGAAGTGGTTTTCCATTGAGGGAATTTTTTCTCTCGAGTTACCACAAGAGTCTCAGTAAATATTATCACAATAGTTGAAGAAAAGACTCCAATGAGCGAGAACACGACGAACCTGTTATTCTTAATTATCAATTCACAGCGAAATTGCGCTATTGAATTTAATCAAAACAGTTTGATGATGTAGCTACAGAGGTAGCATAATTACACTGAGACGATCTCGCGGTGTCTTTTAGCGAAAAAAAAATTGTTTCTTCACGAGCATCAAATGGGAGGACACAAAGAGTCTTCATCTTTATAAAGCATCAACATTGACTTTCAAATCATCACGACGACTGGCCATAAAAATGTGGATGTACTTGAAAAGGTATTGTAGAAAATTAATACAATTTGGTTTTTGGGAAAAAAAGTCCACAAAGTAATTAATCATTATTGGGCAATTTTATAGCCCGAGAGTCGGATTATAATTCACGAAAAAAGTGTTTCCGCGTCGAATGTGAGACACATGCTTCTGAGAGTTGGAAAAATTGAATATCGAGAAATTTACCAATTATGATTTATTTAGATGGTATACAGTTAAGTAAACGCTGAAGTGTGTTTTTCACACTTAAGCAGGTTCACGAGGTGTAGAAACTCGAGAATGTTTTTTGTCACCGGAGGCGCACTTTAAGAAAGTGTGGATTGGATATACAACATTGTGAATATTTAGAGACAAAAACTATTGAAATTGCAAATTTCTTTTTTACATAATCAATTTTAGCCAGCATGACTTGAACACACAATTACAAATACTTCCAATTATCAACCTGTTGGCGATATTTGCTTAGCGGTGTGAGACTGGGATTGTATGGGATTTGTGGGATAGACTCTCGTGAATCTGAAAAGGGAAGTTGCGCAGAAGTTCTGCCGCACAGACATTTTGTTACCACTTTAACCTTTATCCCCCGCAATCTCAACGAAACTCTCCATAGTCTATAATTTTGGTGCTCTGCTGCCATGCCCCGGTGTTGTACAATGGGAAAAAGACGCTCGCGCGCGCGCAAAGTATCCTACTTGAATCACTTTGGAATGCCAAAGTTGCTCACTGCTCAACAAGCTGCAGACATTTTTCCTAACACTCTCACACGGCAAGATCATCGAGATCTCCACCACATTGTGATGGCGGTTATAAACTCACATAATTCACTATTACATCTTATCCATCATGAATCGGACTTTTTTCCCCTCGTGTTGTATATATATTCACTTACTCCTTTTGCAATGTAATCATGTGCCAGATTGGATTGTTAATCTCGGCAACTGGCATTTGAAGGCTCAAGAGAGACAGTTGCACGATGCCCATTTTGCGAACAGCAACAGTGGACTCAATTATTGTGATGTTTTTTTCCAGGCTTTCTTGCCAGAGAAGTGCACACAAAAAAGAGAGCTGTAGAGTTCTTTTTGTGCTAAATTTGAAAAATTGATCGCCAATCAGCAGAATAATTTTCGACATGAGTGCAGAATTTGAGGCGAAATCTTTTCGGTATATAATGTGTCTCATATGTTTTGGTATCACATATCGAAAGTGTAATTTCAATTGTACATATAAGAAACACTCAAGGACTACAACTTTGTTCAATTCATTAGAAATGTACAACAAATATTTGTTCAAGACAAATGAAATATTGGCGGATTCTTGCGAAAGGCAGCAAAGGATTAGTGAGCCATATAAAAACTCACTTTGCAATCTGCTTTGGATCGACGGGAGATTATGAGACAATTGGCGAGATCTCGCGGAGCATAAATTAACCTTTGATCTTGGAATGTTATTGTGTATCGGAGAAGGATGAGCTCATACATCATCTGACCCGGGCTTCCAGCCCAGTCGACGCTTTCCGATTGTATGTAATTTTCAGTGGCGTAGCAGACGATCACGTGACCTGCAGATCAAGATGCCACCCAATTCATGTTCTCCCTCTTCTTATAAATCATCCCAAGCCTCCAAATAGGGCTTCAGAGCACTATTGTCACGATGTGATGTCTTGCCTGTCGTCGAACGTCAAGGGCGATTGACTCCTTGTGCTGTGCTTGCTACGCCACTGAGATACATTTATGCGGTCCTCACATGAAAGCAGAGACATGGTGTTGGATAATCAATGGCATTTCACCTCTGATAAATTGTAAGAGAGTGAAATTTTTCATCAAAAAGTCAACGCGCAAGATGGGCATTTTTCCGGGGCGAATATGTAATGGGCGCGCGGCTGTCTTGTGTAGACATTTTTCTCAATGGACGGAATATGGGATGTGTGGTAAAAATGCAACTCCTCGAGTCACCAGTGAAAGACAGCCAGCAGTGCGCCAGCGACTTAATGCCTCTCGTGGATGGCTGAAGTCAAACAGAAATGTGGTACATCGTTGAGATAAATCTCATGTATATGGAATAACGGCATCGTGACACACAAATATCAAAGAGTTATAAGATATTTGAAATACATTTTACCCACTAATATCCCATTGAATTCCTTCCACTCCGTGCCTCTGCACAGATAGCGTGTGTTCGGAGCTATGAAAATGCATCCCAAATGATCCACGGCGCGCAGTCGAAAGAAAAAGTCAATGGGTAGAAATGGAAACTGAGTGGATCATAAGAGAGATTCGAGACGATATGGGAGATGAGAGCAAAAGAGACAGTGGAGAATTTTGATTTCTCTAATTGATTCTCGCTCTGTGTGTGCGAGAGTATAATTTGATGATGCAGAGCCGGAGAAATTGTTGAAGACGCCAAAGAGAGTCACAAAAGGCACATTGGGAGATTGTGAGGCTCAATATTTGTGGAGACGATGAGAAAAAAATACCAGAGGACCACCTATAGTGATGCAATCATTCATAAATTGTAATACACAAAAATTATCCAACAGAGTTTCTGATGTTATGGATTTTATTTCGGAGTGATAAAACAAGTCTTCAGTGGGTATTTCCAAAAATTACAAGAAAGGGCGTGTTTGAAGCGGAAATTCTCAATTTTCCAAGCTCTATCACGAATCTGATTGAAATTTTATAGCGTATCGAATCTATCCCGAAGAGTTTTCTACCCTTAGAGTGAAAAAAAGTGAAATAATTATTTCCCTACACTTTTCAACAGTTTCAAGTGTTTTTGAGTGCATTGCACGATTTTTATGATCTTCATCTTGAATAGAAACTCAGACTTCCTGATGAATTCTAGCTTTCATGCATCAGCTCAGCAACATGCTTGCCCATCATATATCGTCTGAAATGGCGCATATACATATGGAAGATGTTGAGGCAACGTGGAAGCCAACTGCCAATCTGTCAGCAGCATTTATGCTCTCAATTGCGCTCTTCTGTTCTTCTCACCTTTCCCATCACCCATCTCAGCCCATCCGCAGTGCAGCAGAATTCTTTATCAAAGTGGATTAGTAAAATCACTTGAAAGCTGCTCTACGCAGGAAGAGTACTCGTGCTCGTCAACATTGACGGTGATCAGAGAGTGAATGGAGCTTCCAGCACTATAAAGCATTCTTCGCCGGGGTCTTTTGTTGGAGCGTGTATGCGGCAAAAAGTGGGATGTATCGAGCGAGAGAGAGATTCATGTAATATTCCAATAATACATTATGAGTAGATGCTTTCATGATAAATTGATGTGGATGGTGCGGAATGCTTTCCTCAAACAAAAGTGTATACACTTCTTTTAGGCATTTGAAATCTCACTGTTTGCGATGCTCTTTCAATTGACCTTTTGCATGAACTTGATTCTGCCTTATTTTTATGCACAACATTGTAGTGAAATTGAAATTGCGCCGAGGCGGAAGGGCGCATTGTGAGAGAGGGAGAGAGAGAAATTGGCCACCAATAAAATCTGTCATAGATTTATGGATATTTGAGGCAGATGAAAGTTGGTGACATCTCGATTGAGCCATGCTCTCTGTGGTTTTAGTAATTATTATTAAAATGTGAACAGAGTTATCATAATATTGTCGATATTTAAATTTGTAACTCGCTCAGGAGGCAATTCAGTAAAGTATCGATGGGGCAAGTGAAATGGAATTGCAGTCAAACATGGCATGAAGTGAACGAAATCGCAATAAAGTCGTTGGTGTTCCGGCGGTAAAAATCATGTCCTCGCGCTATAAGTCGCAAGAAATGAAAGACACACGCAATAAAATCGCCCCATGCCGCCTGCGGAAGGCTGATCGCGGTGCAAAAGAATAATATTTTCAATATTATGTGGAAAAAGATCACACAAGATAATGTGGCTCACTTCCTCATCGCACTCTCTCATGTGGCCTGTTCTAAATGCACTGCTCGTTCACGCTAAAAGCATTCACCAATATAGGACTGTGAATATTGAATAGTCGAAAAAGCTTCATGTGCAATTACATAAGTGGCTTCGCGCGTCTCAACTGCCGCAACAGCAGTGGGATTGCATGTGGATATGGTCAAATTGATCTTTTATACACCATTTCACGAAAGTGTTGAGGATCAAATGCGAGTTGAGGCGCACGAAAGTGAGACTTTTGAAGCTTTAAGACAGCCCAGCGGAGAAAAATATCGCTACAGCTCACACTCGAGACGTGATGGAAAATGTTGATGGACTGGTGTGGCAAATAAATAAACAAGAGAATAATGAGAAATGAATGTAATGATCGTATTATTTGAAATGATTGAACATTAGATGAGAAATCTTGTGCGTATATGTTCACCGTGAGATTTCTTCCCATCATAGCATGCAATCACACTTAAGCCCAGAGAGCAGCAAGAACTCTCGGGACACACTCAAACGAGCCCGACAAAGCAATTTTGGTAGAAAAATATCGTCATTACATGGAGAACAAGGAAAAGACACAAAAACGCAGTAACATAAAATATTCATGGAGAAAAAATCTCTTTCTAAACGTCAACACGACAAGTTATAGTCAATTTCTATTATTCAGATGAACCTAATTAGAATACTGAATCTCAGCGGAGGTTGTCTCAGTGATCTGTCGTGGGATGTTCTCATGTCCAGCGTGATTTGTCCCGAAAATGCAGAAATAATGGCTCGGAGACATGACAATTTCATGATTTAACAGACCGTGGCAGTTAATTGCACGATCAGCAATCAGTTAATGCGTTGCATATAGGATATTTTGCTCTCAAAATTTATGTTATATGTCAGAGTGTTTATATTGATTTCACGCCTCCAGCTTTGAGGAAGTATTGTGCGATTGAGAAGCATATTTGCTCCAAAGTTGCCCCGAAGGAGTGCAATGTGTGGTGATGCAAAAGATGCAAAAAAGGGGGCACCCTAATCAAATTTGATCTTTTGCCTCCGAACTGTTACACTTTGTTAGAAATGACTGGGTTTTGTAAATGCCGTGCCGGCGAATTCATCACACACGCTAATCAACTTTCAAGGAATGTGATTTGAATTCCATTGGAAAATTGCGAGGAATTATGGTAAATAGATATCTTTTTGATCTAGCGCGCGAAAGACCTTTTTTGCATTTGCCATCAATTGAAACATTTATTCCATCTCCGCCCACTTTGAACTCTCTCACACTCTTGAACCCAATATTGTCAATCAGAAGTCGCACGAGCCTTTGTTCCCTCGAGCGGTGGCGTGGATAATTTTTGACTAATTGCTAATTTTGGGTAGCGAAATTAACGTGTGTGTAAACGATCTACATTTCATACATGACTTTCACCTCCGCAGTACCTGAGAGTGTTGTTTGGGTCAAATTCGAAATGCAAGACTTCCTAGTGGAATGAAAGGATGTTTTGTAATCGAGGAAAAAACGCGGAGTGAGTCATTTGCGAGACAATCATAACTTTTTTTTTTCTTCTCTAGCATCTCCTATTGAGATCGAAGTTAAGACCATAAATTATGATATTCACAACAAAACATTTACATGATGCAATTTGTCGAAAAAATCGATATGGTGGCACTTTTGGATGGCACTCCGCATAAATCAGTTATTGATGGGGAATAGAATTGGTAACTGAGCGTGATGAAAAAGTATAAAATGTGATCATTATTGTATTTATGCGCGAGGTCTTACCATTTTTCATGCGGTTCGATGATGATGAAATTTTTGGAGGCTCCGTAGAAAGGAGGAGAGTGAAGGTGGGTGTCTCCAAACAGTGTTAAATGTTGAACAGGGGGAATTGTGTGAAAAACAATCTCGAGTTAATTATTTCCTCACGATGCCACGCAGTTTCCATTCAGAGAGCATCACAACGCCACCAACACAATTCCTCTCCTCAGCTTCTGCCACGTTAATCCTCCTTTAAGACACAAATCACTCGATTGATGCCACTAATTTTCAAATGAATGCCATTGTCTGTGGCGGGCGAATTCACATCACTGGTCGTGGGCAAGGGCCACGAAGTGCAGAGTGCAATTAATTAATTAGCACGCAGTCGCACTCAAATTCAGCACAATTTCAGCCACACTTCACTTACAGCCAGTTCCATCTTCGCACTGTCTGAGCTGGAGCGATTTCACGGCAATCGGCAACGCCTGCAACAACAAGACAGAGAAGCAAATTAAATAAAGATTAATCTCTCATCTTTGGGAGAAAATCATTGCGTAAGCCATGGGGCACTTCTTCAGATAACAATCAGTGGAATCGTCGTGTCTTCGAGCTAGGCATAAAAAGATGATTGTTTAATAACATCCGATATGGCCGCGGTTGACTAGTCAATGGGGAGTGTCAATGGGGCAAGAAAGAGTCGTTTTAATAGATAAAATATATTGTACGAATTAATTATCAAGCTTGGGTGTTATTTTATATCATTTCTCCAGTTTATAGTGCCTGGCGATCGTATGCAAAAGTGTTACATTTAAGTGCCAAAAAACCACTTTTGTAGCACAGAGATTGAGAATGTGAAAACTTTTACTACCTCTCTTGCCGTGCCTTCTTTTTGCTTATTCACTGGCCTCTTTCTTTTTCGATTCTTTTCTAGTGTTTCAAATCGCGCGAAGCAGCTTTTCATCATCTCTATTAGCAACCAAAAGTCTCTCGTTGCGATTCATTCACCATCACGACTCTCTATGCAGCATTTTGGCAAAGAAGAAGTATCACAATGCCTTGTGTGGATTTTTTCTCGCGTGTATGCGATTTGCCAACAAATGCTCAATCATATCAATTTGTCTCGCGAGCACTTTCGCGGCTGAAGATGCTGCGCGCGGCAAAGGCTAAAAAAGGTCCGTTTGGGAGTGCAACTTGGGCTACATCAAACGGGGAAAGTTGCCGGAGATCACACAGTGAGAAGGTGAGGCCACTCTTGGTGGGCAAGAGAGAAAATCCATCGTGGAGGCATGAAAGAGATGGATTCCAGAAAGATCACCAAATGGCATCCGCGAAGGAGAGACAAGTGAATAGGAAATTCCCTCATGTCTCTCTTGATCTTCCTCAGTGCGCGCTGTCAGCCGATTAGGATGCCCACATGACAGCGCCACGGAAAGGCAATTTCCCTCCGATGATCCTTCCAGGGAATTTCTACCTGATCAATTTGGTGGAGGAATATAAAACGACACTTAAATTCGCCCCGTTGATGATTTGTTGTGACAGTTGGTGCTTTGAAACATTCATAAATTCGCGTTAGAGCGCGATGTACATTTCGCAAGCATAGCAAATTCTCTGGCTCTCCATAATATTACAAATTTTGTGCATGCACATAAGCACTGCGCATGTATATTATGGGTATATATATTATCTGTCTATGAGGAACTTTCAACAGGTTATGTTGGCGAATGGATGAAAAAAAATTCACTCAATGTGCGAAATGCACATTGGAATTTATCCAATTGAATATGTATGTTCCACGGAGACGTTCTGCCCAAGAGTTGCAAGAGCTGAGATAAATTTTGTTGCGCGCTCAAAAGAGAGTCCACAAGAAGTTGCCACAGTGACTATTATAGCACTATTTGTGGTAACTTCTTGTACACTCTGGGAGAAATGCTTACAACTCTCTGCACACAGATTGTCTCATTTCAGCGCTCTCTCCACCATCTCTCGCTCGCACTTGGACATAGTTTTCAGCTTGTGGCTCGGACTAAATAGCACAATGTGCAAAATTCAGCCAATTGCAAACTCTTACACTAACTAAAGTCACAGTGAGACTCCGCATTCCATGCAATATATTGTCTCTTTCCCCATTCTTTCTCCCGCACAGAGATCTCTTTCACCACGAAAGCTTCGACTTCGAGGAATCCAGGAAGTTCATCTGCGCATCCGAAAAAGCCAGCAGTATGGTGATCACTTAGCGAAATGCAGTGCGGAGCAGGGAAAAAAAGCGTCGAGGCAGGTGTTTAGTCAACACGCGGAGGTTGACGCACAGCCAAAGGTGGGAGAAGGAACACAAGACAACAAGACTAGCGAGTTTCAGTCGCACCTGAGGAGATGCGAATACGCGAAATATTCCGCTCGATTGAGCGCCTAGAAAATCCCAAGAGTTGACTATGCATGATCACATAATGCCATCTAAGCATTATTTGGCCCTTCCGGCCGATGGGGCGCCTCATTTGTCATAATATCTCCAAGTGGTGACAAATTGAATAATATCTCCAGAATTTCCTTCGCGCCACCTTGCTCGCTGACCACAGACACTTGTGGTCTATGCATACATTTCGCGGCAATATCTCCTCCTTCTATAAATATTCCAATCATGGTCACATTCCACGAGGAAAGGCTCTCCATATATATTGTACAGATATCCGTGGTGAGCGAACAAAGATCTCCTTATCAAATATGTTCAATCTCGACTGTTTCTCTCCGCGGACTGTGCGTGTAATTTTGCGCCGCTCCCCAGTGAAGATTGAAGTGCATGGCAAAAAGGGAGGAAGAAGTGGAGGAAATGTGTGATGAGAGCTCGAGAATTCAACGCCACGAGAATTATCGCAAATTTCTGACTGTGATGGCAAATATTTATATGCGCAATTAGGATTTTCTATTCTACCACAAGAGCGGAACAGCCAAAGCCCAACCATTCTTCTCCCCTGCTTAGTGATTGTACACATCGCAAAGACCATCTCAGACTCGCAGAGCGAATGCAAGTGACGCAACTTGACGCACGGTGTGCCATTCCTAAATGCGTTTACCTCGCGCGCTCAAATGCACAAAAGAAGGCATTAACCCATGAGGTAAAAATAGCGAAATACTGTATGGAAATATGGGACCACATCAAGCAGAGTCTTAGGAAATCTTGTGGCAAATCTTAGTACACGAATCCATTTTTCTCCCGATTATCATTTGTTGTGAATTATCACTTTACTTTCCATTGGAAAAAATCTACTGCAAAAACTTGATAAACTGCTCGAACAATTTTCGGCATCATTTATTATTTAATGACGAATTGTAAAAGTTATATTGTTCATAACACACTCGAATGGGTTAAGAGAGACTCATAAAGGAGAGAGATACTTTTGCTGAGATATGGTGGGGAGATTTGTTTTATGAAAATTCATTCATTTTATTGAATTGTTGATTTGATTAAAATCCCCCTCGGGAGAGTGTATTTGTGTGCTTGGCTAAAGAATGGCCACGACAGATCTGGCTGAACTCTTGTGCGCTTATAATCTTGTACAGTTTCCCTCCCCCCTCCCACTCTCCTCCCAATTCTCGCGGAAGATTTTTTGCGTATATATAGTATATGTTGGTTGGAAAAAAGTACGAAACCGGATTTACTGGATTCTCCTTGTGCACTGTTCGTTTGCCTCAATTCTCTTGTAAAATTTCAAAAGAAATTCACTCTTATTAAAATGCAAACCAGAGAGTAAGAGACGACATGGAGGGAAAAGAAGTAAAGCAGAGTGTGCAAAAAGGAATAGGTTGAGATATCAAATTCAATTGGACAGATCACAATTTACATATTTACTTTTAATTAAAAATTTATTACTCTCCGCTCTCAGCTGGATGTGATTCCTCACCAAGGACTCACAGCTTGTGTTATTGGACAAGAGTGGCTGCAAATGGTCTAATGGATTTGCGTGCTTGCAGCAGAATCCTGTGCTCTTCAAGGTGGGCCAGCATTAGAATCATCGCCACCCATTTGGACTCTAGCCACACTTGCATGAGCCTCTTAATAAATATCCCCGGCGAACATTGTAAATCTATTGGGAGATGGCAGATGAGGTGGAAAAATCACGTCCATGGTGTTCTCACATTGCATTCTCTGGGTGCCAAGTCAGTCGCAAGGCAATATTTTAATTAAAGAATTTCACTATACTTATGGCATCGGTGCAATGGAGAGCTTGTAAATTGATTTATCGCTATCTGAATGTAGGAGTTACGCCCAAGAATATTTTGCACTAATTGCTTTTTGCAATTTCTTCCAAAACAACCACGAAAGGGGGAAGTTTTTCTCCGCGGACACTCCACATGGCATGAAGAGTTAAGAATTCTAAGATTGCTCTCTTAATCTACACCTCACGTTGTTCTGCTGTACAGTTCACCAGTGCGGAGCCTATTGTGGATTCCGAGCCGAGGCTCCTGCAGCTCATCGAGCCAATTAACATTTCAATGGCCCCTTTTCTGTTCTCTTACATACATATATGCGATTTTTATTGCCCTGACATTTTCAAGGTGAAGATATATGTGTAGATACTTTCGTATATAGTGCAAGATATTGAGCAAAAATGATTAAGAGAGTGCAATTTCTCGAGTGAGAGAAAACATGAACACGACACACACGGGTCCACTTTATCGCCACTTGTGCGTGATTGTGCAGTATTTGTGATTTGATCAGTAATTGTGCATATTAAATTGTATCGCTATCAAAAGGTTGAACAGAGATGAATTGACTGCGGCAATTAGGGAAAAAGTATTGATGAATTGCCATGGCTTGAGCAAGTGAAAAACGACCTGATCACTAGTGCAGTGCGCTAGTTAGCAGCATTGGAGAGTAGCAATGAATACAGCACGCGTCCTATTCATCAGATGAGCGAACTATAGGAGAGTGCCTGGTGTTGCAGAATAGACAATCCCATTGAGGAGATATCCGAGAGCAGAATGTATAGACTGTAGGTGCTTAGATGGAAGAATGAAGAACGCCTTCCTCTGTGGGCTGGCGCGAAAGAAAGAGAGCCTTTCAATTGAGACTCTGGCATTTCGATTTAGGGTCATAATCGCATCCAAAGTGGCAAACCTCCACATGGCGTTATTTGTTTGCG